TAATGCTTTTTTTGCAAGTAGTTTGCTGTCATATAATGCATTTTTTGCTGTGTTATCATCACCGCTGTTCTGGCTGGGATGGTTTTTATTTTTATTGATTTTAGATAAGTTTAATCACTTTATCCGTTTGTTTTATAATGGTGCACTCTCTTGTTGCAACCTGCCGTGGGACCTTATACTGAAAGGCAAGAAAGAAATATTATAAATAAAATAAATAATAATAATAATAATAATAATTGCCTTTTTTGCAGGCTTTCCCCTAAACATACATTTTTTTTCTTTCGTTTGTTCGAGGACTGCATCACAAAATTCAGAAGCATGCAGGTTTCAAAGGATGCCTACCTTTCGTTTCACAATTTGTATATTGTTTCAGGAAGTGCCAGTTAGGGGGGCTCACGACATTGTGCGAATGAAACCGAAACACCCCACCAACAGCCTGTACACGGAAATGAACCCAATTCCCACAGAGGCGTCTCCTGCAGAAAGATGGAACCAGACTTTACATGACTCTTTTTTTAAGCATCGGAAGGGGAGAAGGGTGATCCCTTCCACAATAAGGATACCCAAAGCACCCCTCTTCTTTGTCCTTGAAGCTGTCTGCGGACAAACGCCGACTCCCTCGGCCTGGAAAGCGAGATGAGCGCTGCAACCCCATAGTCGCCTTTGACTGGACTTAACCGTCCAGGGGTCCTTTACCTTTTTTTTTTACCTTTAATAACAACAACAACAACAACAACAACAACATATTATTTATACCCTGCCCATCTGGCTGGGTTTCCCTAGCCACTCTGGGCAGCTTCGAGCAGAATATTAAAATACAATAGTCTATTAAACATTAAAAGCTTCCCTAAAAAGGGCTGCCTTCAGATGTCTTCTAAAAGTCTGGTAGTTGCTTTTCTCTTTGACATCTGATGGAGGGTATGCCACAGGGCGGGTGCCACTACCGAGAAGGCCCTCTGCCTGGTTCCCTGTAACCTCACTTCTCGCAGCGAGGGAACCTCCAGAAGGCCCTCAGCGCTGGACGATGGGGGTGGAGACGCTCCTTCAGGTATACTGGACCGAGGCCATTTAGGGCTTTAAAGGTCAGCACCAACACTTTGAATTGTGCTTGGAAACATACTGGGAGCCAGTGTAGGTCTTTCAAGACCAGTGTTATGTGTTATGTGGTCTCGGCGGCTGCTCCCAGTCACCAGTTACTAATTGTTTAGTGTAGATGTGGTCTTAATTGATGGAGAATGAGACCACCCCCCTAATTTAAAAATGCAGGAGACGTTTTCGGTACAGTTCTATAGCAAAATTGCTCCTTATGTGAGGTGTTGTGGTGAAATGGCAGCACTATTTCAGCGGCTAACTTTTCTGGCTGTCAAAGCCTACAGATATTTTACCGAGGTGCTCCAGATTACCCCAAGCCAACTGCATTTTTTATGACCCGCAGCCCATTTCTGTCTTGCTGAGTGTCCAGTTATCCATAATCTAACTGTCTGAGAAATGGCTTTCCCTCACCTTCCTCCTGGTTAGTGTTGAACAGGAAGCCTGTGCACCCTCCCTCCCCGAGAGTTCCTATTTTATTTTATTTTATTTTTTAAAAAAATTGGTGTGAGAAAGAGATAACTGCATCACTATTACCTCCAAGAATATTGCGGCATCTTCTCCTCGACTTGTCTGTAGACCAGAATGCTTTCTACACCTGCAATGCCACACATGATCCAAATTTCAGGTTTTTCTTTTTTACTGTTTCAAAGACCATATCAGCTTGTTGCACATTCTTGGCCAAAACCCTTGGCCAATTTAATATGGGTGAGCATAGTGAAGTGACTAGGAGAATGAGCTATGAATCAATCACACACCCTCCAACATTTCTCCGATTAAAATTGGGGCGTCCCATTCCATAATGATAGTTTTACTATTTATACCCCACACATCTTACCGGGTTGCCCCAGCCACTCTGGGCAGCTTTCAACATATATAAAAACATAATGAAACGTTAAACATTAAAAAACCCCTTCCCTATGCAGGATTGCCTTCAGACGGCTTGGAGGTCAGATAACTCCATACCCTCCAACATTTCTCCAATGAAAATAGGAACATCCTAAGGAAAAGTGGAGCATTCTGGGATCAAATCAGAAACTGGGATGGCTCCTCTAAATCAGGGATGTCCATGGAAAATAGGGACACTTGGAGAGTCTGCAGTAAGTTCCTGGTTCGAATCTTGCCTCCACCATCAATTCACTAAGGTGGACTTAGGCAAACCAGTCCCTGCCAGCAGGTTTACCATCTAACAGACATGACACACAAGGGCAGGTCCACTGTCCCTCAGACCTTGGGGGGGGGGGCGGACTATATGTTGGGGAGGGAAATGAATGAATTCCTGTGCCCCACAAATTACCCAGAGATGCATTTTAAATAAAAGGACACATTCTACTCATATAAAAACATGCTGATTCCCGGACCGTCTGTGGGCCAGATTTAGAAGGCGATTGGGCCAGATCCGGCCCCCGGGCCTTAGTTTGCCTATCCATGCACAAGGGGAAAGGGAAGGAAGGGGGAGCAAACCCAGGCACCAGTTCTTAAACAGCAGTTCTTTTACTGGCCAGCTATCACAGAAGCAGTTCAGGAGCAGGAGCTGCCTGATGGAACTTCTCTTTGGGCAAGGCTGGTGGAAGGAGCCCATCTTTGCATCTCTCCCACTGAGACAGCCTGATGGAATGGCTGCTGCCTGGTGACAGTTGAGGGAGGCGAGGCCTGATGGAGCTGGTCTTTTGGCAGAGCTGAAACCTGAGGCCATGGAGCTCCAGTATCCGTGTGGATATGGTGGAGGGTCCAGGAAGAGGGATCTGGCCAGGTATGGCACATTCAGAACCTCCTAGTCTGTGGCTTCAACATCAGCTGTGAGGACTACCGTGGTGCCAACCAGGGACTGAGCAACCCCAGGAAGGGCCTTCCTGCAGGCAAGAGAGGCTTGGGCAGCTGTTTCTCTCTGCCTTGATGGAGCCAGGATCTGCTCGCAGCCTCGGTCAGAAAGACATTTGAACCTGAGCTGATGGTAAGACACTGCCCTGAACGACCAGTGTGCTGCTTGTCTCTTGCAGCTGGTGAACTGTGCCTGTTAGTCTGAGGCCCAGTTTGCTAAATGTCACCATCAGATTTTATCAGCCAACCAAATACAGGTTATAGCCTGTCTCTTCCTCCTCCCCCACCCCAGAGCTGTGATTCCTGAATTGTAGGGGATTGGACTAGATCCCCTACACTTCCAACATTTCAATTCTAGGATGCTAGGAATTCATTTCACTGCAGATCACTGTGTACAAGCCCCTGTGAGGTTCTGCCTTTCTAGTCGTTGACCTGTGATGGCTCATTCACAGCTAGAGCTGCTGAAGAGCTGCTAGTACTCTCACTAAAGACAGCATGGGACTTAGATGAACCATCCAACTGAATTTGCTGCATTAACCCCAGTGCCATTTGCAGAAATGGTGACGGTCAACTTTGGGCATATTTTATTGACTAATATAGATCTGATTTGTGGTCTTCCCCCTGCAAACACTAGCACCAGATAAGCTCAGTGTACGAGACCCATTTTACAGTTATTAAAGTCATCCACATCCCATGCTCTCCCTGGCCACCAATAGAACCAACTGAAATAAAACATCTTACAATACTTCCAGAATATGTTGTTGTTTAGTCATTTAGTCGTGTCCGACTCTTCGTGACCCCATGGACCAGAGCACGCCAGGCACTTCTGTCCTCCACTGCCTCCCGCAGTTTGATCAAACTCATGCTGGTAGCTTCAAGAACACCATCCAACCATCTCATCCTCTGTCGTCCCCTTCTCCTTGTGCCCTCCATCTTTCCCAACATCAGGGTCTTTTCCAGGGAGTCTTCTCTTCTCATGAGGTGGCCAAAGTATTGGAGCCTCAGCTTCAGGATCTGTCCTTCCAGTGAGCACTGAGGGCTGATTTCCTTCAGAATGGAGAGATTTGTTCTTCTTGCAGTCCATGGGACTCTCAAGAGTCTCCTCCAGCACCATAATTCAAAAGCATCAATTCTTCGGTGATCAGCCTTCTTTATGGTCCAGCTCTCACTTCCATACATACATGTATGTATGGAATACATACTTCCAGAATATGCTCAACCTTAATTTTCATGTTAATGGGTGATCTGGATGCCACCAGGAATGCTTCAGCTGGTGTTGCAACATGTGTTAGCCACTCCTTATGTGCACTGGGGTTGGGGGACAAATCTGATTCATTTTGCACTTAAAGGCAATCCTACTTAATTCACATCTTCTGAAACAATACGCAAACCAGAACCCAGCCATCCTTCAAAATTCACGATTCTCTGATTTTTGCAATGCTGTTCTGCCAAGTAATGTGGTAGAGTGTAAAGCATATATATATATATATATATATATATATATATATATGCATATATTTATGAACATAATATACAAAAATGCATTATATTAGGGGGAATGGCTGTACAAAAATGTGTAAATTTGGTAAAGTTGCCTGTGTATGTTAGGAAAAAAATGGCATTAAAATGCTGATGAATTTAATGAGGATTCTTCTTACTGTATAATAAAATCGTTAGGTTGTCATCACGCTGCAGTTCATGTGGACACCAATAGGCAAGTAGAAGGCACTTTAGAGAGCAGTTTGCCAAACTTCTATCTGAAGCAGCTCCCCGCATCATTAAACACCACAGGAGTGGTGATGTTAAAAGGGGTGGGGGTGAGCTGTGCAGGAAGTGGGTGGTGGTCTGGGGCAACCTGTGATCAGGTAGGAATGAGCTTATACTAATCTTCCCCACCCTGTTGCCCTCCAACTGTTTTCGACTACAACTCCCATCAGCCCCAGCCTGTATGAATGCATTCTAGCTGGGGCAGATGGGAGCAGTAGTTTAAAGCAGCCGGAGGGCAACTGGTTGGGGAAGGTTGCCTTGGGCTATCCAGCTCAATATTGCTTACACCAATCAACAGCAGGCTTTTAGGCAAGGGTCTTGTCTGAGGATGCCTGGGGTTTAGCCTGGGACCTTCTGCATGCAAAGCATCTGCTCTGCCACTGAGCTACATTCCATCCTCAAAATTTATCCCTCTGCTCCCTCTGGGCAGCGTGACTCTCAGAAGCACTGCAGGGAACACTGTATATTAGATTTGCCATGGAAATAATGAATAAATAACATGAATGAATGAATGAATGAATGAATGCCCCCTTACTGAAGTGTCCCTGTGTACAGCTCTACGCGGGGCTGCCCTTGAAGCTGTCCCAGAAACTCCAGCGGGTGCAGAATGCTGCAGTGAGGCTCCTCACGGGGTCTCTGCCATGGGAGCATATTCACCCAGTGCTTTTCCAGCTGCATAGGCTCCCGGTGGAGTACAGGGCCAGATTTAAGGTGCTGGTTTTGACCTTTAAAGCCCTTCACGGCCTAGGACCCTCGTACCTACGGGACTGTCTCTCCTGGTATGCCCCACGGAGAGCCTCAAGGTCCATAAACAGCAACACCCTAGTGGTCCCGGGCCCTAAGGAAGTTAGATTAGCTTCAACCAGAGCCAGGGCCTTTTCAACTCTGGCTCCAGCCTGGTGGAACTCTCTGTCACATTAGACCAGGGCCCTGCAGGATCTGATTTCTTTCCGCAGGGCCTGTAAGACAGAGTTGTTCCGCCTGGCCTTTGGCTTGGAGCCAATTTGATTCCCTCCCCCTCTTTCTTTTTTCTTTTTCCTTTCTTCTCCTGTGATGAGGCTGCATTTTAATATTTTAATGTTTCAATATTTTAATGTTGTATTTTAATTTTGTTTTTAAGTTGTATTCATTCAGCTTGTTTTTATTATTGCTTATTAGCTGCCCTGAGCCCGGCCTTGGCTGGGGAGGGTGGGGTATAAATAAATAAATAAATAAATAATAATAATAATAATAATAATAATTATTATTATTATTACATGTGCAGCCATCTAGGTGTACCATATGCACCCTGCAGAAATAGGCCTGGACACTTTGTGTCCTCATGTAGCTAAACACAACTTGACTGTTTCTGCAGCTGTGTGTGGGAGACAAGTGCCTGGCATTCCATTTTTATTTTTTAATGGCTCCCTCCCAGGGTTGGCAGGGAACTGTGCTGCTGAGAAAATTCTGTATCTATTAATTACTCCAGGGAAAGAGGTTGTTTGCTTTGAGCAAGCACACACAGCACTGATGCTTGCTCACCAGTGGACCACTTGGAATGAAGCCCCCAGCAGCACTCCGGAGATTTCAGCGATATTTGGTTATCCCCAGGTCAACATCTGTTTTTGTGATTTCTGACTTTTGGTTGTGCTTAAGTGTGACCAAGAGACTGGAAACCACTGTAGGCAGCAGAGCTCTGAGTGCAAAGTGCCAGTGGGTTTTGTATTGCCTGGGTAATCCCTTTTGGGGGAAAAAGCTGGAAATGGGGAGAGAGATGACTGGGGCATCAGTGGTGAGAGGTCCCATGCAGAATCCAGTGTCGGGAGCTCAGCCTACACTTGAGTAGGACCCTGGCAGGTACACATGCCCGACTGGCATGTTCTCTTTCTCCTGGTCGATCATTCGGGAGCTTCAAAAGCTTTCTTCAGCACGAATATCACAGCGACCGATGCCAACAGACACTGGCACACTTAGGGATCTGCAGAGTTTGTGCAACTTGCGTAACAGACCTTAGCAACTCAGCATTTTGGCTAATCTACTTTATTTACATATAAACACACACGGAGCACTGCAACATGGCTCCCTCTCTCTCTCTAGCATCAGACAGCAAAGAGAAAAAGAACAAAGGACAATAGTCCCACTTCACGGAACACAGTAACACAAACATCCTGTCTTTGTCACTTCCCACTCTGTGGAGTCAAAACATATACCATCATGTGATAGACAAAAATCCCACGACTGCAATCATGGAGCAGGAATTCTAACATCCAGAGCCCATGTGCAGGCCTATGAGATGGTGGTGAGAGCAGCAAAGACACCTTCCTTTCAATTAATTAAATTAGCAACTCGAGATAATTGATGTCCACCCTTCTACTGTGGTTGCAATAGGTAGGGTGGTGTACAAGAACTTAATATTGCAAGAAATGCACTGAAAAAATAAAAGCCTAAAACAATAAACAATGGAACTTGCAACCTACATGTAGAGATGGACAAGTGTGATGATTATACACATGAAACAAGAATTGTGCTCTGGATGTCACTGTCAGTATGCATACATGGAGCAAAATACAAAAAAGTGATTGCCACACATGATGCTCTATGTGTTTGATGTTCTTCCATATGTGGAAGCATTTTCCATAGAGAAGTATAATATGCAAAGCAGTCGTGTGTGTGTGTGTGTGTGTATGTGTGTGTGTGTCAGACTATATCAAGCAAAACATTTTTCTGAAACCTCTTATTATAGCAGTATTTTCCCGCCCACCAGCCAGTTCCCCAACCTTCCCTTCTCCCTTAAACAATGTCCCTTGGATTAAAGGCTCCAGTCTTCTTCCTCAAAGGTTCCACTTTCCAAGTCCTGTGTCTCAAAGACAAAAGGCTGTCCATTCATCACATCAAGCAGGCCAGATTCCCCGCTCCCCTGCTATGATTTTACAACAGAGGAGCGGAAGCGACAACCCATCCTTATAAATACCTCTCAGAGAACTCAGGAATAATACCTGTGTGAGAGAAAAAGAAGGCCTCTTAATCAAGGGCGCCTCTCCCAGATATGGAGTTATATCACGATGCGGTGGGTCTGACCTGGCTAAAGGTATGGATCAAATTAGATGACTCGGATGTATTGGATTTAGAGGGAGTAGAGATGAGATTTGGATGGCATGCCTATCTAATAGATGAAAAAGTGAGAGTACATAAAGGCTTCCTAGGGCATATAATCAGAAAATCTATATATAAAATATGGGAGAAATATAAAAGACTCCTAGAACCGAAAACTCCCTGGTGGGCATCGCCAGCAGAAATTGTCGCAGTGAAAAATTAAATATGAAAGAAAATTGGGCTACCTATAAAACTGTATTAAAGGAAGAAAACGGAGAATTGGAATTAAAGGATTACACAGAAATTAAAGCTCATATTAGTGATTGGTTCTAATATATTCAAATTAAGTATAGATTAGCGAAAGACAAAAAGTTAGGATTTGAAAAGAAATATCAAAATTCGATAAATACTTAATACAAGAAAAATCAAAAATATATCTAAATTGTATAATCTGATTTTAGAGTGGGAAACAAAGGATGAATTGGTTAAAGCATCAATGATTAAATGGGCGCAAGATATTGGGAAAAATATTATGTTTGAACAATGGGAAAAATTGTGGAAAGAAGATATGAAATTCACTATGTGTTATATACTGAAAGAAAATTACCTTAAAATGCAACATAGATGGTATTTAACACCTGAAAGAATAGCAAAAATGAATAAAAGTTGTAGCGATGTCTGCTGGCGATGCAACACGGGAAAAGGTACTATGTTACATATATGGTGGAATTGTTTAAACATCAAACAATTTTGGGAAATAATATATAATGAAATGAAAAAATGTTTAGATACTCATTTAGGAAAACACCAGAAGGTTTTCTATTGGGAATAGTACCAGGAAGCCTAAAGGAAGAAGATAAGACCTTATATTTATACGCAACAGTAGCAGCAAGGCTATTGATTGCGAAAAACTGGAAAAGTGGTATAATACCGACAAAAACAGAGTGGCTTGCCAAATTATTGGAGTATTACAATATATCCAAAACAATGGAAGAAATTGGAAGGATTTCAAAAGAAAAGATAGATAGGGACTGGAAGGTGTTTAAAAGATACTTGCAAAATCATATCGAAAAATCAGAACTCCTATTAGAATAAACAAGTTCTGTTTCAAATACTGAAATATCAAATAAGATGGATAACAATGTGTAATAGAAAAAGTATGAAATTAGGCTAAAGGTGTGTGAAAGAAAGTAATAGAAGTGGAAAGAAATTGTAATTGAGTAGATTGGAAGTCAAACACAAAGGTGGGGTGAGGGGTGGTGGATGGTGATGGGGAAAGGAATTATTTCTGGGATTGAGTGTAAGTATGTTTGAACACTTTTAAGGATTGTATGAAATGTATGTTTGTATGCTTGTATATGTAAAAAAAAGAAGATTTGTTGTATTTTATGTTTTATATTCTCTTTTCTTTTTCTTTTTTCTGTGTTATTCTTTTTTCTTTATTATTGTCAGTCTTTTCTTTTGTTATATTTATGTATAGAAAATAATAAATATTACTTTAAAAAATAATAATAATAATAAAAAAGAGCGCCGACTTGCCCCCCACATTGCAGGGGCGCACCACGTGACACGTCCCACTGCTGTGGTGCTGGGGTTTACGTGTGAGTCAGGGAATGCTCCACACCTGGTACAGATCTTGTGCAGAAAGGCTCTATCTCTTGGCCTCAGCATTGGGGCTGCCATATGGGGATGCTCGTAATGAAGAAGTAATAGCAATAGTAATTTATTATTTGTACCCTGCCCAACTGGTTGGGTTTCCCCAGCCACTCTGGGCGGCTTCCAACAAAATATTAAAATACAGTTGGAAGTGTAAGGAAAAGGAGGGAACATTTTATCATATGTGGTGGGATTGTAAAGTAATTAAAAATTTTGGGGAAATGATATACAATGAATTGAAGAAAATGTTCCATTTAACATTTGTTAAAAAACCTGAGGCTTTTTTTGTTGGGGATTGTGGGGAAAGACCTGCCAAAAAAGTTGAAAAACATCTTCATGTACGCGACAACGGCCGCAAGAGTTCTGGTAGCACAAGGATGGAAGACTGAAGAAACCCCAACTGACGGAATTACTGCCCAGAGGGAACACAACTCCATATAAGGTCAATACATTCAATATACTGCAAGGCACAGACATGCCGGTCACCGAGTTCAGCGAGGCACCAGGTGGCGCTACAAGCCTTTGCCATGGCTTCATGGCTCCCACACCCAACTAAAGAATCATGGCAAGAAAAATTGATGGACTATGCAGAACTGGCAAAATTGACATATAGGCTATGGGACAAGGATAACTGTTACTTTAAGGATGAATGGGAACCTTTTACAAATTATTTGAAGACTCAACAAAGCGAACTGGACTCCTTGGCAGGTTTTGAATAAACATTCACAATTTTTTTTACTGATAATAATTAGCTAAACAGTTTGAAGATCTACATAATTCTGTAACATGCAGAAAATAGCGTTATTGGAGAAACCAAAGACTGGAACTGAAGGAAGTCGGGGGGTGGGGTGGGAGGATGGGTTTTGTGGGGGGGAGGGGGGAGGGAGGAAAAACGGGGGGGGGGAATAAGGATATGTTTTTGGAAAATATGTTTTGTTATAACTTTGAATAAATAAATTAAAAAATATATATTAAAATACAGTAATGCATCAAACATTAAAAGCTTCCCTAAACAGGACTGCCTGCCTTCAGATGTCTTCTAAATGCCAGGTAGTTGTTTATCTCTTTGGCATCTCATGGGAGGGCGTTCCACAGGGCTGGCACCACTACCGAGAAGGCCCTCTGCCTGGTTTCCTGTAGCTTAGCGTCTCTCAGTGAGGGAACCACCAGAAGGCCCTCGGCCCAGGACCTCAGTGCAGAACGATGGGGGTGGAGACGCTCCTTCAGGTATACAGGGCCGAGGCCGTTTAGGGCATTAAAGGTCAACACCAACACTTTGAATTGTGCTCGGAAACGTACTGGGAGCCAATGTAGGTCTTTCAGGACTGGTGTTATATGGTCTCGGCAGCCGCCCCGAGTCACCAGTCTAGTTGCTGCATTCTGGATTAGTTGTAGTTTCCGGGTCACCTTCAAAGGTAGCCCCACATAGAGCGCATTGCAGTAGTCCAAGCGAGAGATAACTAGAACATGCACCACTCTGGCGAGACAGTCCGCGGGCAAGTAGCGTCTGAGCCTGCATACCAGATGGAGCTGCTAGACAGCTGCCCTGGACACAGAATTGACCTGCGCCTCCATGGACAGCTGTGAGTCCAAAATGACTCCCAGGCTGCGCACCTGCTCCTTCAGGGACACAGTTGCCCCATTCAGGACCAGGGAGTCCTCCACACCAGCCCGCCCCCTGTCCCCCAAGAACAGTACTTCTGTCTTGTCAGGATTCAACCTCAATCTGTTAGCCGCCATCCATCCTCCAACCGCCTCCAGGCACTCACACAGGACCTTCACCGCCTTCACTGGTGATCCTAGCTCTCTCTGTGTGCAGGGATTTATTTATATTTCAAGTAAGAGAAGCATTCAAAGATGCACTCACACCCCGCTGCAGTTTCAAATGGCACAACCCAGCAAAAGCCCCTCCCCCAGCTGGTCTGTGCTCTTAGCTAAGTCGAAGTCACACCAAAATCAAAGTACTCAGAGTCTGGATGCAACAGGGAACTCTGATTAGTTTAAAAGCAGAAGCTAATGGTTCTGATCTTCTCCTTGTAGCCACACCAAAGGAGGGGAAGAGGGACCATGGAAACCTGAGACTGGTGCAAGTACCAGCACATATGCAACACTAAACTATAATTTAGCACAAGTGTGGGGGACCTATTGCCCAACAGATGTTGTTGGACTCTAACCCTTCCTGCCCCCTCAGCCAGCAAAACCAGAGGTTAGGGATGATGAGAGCTGTAGACCAGCAACATCTGGGGAGCTAAAGGTTTCCCATCCCTATTTTAGCATTTACATCTTAAGCAGCTCAGTGTCTAAAGGGAGAGATCAGAGAAACAGCTGGACAGAGATCAGAGGGGAAGAAGGGAACGGTTTGGGCTTTTAAAAGTGCACCTTCTGAACTCAATCCTTTGCCAGAGTTACCTCTGGGAATTCCAGTGTCTTTATTGCACAAGAAGGCTGGGATCTTAAATGCAAAGAGCAATTTCAACTCCTCGATACAAATATTCCAGCGCCCCTGATTTATTTGCTTAATAGTTTTCTCAACCTCACGCTGCTGTTGTGCTGTTTGAGTGCTCGATGACAGCCTTGGATTTTGTGTGTGTTTTTTTTGCAATTGGCCAGATCCTCCCAGAGGTTACCTTGACCCCAGTTGCAGAGGATGTACCAGATAAGTGGAATTGTAGATAAGTGAAAGCACTTCTTGCAGACTTCATCAACACACTCCCTCTTCAGCTATATATTCTTGTCCTCGGCTGTTATTTATTATTTCTCTGATATTAGCTTGGGCAAAAGGAGATTTGAGAAGTGGAAGAGCAACATAGTCGAAAGGCAATTGTATCAATAAAGCTCCTTGGAGATGTTGCAGTTTCCAACGGACTGCTAATGTCATTTGCCATGGCTATCAGAGCCCTTAGAGAGGGCGTTTGGCCACATTTTACTTACCGTATCTTTCGCTCGATAAGACGCATCAGGTAATAAGACGCACCTAGTTTTTGGAGGAGGAAAATAAGAAAAAAAATATTCTGAATCCCAGAAGCCAGAACAGCAAGAGGGATCGCTGTGCAGCGAAAGCAGCGATCCCTCTTGCTGTTCTGGCTTCTGGGATAGCTGCGCAGCCTTCATTCGCTCCATATGACGCACACACATTTCCCCTTACTTTTTAGGAGAGAAAAAGTGAGTCTTATAGAGCAAAAAATATGGTATATGCAAATAAAGACCTTGCTTTTGAATTTCCTGTTACTGTGCCAACATTCCACCCATATACTACTCAGTCCCTGAACTTCCTCCAAAATTTCAGGTGAGGAACCTGTGCCTGCGTAGGTGTTGGACTCCAACTCCCATCAGCCTCAGCCAGCATGGCCAAAGGTCAAGGATGATGGGAGTTGTGATCCAATGATGGGCCACAGGTTCAAATCTTCATCCAGAAATTATTTTACTTAATATCAGTCCACAACACGTAGCTGGTTTTCCTGCCTGGCATGTGGAACATTTTGCAGTGACCTTGTTAATTTCTGCCCTTCTATGCAGTTTGCCTAATCGCACTGGACTGGTAAATGTTAGTGTGTGTGTGTGTGTGTGTGTGTGTGTGTGTGTGTGTTTGCAAGACATCCTTAACTTCTCAAATTTATTTCCTGACCCTTCATCGTTCTGTAGTCTTCCAACAGAACACCAACCCCAAAGTTCTCAGTCACAAAGATGAGGCTTGGCAAAGCTTCAGGAATCCAAATCAAATAGGAAATAGCTTACAAGCTGCCTACACCAGAAATGGAAATTTAATAGTAACCAATTGCCGCTGGCCAGCGTTAAGCTTCATATAGAATAGTTACTCCGTTTCCAGACTTGTGGAATCTAAATAACATTCAGTAGCCACCAGCACAGTCCCTGTGGGGAATGTATGGTTTCTTTAATTGGAGGTTTTTTCTTTTGTTTTAGCCAAGGTTGGATAGCCATAATAATAATAATAATAATAATAATAATAATAATAATAATAATTTATTTATACCCCGCCCATCTGGCTGAGTTTCCCCAGCCACTCTGGGTGGCTTCCAATCAAGTGTTAAAAACAATACAGCATTAAATATTAAAAATTTCCCTAAACAGGGCTGCCTTCAGATGTCTTTTAAAGATAAGATAGCTACTTATTTCCTTCACATCTGAAGGGAGGGCGTTCCACAGGGCAGGTGCCACTACCGAGAAGGCCCTCTGTCTGGTTCCCTTTAACCTCGCAATGAGGGAACCGCCAGAAGGCCCTCGGCGCTGGATCTCAGTGTCTGGGCTGAACGATGGGGGTGGAGACACTCCTTCAGGTATACAGAACCAAGGCCATTTTGGGCTTTAAAGGTCAGCACCAACACTTTGAATTGTGCTCGGAAACGTACTGGGAGTCAATGCAGATCTCTCAGGACGAGTGTTATGTGGTCCCGGCGACCACTCCCAGTCACCAGTCTAGCTGCTGCATTCTGGATTAGTTGCAGTTTCTGGGTCACCTTCAAAGGTAGCCCCACATAGAGCGCATTGCAGTAGTCGAAGTGGGAGATAATTAGAGCATGCACCATGCTGGCGAGACAGTCTGCGGGCAGGTAGGGTCTCAGCCTGTGTACCAGGTGGAGCTGGTAGACAGCTGCCCTGGACACAGAATTGACCTGTGCCTCCATGGACAGCTGTGAGTCCAGAATGACTCCCATGCTGCACACCTGCTCCTTCAGGGGCACAGTTCCCCCATTCAGGACCAGGGAGGTAGGGTCTCAGCCTGCGTACCAACTCTACAATTCTATGTTTCATAGTGTATTCTTCCCTCCTCACCACAATCCTGATTATGACTGCTCCCCCTGCAATTTAAGGGGTGGAGGAGAAAAGAAATGGATATAAAAGCAATGAGGTTAGGGAAGCAAAGTGTTAAAGTGAAAGAGTTGATTCCCAGAAGGTAGAGATGAACCACAGAGTTGGAAATGGGCAGAGCAATCTATAGAGGCCATAACATATTGGGGGATATTGTGGGGGAACTGTTCCATTGCATTCAAGATAATGTGTTTTCCCCCCTGAGCTCTGGTGGGAGATATGATAGATTAACAGGGAAAACATGTTCATGATGCCATGCAGTGAGGGAATGGAGCTATTCCATAGGGCAGCACAAGACACAGCACAAATAAGGATTTTATTTTATATGGCACCCATGCTGGCCATTTATGATAATATGAAATACAGTAGAAAATGGGGTCTGCTGCGACCCACAAATACACATTCAATTTCAGTTTCTTATTTTTCCAGTCTTAAATTCAGTTCTCCACATTTCCACATCAGTTTCGTGTGTTTTTTTAAAGTCCTCGTGAAAATTCACCAGCATTTTCATGTGGATTTCTTCTAATATACACACGTGTCTGTACTTTTGCCTAACACGTAATTTCCCCCAATATAAAGCAGTATGTTATTTTCACTAATATATGCTTTTTCATTCCCTTTACTCCAGCATGTGTGTTTTAGTACCCATTACTTGGCTGCAAAATGTGTAGAAATGCAAATTTCGGTCCGTGCGTTGTTTCAGAATGTGCAGCTTAGGCGCATTCACCTGAATGCAATTGGAACTGAATTTCTTCCCTCCCCCTAAAATTCTCCCCCATCCTTCAAACCGGTTTCTTAATTCACAGTCGTTGCTCCACCATCAAGTTAACAGTTTTCAAAGTTTGTCTCAGTGAACCCTCCAAGTTGTGTTTGTTAGTTACCTGATCCTTCACCCTAAGGTCCCCAGGGTGGGTTGAAACATTAAAACATAGTATTTAAAACAGTTTAAAAGAAGCTTATAATCACAAATATAAGGTGGGTCCTAAAAAAGATACACCTCAAATGTCAAAAGCCGAGGTTGAGAGGTCTTCAGTGTTTGCTGGAAGCTGTACAATGAAGATGCCAGATTCACCTTTGTGGGGAGGAAGTTTCACAGCCTAGGGGACACCACAGAGAAGGCCCTGTCCCAGACAGCCACCCCTTGAACCTCTGAGGGCAGAGGAACTAACAAGGGGGCCTCCTCTGCCGATCTCAACACCTGAGAGGGTTTGCAGGAAAAGAGGCGGTCTTTTAGCCTGAGTTGTTTAGGGCTTTAAACACTAATGTGAGCACCTTGAATTGGGCCCAAAAATGAATGGGCAATCAGAGCAACTGTTTTAAAACAGGAGTTATGGGAGATCTCAATGGAACCCCAGCCAATAATCTGGCTGCTGCATTTTGTACCAGTTGATGTTTCTGAGTAGTCTTCAAGGGCAGCCCCTTGCCTTGCAACAATCCAACCTGGAAGTTACTAGAGCAGGAATCCCCAACCTTCAGCCCTCCAGATGTTTTGGACTACAATTCCCATCATCCCTGACCACTGGTCCTGTTAGCTAGGGATCATGGGAGTTGTAGGCCAAAACAACTGGAGGGCTGCAGGTTCAGGATGCCTGTACTAGAGCATGGAGCACAGTGGCTAAGTCATCTCTGTCCAAAAGGGACCATAGGTGGCAAACCAGCTGGAGCTGTAAAAAGGCACTTGTTGCTACTGAGGCCACCTAAGCCGCCAGTGACAGTGCTGAGTCCAGGGACTCAGCTACATTAGACAAAAAATGCTTTGAATTCATTATAAACATGCAACACCAGATGGCGCCAGAGAGCAAAAATAATTTAATGCGATTTTTACATAGCGGTTTTTCCTCTTTTTGTTATAACAATTTAATTTCTGACTTATAGCATTTCCTGCCCCCCTGTGTGCAGATCCCTCCCAGGAGCACCCCCAAGCTACAAACGTGCTCCTTCTAGGGGAGTGCAACCCTGTCCAGGGCAGGCCGCTTCTCCACCTCATGGATGTGAGAACCCAGGACACACAACATCTCTGTCTTTTCAGGATTCAGCTTCAGTTTCTCTACCCACATCCAATCCATCACTGCCTCTCCTAATTCAGATGAAACAGAGCTAGAGCTATGGATGACACTTCACACCAAATCTCCTGATGACAGCGGCCAAAGGCCTCAGACAGATTTTAAATAACATGGGTTGACAAGATGGAGCCAGGACAACTCTCATGGTGCTGAACAGTATCCTCCCATGACTACTTTTGGAAATGGTGACGGACATAGGAGAGGAACCGCTGAAGTACGGTGCCCCCCACCTTCCTGAGAATACCTCAGAAGGATACTGTGGTTAATGGTAACGAGAGCCACCAGAAGATCAAGAACAATCAGGGTCACAATTCCCCCATCTCTCTCCCGATAAATGCCATCAAAAAGGGGGACCAAGGTAGTTTCAGTGCCATGACTAGGCCTGAAGCCAGACTGGAATGAGAACAACTGAAAGCACCGGTACATAAGACATGAGAGATCTGTGAACTATTCCATTAGGGTTTTTTTTAACTTAAAAGAAGCTGTGAGTCACATCAACTTCATAGTATTATGTGGGGAGTTAACCCTTTACCCGACACCACTTTTTTTTATAAAAAAAATAATACTCTAAGCTTCCCCCTTTCTTGCTACATGCTGCTGTTTGTTCTGGTCAAGAGAAAATACATGTACTATAGCTCACCTGATTTTTTTTCTTTGCGGGCAAGCGGAAGCATGAGGGGACGTTTAAATCAGGGAAACGGCATAAGAAGAAAGGGTTACCCCCCCTCCCCATGCAATATAGATTAATCCATTCTTTGCCCTGCTGGCAGCTTTTAACTTTTAAAAATGGAGGTGCTGATCTTCCAGGCTGTATCTATTGAAGTGTGACTCTGAGCCTCCTTGAATATTACCAAGAAATTACACTGATTTGGAGAGTTAATGCTCACTCTTACCTTTGGTTTAGGTTCTGGGAACCAGGATATGAAAAAAGAGGGGGAAGCAAGGGCCTGCGGTCCCCATAGTGTAGGGAGCCAGTGTATCACCTAGAGAGCTTCTCATGAGACCCACGGTGCTTCCCTTTTATTACCGAGGCAAACATGTAGAAAGGGGCAAATCAGCGATGGAGCACACATTTTGCATGCAGAAGGTCTCAGGTTCAACTTTCAACATATTTGGTTCATAGGTAGCAGAACCACTTGGAAAGACCGTTGCATGAGAGTTTGGAAAGCTTCTACCAATTCAGTAGATAAGGGGTGGGCAAGCTATGGCGAGATGTTGTTCGATGGCAGCTCTCATGATCCTTGACCATTAACCACATGGGCTCGGGCTGATGTGAGATGGACTCCCACAACATCTGGAGGGTCAGATTTGATACAAAGCATCTCAAAACATTCATTTGGGGCTCACCCAGACTTCCTTTTGCACTACACTTTCCAGGCACAGGTCAGGTGGCGTCCTGTTCAAGGCCAAAATTCGGCAATCCCCGGCTCTTGCCTTCCATGCTGCTAAATTCATTATGTCATAGCTGCAACGCCTTATGGCCCCACCCTCGGTTCAGCACCCGGTGTGTGAGAACCGGTTGTGCTGCCCTAAATCTGCCTCTGATCGGAAACCCCCCTTTTACTACTGAATCAGAGCAAACGACAATTCGCGGAAAACCCAATTGCCATTTTCTCCGATTCAGTGGTAAAATGTGGGCTTTCCTGGGTAAAGTCCCAGGACAAACAGACAGCGACAAAACCTGCTCGGACATGGAGCTTTAAGGCCCAGACCTGGGCCTAGAAATGCAATGCAAAAGGAAGTCTAGATGAGCGCTAAGTAAGCTTTTGGTTTGTGGGTTCACACAGCAAAGGGGGGAAATAAAACCTCCCCAGAAGTTTGAAAATCAAGTTTCTGTTTTGCAGAATCTGTTTGAGTACCTGGCAAAATCAAGTCGCAACACAACTCATAGGTAGGCATACTTAATCCTAAGAACACTGAGGTTTGGTACATTTTGGAATGTAAATGGTAAGAACAGAAGCTTTGGCTTCTTTTGTAATTCTCTGTCTCTCCAGGAAAGCATGGGTCCCTCTTTGATAATTCTTGGCATAACTCCACAGATCATAGAATCATAGAACCGCAGAGTTAGAAGGGACCCCAAGGGTCATCTAGTCCAACCTCCTGCAATGCCAGGAATCACAGCTAAAGCATCCATGACAGATGGTCATCCAACCTCTGATTAAAAACTTCCAAGAAAGGAGACTCCACAACCTATAAAGTTTTTTCATATGCTTAGTCAGAATCTCCCTTCTTGGAACTTGGAGCCGTTGATTCGGGTCCTACCCCCGTGTGTTCTGAATTCACATGATTCAGGGGGACTAATGCGTAAGCCGGTCCCTCGCTGGCTTTGGGAGCAGGTGTACAGTGCCCGTTTTTCATATGAGAGGTAGGAACGGTGGAGGAGGTTTCTGTTCGGTAAATCTGAGCTTGCTTTTCGCAAAGGCCAAATTTGCTCAGCAAAATGAAAAAATCCTTGCGGAAATTCTTGGTGAAGATGGCGTACAGGAATGGGTTGGCGCACGAGTTGATGGGGTAGAACAAAACCAGGAGGATCTTTGAGTTGGACACGGTGATGAGAGGGTACTTGAGCGATGCTGATATGGCGAAAAAGGAGATGGGTGCCATGCAGAGGAAGTCCGTGAAGATCAGGACCGCCATGCGCTTGGCAATTTTGGTGTCGCTGTTCGATGAGATGATGTTGGGGTTCCTCACAGTGATGTAGATGCTGACGTAGCAAGTGCAGATGATGAGAAAGGCCAGGATGTTCAGTACCAGCAGAAACATGATATATGCCTGGGCAAGGCGAGTTTCTATATCCATGGGTAGGCAGATGCTAACTTTCATGTAGCTGCTGACTTGGAAAATGGGGAGGATGGCCACAGTGAAGGCAAAAGCCCATCCGACAAGCATGAAGGCCACAGCGTGTCGGAAGCGGACCTTGCGTTCTAGCTCCATGGCATAGGTTATGGTGTGCCACCGCTCCAACGTAATGAAGGTCAGGGTGTAGACGGAAAGTTCGCTGGCAAAAACAGTGAAGAAGCCGGCTGCCTTGCAACCCGCACCCGTTTGCCAGTCGATGGCATAGTTGTAATACTGGCTTTTGGTCTGTATGTCTTTGATGGCGATCAGCAACAGATAGATGCCGGTGCAGAGGTCTGCAAACGCAAGGTTGCACATGAGGAACCGAGGGACAGTGAGCTTGGAATGGCTGTTGACTATGATCAGGAACACAACCAGGTTCCCCATGATGGCGAGGATGCTGATGAACCATATGAGAACCCGGAGGACGTTGTAGCCCATGATGTCTTCACAGGGGTTGAAGGCATCCGGCTCAGGGAAGCAAATGACTTCAACCTCTTCCATGCACAGGCTTTGGTAGTAATCGTGCTCGTCGTCCAGGTCAAAATCTGTCCCGTCGATATCTAGCAGAAGAGATAACTTATTGCATATGGGGTGGAAAAAAGAACTGGAAGGGAAGAAAAAGAATATGGTCACAAACCTCAAAAATGCAGCAAGAAAGAAAGAATTGCACATGCGCAGGTACACACACAAACTATTGCATTTTTCCTTGTTAACTGTGGCGCAACCCTTTGCAGTTCTCTTTTTACTGACAAATTACTTCTGGGTCCAGTTCAAGGTGCAGATACTTACCTTTAGAATCCTAAATGGCTTGGGGTTCAAATATATGAAGGGGCACCTACTCCCATCTCAACTTCTTTAAGATCATCTGCCCTATCCATGTTCATTGTCCATTGGCAGCACAGAGATAACCTACAAGGCAGAGGGCTTTCTCACCAATGGCACCCCTACATATGGGAAGCTCCTCCCACAAGACTTTGTCCATTCCCACTAATTATACACATGGTCATGTGTAATTTTGCACAATGCATACATTTTTGCAAAGCAATTTCCCCCAATATAATGTAAGTTATTTTATATATCTTTTGTGCTTTAAAAAAAATTAACATATGCACTTATATGGACAGTTTAACAGCCCCACCCCCAATATAGGCATTTATGCATGCATTGCCTAATAATAATATAATAATAATAATTTATTATTTATACCCCGCCCATCTGGGTTTCCCCAGCCACTCTGGAAGGCTTCCAACCGAATATTAAAGACAATACAGCACCAAACATTAAAAAGCAAAATATAAACCATACAACAGCCTAACAAAACAGTAAAAGGAAAAACAAAGCCAAAAACAATTATACTAAAATAAAACTAATCCGCACCACAACTCAACATTTGTCCCACCCCAAACAAAATAAAAAAATAAAAATAAAAATAAAAATATATAAATAGAAACCATCGTTCACAGTGCAACAAAGTAAAAATGCTTTAAAAACGTTTAAAAATATGTAAAACCATTTTCGACATTTGCTGCAGCAGTAGCAGCAGCAGCAGCAGCAGTGTCCTGAGGCCTCGCTGGAGCCTCTTAAAGCAGTGGTGGTGAGTGTGGGCCCCACCCCCTAGGAACTGGCTTGCAGGGGGGAGCGGCCTTCCTCAACACCCACAATGCCTAGCGGCAGAACTGCTCTGCAAAATTCAGAGAAGTCTCAATTTCAGCTATGTTTCGGTTCGCATATTATTTCAGGAAGTATGAATTAAGTAGGCTCCCCTTCAAATGCGAAAAGAACCGAATTCTCTCTCTCCCACCTCCCCAATCCCTAAACAGCCCCAGCTTCACCTCTCGTCTTCCTCGTGTGTGTGGGAGGGAAGCCTATCTTGAACACAAAAGCTGACTTGTAGTCTCTGCCGTCGAACGCAATCCCATGAAAGAATCATCACCTTTCTTTGATTTCTTTGATCAAAGCTTAGGAGGAAACAACAGCAACTCTCTGGATGACTGACTGCAGAGGAGGTTTGGAAACCGACATTGCATTTCTATGCCAAGTGGAGTGGTCTTTGTGTGTGTGTGTGTGTGTGTGTGTGTGTGTGTGTGTGTGGAGAGATAAAACAGCCACCCAGCCCACACTCCCCTCTGTGTGGGAGAGAGGTTGTTGGCGAGAAGAAAGTCTTTCTCTTTGTGAACGTTGAGGAAGAAAGCCTTGCTTGAGGTGGAAATCTTTTACACTGGCAAACGCAGAGTCCTGAGAGGGCAGCACCTTAATGAGGTTTCAGTGCATTCTGATTCCACCAGCCTTTCTCTCTCCTGTTCACTCTTGTTATATCTCCCTCGCATACCTCCACAGAAATTCCCAGGAGAATCGTCTCGGTCTTGAAATAAACGCAGAGCAAATACTCAGGATATTTCTAGCAATATGATGTGCATTATTTATCGCCTTTGGCCAACTTGGGAGACTGGGGCATGGATCTGTGTTATACGTTCGACCTCCACAGTCAGAGCCAGCAGTGGTTCTGAATACCAGTTGCTGGAAGCCACAGGAGGGCAGAGCGCTGTTGCATTCAGATCCCGCTTGTGGGTCACCCATGGCTGCCATGAGAAGAGGGTAGAATCAAAGAATTGTAGAGTGGGAAGGGGCCCCAGGGGCCACCTAATTCAACCCCTTGCTGTTATGTACTGAAGTTCTCACCCTGGGCCAGTAGGGGGATGCTGTAGATAGTTATGCAAATAAGGGATCGAAAGTGACGTTCCGTGATTGGATAGTTTAAAAAGTGGTTACAGTAACGTTGTACTGGAGCTCTATATAAGCAGGCTGACTGAACCCTTCAGTTCAGTTCTGTCCTGGCTTGTGAATAAACAAGAGCTGTTTGAAGAATCGCTGTGTTGTCTGATATGTTCACCCACAACCTAACACCTGCAATGCAGGAATCTCAACTAAAGCATTCATGACAGATGGGCAGCCAACCTCTGCTTAAAAACCTCTAACGAAGGGCAGATCAACACCTTCCAAGGGAGTCCATTTCACTGTTGAACAGCTCTTGTGAATCGAGGACCCGCCACCCGCATAGGATTATAATAAGACACAAAGACACATTATTTTAGGCTAATGGGCAAAATAAGGCCACAACTTTCTTGGTTACAGCATGTGGGTAGTATTGGCTTAGACATTGGATAAAAACAGCAACACATGACTCCACCCTGCTCAGCAGGGAGTCATTTCAGGGTTAACAACCAGTGGAAGGAGCTTGTTGATGCAAATACAACTGGAAGCTCCCCCCTGATGTCACCGGGGGTCGTGCTATGGCTCTAGCCACCAGCAGGGCATCGGACAGGATCCATGACCACCGGATACCTTTAACGGAATACCCAAAAGAGGAGGGGCCAATGATGGCCCATACCCAATCCTCCAACACAGCACACCTATTCCAATGCCTAATTGCCAATACCAGAAAGTTGTGACGAGTTGCTACGAGGTAGGCGGAGAAACCAAGAGACTGGTGCCAATTTGCCAAATGGATAAAAAAGTCCTACCAGGCCCCTTGGGCAACCAAAGCAACCAACCGAAGTCCATAGCAAGGTCAATACGCAAAGGAAGCTGACCTAAAAGGGAGGAAGGGTGGGACATCTGATGCAAGCAGGAACAGACTGATATTAAGATGGAATCTCCTTTCTTGTAGCTTGAAGCCACTGGTTCACGTCCTTGTGACAGCCCTTGAGATATTCGAAGATTACTATTTTATCTACTCTCTCAGTGTCCTTTTATCCAGGCTTACTCAGCTCTCTTAACTGTTCCTCATAAGGCTTGGTTTCCAGACCCTTGATCACCTTGGTTGCCCTCCTTTACACGTGCTCCAGCTTCTTAAATTGTGGTGCCCAGAACTCTATCCTTATTTTCTTAAATAGTCACCTGGGGTGACATCTCAGTAGCAGGGAGCAAAAAGCTCCTAGCTGCTCTTAGCCGTGCTTGATCAAGCTACGGGGCCAATTCATATTTCCTTGTCTTCTATCTGCCTCCCATGTTACGGCAGAGGGCTTTAAGCTTTCCAGCCAGGCCTCTACCATGGCACATGTATGTGTTTGTGGAAGAGCCCTTCTGAGCTGCCCTAACCATCCACCTGAATCTAAGGGAACAAGGGAGGCGGAGGTGCATTTATTTGACCTGCACCAGAAACAGGGGAGACCCCCAAATCAGCTAGGGAGACAGCTTGCTGTAGTTCTTAGAACCTCTGCAGGTAGCGAACATGTCTGTTGTCAAACCAGCATCTGTTCAGGGCTGCCCCAAGGTGTCTGGTGACGTATGGTAACAACTTCACGGTGAGTCCCAGCACCTATTTTTCTTGGGGGAAAGCACTGTACACACACTTCTGCCTGTCTACCTATCTGTCTGTCTATTCTAGACACTTATCAAGTGAAAGAACCACTGTCCATTTGCTTGTGGATTACTTATCAACTGCAAAGACATTTCCAAAGCTGCAATCTTACACACTTACCTGGGAGCAAGTCGCATTGGACTCAGTTGGGCTTACTTCTGAATGCACAGCATTGTGCTGTCAAGTACTTCTTAAGTGAGGAGTACATACTCAGGATCACTTAAAGCAGATTGGTTGCGCCTTAAGCGCCAGGACATCCTGAGCATATGCACTCTTGGTCTGCATATTTCGAACATGAGTGGTGGACCAGGAGGGTCCTCATAAATAATAATAATAATGGATTTTGCAAAGCTGAAGCCAGCCCACCTATGCCGTGAAACACTGAACCGAGAAGCAGTTAAATGCATGATCGGCAACACAAACCAACAGAGTTTGTGGGTTAATTAAATCAATCAACGTGCAAATCTCAAAGAATACTTGAGAAAGATGGAGATAAATGAGGAGGACCCTTGATGCTTGAAGGCCCGGCGATACCCCACTGGTGGCAAATCATTTGTAGGGAAGGTTGATTTAAGAGGCTGAGGAGGCCCTGTGATTAGCATTGGTAAAGCTCCACGGGGGTCTTGCTAATGAATCTTTTCGAAAATCAGGAACGCAAATGCACGCTGTGGGTGTATCAATTTCATCGTGCCCACTCCTATCCTGTCCTATGGCTGCCCAAATGTCTATGGTCCTCTTCCCATCTGCCAAAGTGATAGAGAGCCTCCGGAAGCAGCCTTTTATGCAGTCAGTTCTTTTGTGAAGGCAAGTCTTGCAAACTTGAGGATGGTTTCTACTTTGCCAGTGTCTGTCATTTACATACCTATTCTACATCGGAAGACCAAGCAGGCATTCAGATAGTCTGAATAACATCAGTCCTCCCTCAGAGGCAAACAACGTGTACCTGAATGCACCACCCAAAGCCTGCTTCTTTTTGGCAAGCTGCAAAAAAGGAAAGATTTCTCTCGCTTCTGTTGGTTGGATTCAAAATGGCCTAACAACTTCCTTGGGCTCTCGCCTGAGCAGGCAAGAGTCTGTCTGGTAGCGAGCAGGGATGGATGAATATGTCAATTTTGGTTTATCTCAGATTCTCATTTTCCTAGTCTTAGGCTCAGTACTCTACATTCCCACACCAGTTTGTACAGGTTTTGTTTTTTAATGTCCCATGACAATTTGTCAGCGTTTTGGCACAAATTTCTCCTAATATACACATTTTTGTATGCTGCTATAATGCAACTCTATACATTCAGAGCCGTAGCTAGGTGATCTTGCGCCCCTGGCAGAACCGTCCAGATTAAGCCCCCTAGCCGCAGACAAATTAGCTCTCCTTTCCGCCTCTCCTCCAACCTCCCCCCTCCACCCATTCAATTCACCCTCTATTAAAAACCTTTTCTTATGAGGCAATAATTGATATTTTTATTTACAGACATATTTATGTACATGTTTTTATCTGATTTTGCACCCCCTTTTCGCTTGCGCCCCTGGCGGGGGCCCACTTCACCACCCCCTAGCTACGGCCCTGTATACATTATTTCCACCAATCTATGCAGATTTATGCAAGCTTTACATAGCAAATGTACTTTTTTTTTTAAAGAATATTTATTCCAATTTTAAAATTACAAAAAAAGTAGAAAAAAAAACAAACCACATACATCTTACAAAAAACAGACAGTAAAAAAAGAAATAAAAAAGACAAAAAATCACAATAGAAAATAACAAAAATCAAATTAGACCATTACAACCGTCTTCCCATTTACTTGTTTCCATGACTTCCTCTCACCTCCCTGCTTTGTATTCTAGTTTAAATCGTATCTCCAGCAAATCCTTCTAACCTTCTTTTCTTTTACTTATTTTAACATTCGAAAGTATTTAATTCTCCTCTATCCTCATTTTACACTTCATATTTACTTATTCCATTATACCCTGTCTGCCAATACGGTCTAATATTCTTCTCCAACCTTTTCTAACATTCTTTTATATTACAGTGTTTCTGAAGATATATTTTAAATTTTTTCCAGTCTTCTTCCATCAACCCTTCTTCCTGATCTCGAATTCTGCCGGTCATCTCAGCCAGTTCCATATAGTCCATCACTTTCCTCTGCCATTCTTCTCGGGTAGGCAATTCTTGTGTCTTCCAGTATTTCCCAATAAGTATTCTTGCCGCTGCTGTCGCATACATAAAAAATTCCTGTCTTCCCTTCGCACCAATTGGCCGACCATGCCCAAGAGGAAAGCCTCTGGTTTCTTCACAAAAGTGTATTTCAATACCTTTTTTAATTCATTATATATCATTTCCCAGAAGGCCTTGATCTTTGGGCACGTCCACCAAAGGTGAAAAAAGGTTCCTTCATTTTCTTTGCATTTCCAACATTTATTATCGGGCAAGTGATAGATTTTAGCTAGCTTGACTGGGGTTAAGTACCACCTATAGATCATTTTCATTATATTTTCTCTTAATACATTGCAAGCCGTAAACTTCATACCTGTGGTCCATAACCGTTCCCAGTCAGCAAACATAATATTATGCCCAACATCTTGTGCCCATTTAATCATAGCAGACTTAACCATTTCATCCTGTGTATTCCATTTCAACAGCAGATTATACATTCTTGACAGATTTTTAGTTTTAGGTTATAACAAGTCCGTTTCCAGTTTAGATTTTTCCTCCTGGAAACCAATCTTTTATCTAGGTTAAAAACCTCCCTTATTTGATAGTAGTGAAGCCAATCTCGAACTTTAGTTTTTAATTTATCAAAGCTCTGCAATTTTAATTTATCTCCAACTTGTTCTAAAATTTCACAATATTTTGGCCAGTTTGTCTCCATATTTGTTTTTTTCAATGCCTTTGCCTCCATTGGTGACAGCCACCTTGGTGTTTTACTTTCCAACAAATCCTTATATCTCACCCAAACATTAAACAATGCTTTCCTGACAATATGATTCTTAAAGGCCTTATGCGCTTTAACTTTGTCATACCATAAATATGCATGCCATCCAAACACATTATCAAAACCTTCTAGATCTAAAATGTCCACATTTTCAAGAAGTAGCCAATCTTTCAGCCAACAAAAAGCGGCTGATTCATAGTAAAGTTTAAGATCTGGCAGGGCAAATCCCCTCTTTCCTTCGCGTCTGTTAATATCTTAAATTTTATTCTAGGCTTTTGCCCTGCCAGATAAATTTGGAAATATCTCTTTGCCACCTCTTGAAACAGTCCATTTTGTCCACAATTTGTAATGTTTGAAACAAAAACAACATTCTAGGCAATACATTCATCTTTATCGCTGCAATTCGGCCCAACAATGATAACTTCAATTTTGACCATATTTCTAAATCCTTCTTCACTTCTGACCAACATTTTTCATAATTATCTTTAAACAGATTCACATTTTTGGCAGTCATATTCACCCCTAGATATTTCACTTTATTAACTATTGTTAATCCTGTCTCTTTCTGAAACCTCTCCTTCTCAATCTCTGTAAGGTTTTCTCTAATACCTTAGTTTTCGTCTTGTTTAATTTGAAACCTGCTACTTGACCAAATTCTTGGATTAATTGTAATACTCTTTTTGTGCTAGCTTCTGGCTCCTGTAATGTCAAAACTAAATCATCAGCAAAAGCTTTCAATTTGTACTGTTTAGCTCCGAGTTGTATACCTTTAACCAATTGGTCTTTTCTAATCATATTGAGCAAAACCTCCAGGACCGATATAAAAAGCAATGGGGAGATTGGGCAACCCTGTCTTGTTCCTTTCTCTATCTTAAATTCTTCTGTAACTACATTGTTCACAATAAGCTTGGCTTTTTGTTCCGAATAAATTGCACCTATACCATTTTCAAAACTTTGGCCTACCCCCATCCCCTGCAAATTTTTCTTCATAAAACTCCAAGAAATATTGTCAAACGCTTTCTCTGCATCTACAAATATTAAGACAGCTTTAGTATTGATATTAACTTGCAATTTTTCCAAAATATTAATAATATTCCTAGTATTATCTGACAAATGTCTCCCAGGAGAAAGCCCGCCTGGTCTTTATGAATCTCTTTTACCAATACATTTTTTAATCTTTTAGCCATAATTTCCGCAAAAATTTTGTAATCCACATTAAGTAGGGATATGGGACGGTAGTTCTTCAACTGTGTCTTCTCCACTTCGGTTTTTGGTATAAGTGTAATGTATGCTTCTTTCCACGACTCGGGTGCTTTTCCTCACCGTAGTATTTCATTGCAAAGTTCTTTCAACGGTTGCAATAACCATTCTTTCAAAGTTTTGTAGTACTTTGCAGTTAGTCCATCCGGTCCTGGAGATTTGCCCAATTTCATATTCTGAATGGCTCCTTCCACCTCTTGATCAGATATTGTAGAGTTTAATATTGATTTACTCTCTTGAGATACTTTTTGTAATCCATTATTTTTCAAAAATCGGTCAATGTCTAATTCTTTCTGAGTCTCCTGCGTATATAACTGTTTAAAATAGTTCTGAAAGCACTTCCGAATCTCTCCAGGATTCTGTATGTTCTTCCCTTCTACTACCAAGTTCGTAATCGTATTCAGCTTTTGTCTTTTTTTCATTTGCCAGGCCAGTAATTTCCCACATTTATTTGCCGATTCGAAAGTCTTTTGTTTCATCTGTTTGATCTTCCATTCTATCTCCTGGTTCATCAGTTTCATATATTGTACTTGGTATAGCTTTATCTCTTTTAGAATCTCCTGTGAGTTCGGTTTCGCCCTCAGTCTTTTTTCTCCATCCTTAATTTTCTCCAAGATTTTTCTCTCTTCTCATTTTGATATCTTTTCCTAATTGCGTTTTGTTGTATCAAAATCCTCTCATCACCGCTTTGCTGGCATCCCAAATCACTCTTTTTCTGTCGTGGTATTCAAATTTATCTCAAAATAGTCTCTCAAATTCTTCTGAGCCTTTTTAATAATTTCCTCATTCCTAAATAAGGTGTCATTCATCCTCCATCTAAAAGCTCCAATTGGCGTTGGTATCATTTCAATCTTTACTGGGTTGTGATCAGAGCAAATTTTCGGGCAAATCACCGCTTTTTAATCTTAGGGGCCAGTCCTCTAGTTATCCAGATTTGGTCTATTCTTGTCCATGTCATATTTGCTTCAGAGAAGAAGGTTCCCTCTCTTTCCAAGGGGTTCTTTATTCGCCAAATATCCACAAGATCCATATTGTCAGTCATTTCAAAAAATGTCCTTGGTAATCTTCCATCTTTTGTCACTGTTTGTCTTTGGGCTTTATCCATATTTGTAGACACTACTCCATTCATATCTCCCATCAAAATAATGTTATAATCCAAATAATCCAGGAGAGTTTCATGCAATTTCTTAAAGAATTCTGATTTTCCCTCATTTGGTGCATATACACCTATTATCAAAAATTTCTGTCCTTGGAACTGAATTTCAATTGCTATGTATCTTCCTTGGTCATCTTTAAATATAAATTTTGGTGACAGGCTTTCCTTCGCATAAAGTACTACCCCTCTTTTTTTAACATTGTCCGATGAAATGAATTCTTGTCCCAGTCTTTTCTTTATCAAAATTTTTCGATGTAGCCTTGTCACATGAGTTTCTTGTAAGCAAATCAAGTCCAAATGTTCTTTTTTCAATGTGTGAAATACTCTCCCCCTTTTTGCCGACGAATTTAGACCGTTAATATTCCAACTTAAAACTTGTAGTGTCATTTTGTAGTTACTCTCCTTCTCCTCCAACAGCCCCAAGAAGATTGTCAATATCTGTTGGTGGCGTTGATTTCACTTTTTTTTGCAGACTCTTATCCGGTATCGCAGTGTCTTTTCCCAGTCCTTTCTGTAGATCTTCTTCGTATGCACTCAAAAACTTGTTCTTTTCCTCCACAGATCTAATCTTGGTCTTTCTTCCTTTAAAACTAAAGGATAGACCTTGGGGAAATTCCCACCTGAAAAGGATTTTATTTTTTCTCAACAAGTCCACCAAATCTCCAAAATCCTTTCTTAAATCAAGAAGATGTTTTGGTATATCTTTAAAGATTTCCACTTTTGATTGTATGATTGTCAAGGGTTTTTCGTAATGCAGGCCCAAAATTTTGTCCCTTTCTTCTTTGGATCGGAGGGTGATCAGACAATCCCTTATTTTAATCTTTCTTCCTCCTTTCCCCAGTCGAAAGGCCCTCACAATCCTAAAGTCCTCTTGTTTCAATTCCGATTTCCAAAAATCCAGAAATTCTTGTGTCAAAAAGTCTATCAGGGTGCCTTTCTCCAACTCAGGAACAGCTCTAATTCTAAGATTCGTTTGTTTGTCTTTAAGGTCAATCATAGACAACGTTAACTTATGTTCTGCAATCTCTTTCTGCAGGTCTGGTACCTTTTCAGTTTCCAATTGCCCCAATTTAAATTCTACAGCAGCAGTCTTTTCCTGTATGGACTTTGAGTCTTGCAGTAATCTCTGAATAGATTCCGTATTACTGTTTACTTTTTCTCCAAATTGTCTAATGTTTCTGTATTTAAGTCAATTTTCCTATTTGCAATGTCCACTTTCTGGTTCGTTTCTTCCACTTTCCTATTCGTCTCCCCACCCTTGTACTTAATTGTTGTATCGATTCATTAATCTTAGCCAGAGCACTGGCTAAAATTTCCTCAGACATTCCACCAGACTTAGATTGTATTGCCGATGCAGGCAAACCAGCAGATGATTGCCTTCTGTGTACCCAGGGTTTCCCTGATCTCAAGACTGACTGGTCTTTTTGACCATCAGCCATAACAAAGTGAAGGTCAAATTCCTTTCCCACGTCTGGTGTTCCTGTTTACAAGTGGAAAATTCCTTTCCTGTAGTTGCAAGGAGTCCCACTAGGTGGACACTGTTACCACCTAGCCAGTTACTGTCCTTTTAAAATAGCAGGAGAGAGAAACTAAGTAAAAAGACAAAAATAAAGAACACAAAGTAGCTTTCCAGTTCTTTCCAATCTTTTCCCCAACGAAATTGGCCACAATGTATCTTCTTTGCAACCAGCAAGCAGCTCTGACAGCTTTGACAGCTGAGACGTCCCACTGACAAATCGCTCTTTAAATCCTTAAATTTAAGCAGTCCGGTAGAATCAAGAGCCTTTCCCTTATCCCTCCAAAGGGTAGATCCCACCAAAGTTCTCAGGTCAGAAAGAAACTCTTATTTCAGTTCAATTTTCCCACGTTTAGCTCCAAATCTCTATGCTTTATTCCACATACAGTGCAGGGAAGCGGACTTCCTGTTTGCGCTTCCACCGCGGTAGCCAATTCAGACGTTTTTTACAGCTTAAAACTTTTCCGCTTTTACGCAAATAGTCCAATTAATCCAATTAGTGCTCTTTTTAATCCAATTCCTCTACTCACGGTTAAAATTTAAGTCCAAATGTCCCAGGAATAAGTCAGCGCTCTCCAGCAACGGCAACACGGCTTCGCTCAGTGAAAGCAGCGATCCGCTCGCAGCACCGCGCTTCTCCCCGCTCCCTTCTGAAGCCTCAAAAAAAGGCTTCCTTTCGGGTTGGGGGGGCGCTCCAAGGTGCCCGCCGAGCCTCCACGTTCGCAGGCGTCCGCGCCTGCGATTTCTAAGGGTCCCCGCTTCGCCGGAGCGCACAGGACCCGATCTCCCGCTGAGCTACCCCCTCCGAAAATCAAAGGAGGTCAGCCATTGCTGCTGGCGCTAACCGGAAGTCCATAGCAAATGTACTTTTTGTACTTTCCTGGAGAGCTGCACTGCAGAAACGAGTGTGGTTTTTGAAGGATATCTGATTTATGATAGCCACATTCAAATATCTCAATGGCTATCCCATGGAAGAGATAACAAGCTTGTTTTCTCCAGCTCTGGAGGGTAGGGCTTGAACCAATGGCTTCAAGTTACAAGAAAAGAGATTCCGACTCAACATCAGGAAGAACTTTCTAACAGTAAGAGCTATTCAACAATGAAACAGACTCCCATGAGAGGTGATGGACTTGCCTTCCTTGGAGGTTGTCAAGCAGAGATTGGATGGCCATCTGTCATGGCTGCTTTAGCTGAGATTCCTGCCTTGCAGTTCCCTTCCAACTTTATGATTCCATGATTCTGCGATTTTTAAGTGGTGTGTGAAAGCTCTTGGGTCCTCTCCAGCCTCCTCTGCCTTATAAGAAAAAGGCCTTAGCAAGAAGGAAGAGGAGTTGCCTTGCACCGGTGGCTAACTAGCAACCCTCCATGCTGTTGAATTCCCACTCTCATTGGTGAATCCTTTAAAACAGGAGTGGGAAACTGCGGCCCAACATACCTTGCTGGGCTACAGCTCCCATCATCCTTGACCACTGGCTATGCTGGCTGGGGCTGATAGGAGCTGGAGTCCAACAAATATATGGAGGGGTTACAGGCTTCCCAATTTCTGGTCTAATGGGTAGTCCTTACATCTGGAAAGGTGACCATGTTGGGAAACTGTGTACATGTAGTTACTCACACAGAGTCAATTAAGGTTTGGCAGCCAGCCAGAAGGCAATCTGAAGTAGTAAGTCTGCCTGGTGATAACAGAGACATGGAGACCGCTCCCTGATTGGTCAAGCTCTCTCAAAGGAGTGATAATCAATGGCCTACTAACTGTTAGTTCAGTGTTCAGAGGTTCAGAGTTCTATGTCAGTGTAGGAGTTGAGAGTTGTGAGAGAGAGTGCTAGCAAAAGATCTGTGTTCTGTTCCTGTAAATAGTCCACTGTATATAATAAACACCTAACTACAAGTTCCTGGTTCCTGCTTCATCTATCCTGTCTGCAGCCAAGTCGCCAAGTCTTTCATGGATTCTGCGTTGACTCTGCTAGGTCTGGCTAAGGTCCTGCAACTAGTCAGAAAGTTGCGAAACCAATAGGTTTTACCAATAGACCATACTTGACCATTGGTATCTCCTGCTCAAAACATGAGAGCTGGGAATTCTGTGAGCCTGCGTGTTTTTGAAACTGCTTGAGAAACTTTAAAGGTACTGCATCAGTCTCTCTGGCATAGCAGGACAGAGAAATGGCACGTGACAAACACCATCTAACTCAAGACAGACTCAGACACTTACAGATAAATTCAGACTCTTAAATGCAAAGAATTGGGGCCACTCACTTTTGTTTTGTCCAGTTTGCAAATGCACAGCAGTGGCTTGGATAGGTGAGGTTTGCCTCGATCAAGGAGCGGAACTTGTCCAAAGGAGGTAGTTTCTTTAAGTTGTACGCAGATCTTGCTATCAGCTTGTTAATTTTCTCCAGTCCAATGCTGGGCAGTTGGCTGATCTTGGTCTCTGAAATATCCCTTTAAGAAGAAATGTGATTGCTTCATAATTCCAAACAAACCAATTCACTACGTACATGGAGACATTTTGAGAATCTCCTTCATTAGCAACGTAAAATAAACTAGCAAGAAACACTAAAAAATAAGAACTGATAATATGATCTTGTGCAAGCTTCCTTGAAAGTAAGCCCTACCGAAGACGTGGGTCTTACTTGTAAGTAGGGACATCAGAAGGCATTATTTTTTTATTTTGCCCTGTCACATGTAGCAGTGTTTCCATTCTGCTGCAGTTCATCTTCTGCCAAAACCCAGGTTACTTGTCTTGCTGTCCTCTGTGGTGACATTACCTAACTTAGGACATCAATTCTACCCCATTCATATCAATGTAAAGGGAACACAATGCAAACGGGAGAAGAAATGTAATCAATAACGTATTGCTTGTGGGCTGAAAGCCAAAAACAACAGGGAATACTGGTCATATTCACTGAATTGATTTCCATTTCAGACATGGGAATAAGGAAACACCGGCAATTTCTGTTCCCATTTCTGTTGAAGTTCTCCAACACCCCTATTTGTAGGTAAACTCTCCTGGGCTCAATACATAGTTTCTCATCTATACGCTCTGATCCTTGTGTAAAAATACTAGAAACCTGCAGCTAAAGACTTAAACAGATACTTGAAGACATTGAGAAAAGCTCTCAGCTATGGTCTTCAGCAGCTAGCTCACCACCAGCCCTCTGGGTCATCAGAAGACCAGGCTGGCTAGTCCTTAGGATGGGAGTGGTTTTTGAACACACCTCTCCAGCCAGCCAGGCAAGAGGCTTTTCAAGGATACCTTCCCAACTAGGCAGAAGCATTCAAGGAGGGTTCGAAGAAGGGCATGAAAGGGGTGTGGCCTAATGAGAGTGGGCCTGGGGAACACCTTGCCTTAAGGGAAAAGGTGCCCTTAAGCTGCATATTTAGCCTGAAGGGAGTCAATCAGGACACACCAGACTCTATAAAGGCCTTATATCCAAGCCACTTTCTCAATCGGTGCAGTGAGTCCTTACAGACTCTGCCTGTTGTGGTTCCTGATTTCCAACTGATTCTGATCATGTCTGATTCTTGTCTTTTGCGACTGAGCCGCAGCTACAACCTGTCTTGGAACTGGGCCAATGCCTGGCAGTCGGTTCAATGGACACAAAGACAGATAGGGCTCCTTAATCTTTCAACAATTTTGTGGGTAGATGGAATTTCAGCAGGTTCACCCATGACCATGCCAGAGTAACTCTGCTGATAACATGTTAAAGTGATGCTCCTTTAGCCCCATTCTCTGTTGCCTGCCCGAACTTCAACCTGTACCCCACTGAGCATCACTTTGTTCTCACTGGTCCTCAGGGCATCCATCTCCAAAGCTCCTTTGCCCATTGGTTCCTTCTTTGCTGTCAGCACCCAACCCGTTTTGTCTTTAGATCCTGTGTGAATTTTCTGCCTCACCCAAAGGGGCCTTTCACTTCCTTCTTAGAAATCACATTGTTTGCCAAAGTTCTACCAAAGCTGACACATTTGCTGCATTTGTCCTGGGCAGTCATGAGCACCCCATGTTAGCCTCTAGACAGGCAGCCTGCAGGTAATAGCTGGCTTTTAGCTTTCTTTCTTTTTGGGGGGTGGGGTGGGGAGGAAATTCATATAAAAGGATAGGGATGTCAAGGTTGCTAGTACCAAGCCCAGTTTTCCAGGAGGGAAGCCATGCTGAACAGATATGATTGCTTTCTGCAAGAAAATACCAACGAGAGCTGACAAGGAGGAGACAACAAGCAATCTATTTGGCTTCCCTGCCCGCAAAATACAGTTCTTGCAGCATTAGCACAATGAGATATTGACACTAGAGGGGTGTGTGTGTGTCCAGATGAAGCTTCACAGCTGCAAGGCCACAATACATGGAAACAAACCAGTGTATGAGGAAAAGTGCCATGCAGAGAATTCAAGTGGATTGCCATTTGGTCAAGGACTGTCTTCACTGTGCATTAATGGTCTGAAGGAGAGAAGGCACCCAAAAATGAATGAGTGTTGGATGATGGTACAAAATGGGTGGAGCAAGGAGGGATGATTCCCCGACAGAGGCTGAAGGTGAAGGAGCCTGGAGAGGATAAAAACTAGAGAGGTTCTGCTCATTGCAGAAAATTGACCACTAGGTCAGCATGAAAGCGGGTGGGGTGGGGTTGGTGAGAATCTGAATATGACCACCATTCATTGCAAAGGTTGCCTTTAACCGGTCCAACTGGACGCTGGCGATGAAGCTTTCATCTTGGACATTGAATTGTTGTGCATTTGCATGCTTTTAGGAAAGCCCCTGGGATAGAACTTGTTCCTTTTCATGGGCAGACTGCACAGCTAAATTTGGGCCAGGTAGGGGAACCAATCTCAGGTCCAAGTATAGAAAGGGCTGGTTCTACCATTTGGCAGGCAGAAGTGGCCCACCTTGATCAGCATGTAGATTTGGAGGTGCCAATAAAGCAGGGGCTGGTGAGACGGCAGCTCTTGAGATACAGTTGGACTCCCCATCAGCCCCAGCCAGCAGGACCGATCATCAGGGATGATGGGAGTTGTAGTCCAACAACATCTTGAGGGCCACAGGTTCTCCACCTTGGTGTGAACCGGTCTTCTTGCTTGCCCGCCCAATCTCTCTGAAGCACCTTATGTTGGTTAGAGATGGATAGGAGAAGACAGGGTGGATACCTGGCTAGTACCCCACATTGTCCCGAGTTCCAATTCCATTGTTAGCTTGAGTGGCACCACCTTGCAACTCAATGTTCTATGCAAATGCTGGCTCTGGATTCTTCTTTTTGAATATAAACTACTTGGCATTGTTAATTGTCACCTGAATACTGATTCGGGAACAACAAGCCTTAAATCAGCCTGTCGGGCAATTTAATAAAAAAAACCCCATTTGTTGTGCTGGTAGAAAAGAAGAAGAAGAGGGGGGTTGGAAAAAGAAAGCAAGAAAAAGAATTGATTTAGTCAATTCTGTTTTCGCCAAGCAAAGATGTTATTATGGGTCAATCATTCCTGTAAGTGAAAGTACGTTTGGGTGTATTCTCCGGTGACAGATGAGTAGAAAAACTCTCTTTCATGATCTTGGCCAGGAAAAAAAAGAGGAAAAAAAGGCAATTTACCATCCACAGAACGATGTAATAGAACAGAATAATTCTCATAAAAATAACTCAGTGTTTGAATTTGAAGTATCGGATGAATCTGAACTGCAGTGAAATCAATTTGATAACCCATCAGAATGTGATGGTGTTTGGCTCCTGCTTACAAAGGCGTCGTGTTAACTTCTCGCTACAGGGAAACGGTGGTTATTTTCCTCCCCCCTCTCCGCCCTGCCGTAACCCCATCTCAAAGAAATGTTTATTGCTTGGCTGCTACAAAGAAGCTTCAGTTACAGCCTTATCCAAATATTAAAATCATGGATAAGGAAGAGCTGGAATCCTGTGCAGGGGAAGCAAAACAAAACAGGGGGGTTGGAATAAACATTATCAGGAGCAGAGGACAAATACAGATGGTGAGATTTACATAAGGCTGGCGATGCTGTGGGAGTCAAAGGCCTTTCCGCTGCCCAGAAATGGAGGGTTCTGCCCGAGAGAGGCAAGCACTGCTGAACATGATCGTACGATTAAAAAACCCATTAGCCTGGACACACAAACAGAATAACCACAGGGAGCAGGTCTTGCGGGCTGGGGTGCGGCGTTTTTGAATTCTGAAGATGTGCCTTCTTGTCTGTTGTGACCACTCATCTGAGATACTGACACAACGGCAGCAAAAAAATAGTGAGAATTATTACTTACAAAATGGCTGGTCCATTGGCTCCCAGGAAAACTTCATTAGGTAAATTTTCCAGCTTGTCATTACCACTCAGATTTCTATGTTAGAAAGAAGAAATAAATAAAAGTTATGGTTACTGTTTGATTTTTTTCATCATCAACTAGCTAGGGTTGCTTAAATGGCTAATGTTTAATTTACTAGTCAGTTGTTTTGAAAGAAAGGCTATGAACCCATCCAGGCCCTGTGGCCATCATTGGGGGCCCTTTAACTTTAAGCATGAGCGCCTGAGTTTGCTTTTTTCACCTCTTCCCTCCTTTCCCCCCTTTTGTCTTGTGTATTTTAGACTGTAAGTCTGCTCTGGACAGGGGCGGAGGAAGGGGGATGCGGTGGAGGTGCGGTGGGGCTGTCCCAGGTGTCACCACTGAGGGGGGGGTGACAAAATGCTAGGCGGCTCTCACCGCAGGGCCTGCAGCGTGCCGGAGCCACACGTCTCTCCTGGGAGTGACACGGTGGCTTGGGCGCCCTCAGGCTCGGCTCTGCCCCAAACGGTCCGCCCGCCGCCTCCCCCTCAGTTGTAGGGCGGCTGAGTGGGAGGAGGCAGGCAGACTCCTTGGAGGCCCTGTGCAGTGTCCTACTATGGCTTGCCCTGCCCCGCGGGTGGCTGGCCCCAGCCCTGGGCACAGGGCACGCACGCCGCCCCAGGGCGCCTGATCAGCTTGCTCCACCGCTGGCTCTGGGGCAGAACAATCCGAAATGGAGTCCCGCAGCTGGACCTCAAGTCCTGCAGGTGGGGAGGGTATTCCCCCCCCCATTTCATTAAGCATAGGGAGACATAGGTAAGGGGCCCAAGGATCAGCCCCCTCAGAGGATCCAAAGGACTTTGGCTCCAGCTTTGGATGGGAGTTCCGATAAATAACCCTGTTATTATGGCTTGGTGGGCCATGGTGTGACTCTGCATAAAGCAACGTCCACTGTTGCTCTCTCTGTTATGATTTCACTCAACGGTTGTAGGATTTACACCCTTGTTTTGCCACCTCTAACAACACAGTGATCCTTAGCTGTGTGTAAGCTACCTGGCTTAAGACTCAATATCCTATGCAAAGAAAGAACTTAAACACGCACAAACACAGAGATTAAGCTGTATATCATGGGTAGGCAAACTAAGGCCCGTGGGCCAGATCAGGCCCAATTGCCTTCTGGATCCAGCCCGCGGACAGTCTGGGAATCGCTGCATGGATCGCCAGCGCCTGTGCATCCTTTGCCTCTCCCTCCCTCTCCCTCCCTCCTCCTGGCTTCTCCCTGCCCTGACTAGAGGAGCAAGGGGAATGGGCTTTGTTGGTGCCAGCAGCAGCAACGCTCAAGTGGCCACCATTTTAAGCAGCGTCTCTCTGGAGCCCTTTCGTGTGCCGTTCAACATCCCTCCGCTGCCACCAGTCCCTGCCGCTTGCAAGACACAGGTTAGCAGCCCCTGGGACTCTTGGTGCTCTTGCATCATTCCCCTGCCCCCCCCCAATATAGTCCGGCCTCCCACAAGTTCTGAGGGACAGTGGACCTGCTGAAAAAGTTTGCTGACCCCTGCTGTATATGAAGCCTGTTACCTAAAGAAACACATTGAAATAAACTGAGCACGATCCAATTACAGTTAAGCATTTTTAAGCACTGATTCCTATCAATGGGAGATGCATGTCAATGGATGGCATTCAACCAAGGTTTACTCAGAGTAGAAATTATTGGGCCTAGCATGAACTGCATATCCATCAACTGCCTCATAAAAACTAGGACATCCCCGCCCCCCGTCGGAGCACAGCAGCCATTTTGGGCGCCTTGCTTTCATGTGATTTTGGGCTGAGATCTCACATGGGTCACATGACTCACATGGGATTTCCTGGCTTTGGGCCACATCACACTGGAGGGGTTGCAACTGCTGTGTCTCTAATCTGAGTTCAGCTCAGTTGGACACCACCCTCTACTTAAATCTGTTCTATGGAAAACAAAACTGTAACAGAAGTTATTTTACTGCAATATATATCTCCCATGGAATGCCCTCCAAAAAGCCAAATCAGTAGAATAAAGAAATAATACACACAGGTCAGACAAGATGGTCCCATTGAAGGCATGGTCTTCAATTTCGGTGAGTCCATTTTTATTTAGCCTTCTGCAATAAAGAGACAATGGCTGTTAGACTCTATTCTATTTTTTTAAAAAATGGCAGCATTCTACTGAAATACTCCTTAAACAAACTCCCCCCCTTTAAAAAGGAATTTGTGGTAAAGAACATTTTTTCATAAAACAACAATAGCCTTCAAACTGTGACACTCCCACAGACTGTCTCTGGCACAGTGATAAGAATTCAGTGAGTTGCCTCTACCATGTGCCATATATTCTGCAGGAAAAGGAGGGTGTCAATCAAAATGTTAGCAAAAAGATAATGGAAGGAAGAAAGTTATTTGTTTCATTTATATACCGCTTTTCCGCCCAGGAATTCCAGGCGGCATACAAGGTTTATCCCTCTCCCCATTTTATCCTCACGGCAGTGCTCTGTGGTAGGTTAGGTCGAAAGAGAGTGACTTATCCAAGATTACAAAATGAACTTCATAGCTAATTGGGGATTTGGACATGGGGTGGCCTGAAAGACATGAAAAGAAGCGTCCCACTTTTTGCAATGTAACAGTTCTTCAAAGTTCGATTTGCTCATGTAAAGGGGGCAATCCTGCTATGCATCACTTCATTTGCAAATATTCTAATTTTCTAATTGGGTTTTTCACCTCAAAATAATGCATTTATCAAGCTGACAAGTAACTTCATTCCCTTTACGTTTATAGACTAGAATTACTACTTAAGGTTGTTTCCAGATGGCCTGCTAATTGAACATTCATCCTGATTGGCTTGCAGGGAGTTCAGACAATATTGCGCCAAGCAAAACGTATCCCACGCTTTCCAGTGCATTTTCTGGATGCTTTCGCTATAGCAAAAACACAATTTCTGAAACAAAAAAATTGCATATTTTGCCCTAGTGCATGCACTTTTGCACACATTACTCGCCAAGAGAACTGCACTGCCGAATTAAGGAAAAATGCAAATTTTGAAAGATTGCTATGTTTTGGTTTGCAGATTGTTTAGGAAAGTGTGAATTAAACCTGAACTGAATCAAACTCTCCATCCCTACATTGCCCAAATAGCAATAACAAACCTTGGCTACAGCTCACGGTTAATGCAGAGGACGCTTGACCCTGGTGCTTCCCAGTTTGGATGACACAGCAGGACATGGCAGGAAAGAGTCAGGGAGAAGCAAAGCAGTTGCAAGCTTCAATCTGGTAGTAGGCATGTTCCTGCAGTCTTACAAAGTCACAGTTTGGCTTACCACGTTGTGCAAACCAGACTGAGGGATGAGGCAGGGGAGCATTCGGTGCCATATGCAATTGCGAGTTTCTTTGGAAACTCAAAGCGCTTTCCAAAATGACGAAATAACAGTAATACTAGGGAATCTCGACAAGCTTGCGGATGAATTTTTCTCCCAGGAAACGACGATAGCTAACCTGCCTTTCCCTCTCTCTGGCTCCTCGCTTCATCCCAAACAATCTTCTGCAGTCAGTTGTATTTATCACTTCCACCCCATAATTTGCCTCCTCCCCTGCTCCTATTGTGACTCGGCAAGACTCATCCACTCTTAACCCAAACTGGCAGGCTTGAGTGATGGGCTGACAATGAATCATTTAATTAAACTGTCAGAAAGCCTCCATGCTTGGCCTCTAATCCAGAGCGAAAGCTGCCCATTCGAGCGATACGCTTATCTAAGGTCCAAGAGGGTGTGCGAAGGTTGACATGGAAATCAATTACAGTCATGGTTGGAGAGATTACCCTTTTGACTGTGAAAGGCACGTGCCTGGTAGTGTCACGTCTTTGATGCATGTCAGAGGCGATCACGGCTTACGAGGAAACCTCCCGTGATGCCTCTGGAGGTGACAAGACAAGCCTGAGAGAAATGGCTTCACAGCTAGGCTCCCTGACATGAGTGCTTGTGTGAAACCAACAGGGTGAGCAGGAGAGAGAACAAATCAAGATGTGGACCCCCTGAGGCCTAGCCTGCAGCCGTTGAGGGGAGAGTCAGACAGGGAGTCATTTGTCAGCCAGGAAGCTCCTGACAAGACTTTCCAAACAAGGTCAGAGGACTGTAAAGGTAAAGGTACCCCTGCCCGTACGGGCCAGTCGTGTCCGACTCTAGGGTTGTGCGCCCATCTCACTTAAGAGGCCGGGGGCCAGCGCTGTCCAGAGACACTTCCGGGTCACATGGCCAGCGTGATGAAGCTGCTCTGGCGAGCCAGCACCAGCGCAGCACACGGAAACGCCGTTTACCTTCCTGCTATAAAGCGGTACCTATTTATCTACTTGCACTTAAGGGTGCTTTCGAACTGCTAGGTGGGCAGGAGCTGGGACCGAAAGACAGGAGCTCACCACGCCGCGGGGATTTGAACCGCCGACCATGCGATCGGCAAGCCCTAGGCACTAAGGTTTTACCCACAGCGCCACCCGCGTCCCATAATAATGAAGACTAATACTGCAGTAGTTTCTATTAGCCATTAATTAGTCATTTTAGGTAGGTGCATTCATTGCTTTGTTTATAACTCCTGCAAAACTTGTTTAGACCATTCTTCCCAGACAAGTAATCTTAATACGTAACATTATTTTATTTAAAATTGTTAATACCAGGCAAGAGTTGCCCAAATGAAGCCTGCCGTTGGAAGCCTTGCTCAAGGGTTTCTGCTTGTGCAATGGGGCTTTCACTCCTTCCCCTTCAAACTGGCTTGTTCCAGAAACGCCCCCAGAACAGGAGGAGGAAAAGCCGATATGTTTGCGCAGACAGAACGTCTGTAATACCACAATGTTGAATTCCACCCAATGGTCCATCGCACTCACCACAGCTACTTCTAAGATTGCTGGGCTGATCTAGTGGCCAAAGTGAGCTGCAAGTCTGGATGCCCTTGGATGGAATTGCAACTCAACCCTACTATGTCCTCACTAGGTGGCCTTGGACAGGACACTTTCTCACAGCCTCAATCTCCCCATCTGCAACATGGGGGATAACAAGGGAAGTTTTTAATGTTTGATGTATTATAGTATTTTAATATTTTTTTTGGAAGCCGCCCAGAGGGCTGGGGAAGCCCAGCCAGATGGGCGGGGTATAAATAATAAATTATTATTATTATTATAACAATACTGATTTACCTTGTTGCAAGGATGACAATAGTGCCATGCATGTGAAGCATGTTGGATGCTTAAAGTTTTTTTTTAACACATCCTAAGCACCTAAGCTTCTCAGAGTAAACATATAGCCTTATTGACCAGGGCGCTCTCTCTCTCTCTCTCTCTCTCTCTCTCATTTGCTTTTCTGTTTTATCTCATCGTCAGCACATACTATGTTACAGCCATACATAAAATAATAGAAAAAAGATAGCATAGGTATAAAACAAAAACATATGATAGTAATAATAACGTATCTAAATTCTTCCAAGATTATTTAAATCCCCTATATCTAAAATTATACTTCCCTTCCGTTCTTTCCATGGTTTCCTATCTACTATCCTTTCTACTGCGTTTTCTTATTCTACTAATTTGTTTTCATTACCTTACATAATCTCCCGTTATAACATCTAATGCTGAGTATTTTTTCAGCCCGTTATGATTGTTTCCTCGTTATAAGACCCCCCCAATATAATTAATATATAACATCCAATCCGCTTTCAGTCTCGGGGCCTTATACTTCTTAGTAAGCAGGCTGCACATTGTACCTTTGCATCTCTCCCCCCCGCCCCCCGTACTTCACACTATGCACTGAACAGGGGGAAGCTCCATGAAACTGCAGGTCATTGTCTAACTAGATCAAGTTGGGTTGCCCTGTGGCCCTCCATCAGCACCAGCCAGCATGGACCAATGGTCAGGGAATGATGGGAGTTGGAGTCCAGCAGGACATGGAAGGCCATAGGCCTTCCAGGCCCCCACAGGCTCTAGGTTCTTTTTATTCTTTTTCTCCACTCCATTCGAAATTGTATATGTGTCTACAATATCTCCCTGACCCTGGCTTGCCTCTTCATCTTTTTCATACAGGATTGTGGTTGGGATACCGCCTTGAAGAACTGCCAGTCAGCCACTCAGGTTACACATGGCTCAGATCTGATCTGGCAGGCTGAGGGGGTTGGGGAGGGATCTATACTGCACAGCAACTCTGCACATCCCCAGACAAAATGGCCGTCCACGAACTACCCGCATGGAAACTTCTACAAAGGCACAAACAAATGGCGACCACTGACTTGGTGATAGCAACAATGGAATGCAGGCATCCACTAAAATGTCAAGGGACATTTAGATATGCTCACCCTACCAAAACAAAGCAAAAAAAGAGGGAGGGGGAGGAGAAATCTGGGATGGTTCATTAGGAAACATCACTGTTCCTGTGCGACGAGAAGGCTTCTTAAGGCCTCAGCGTGGCACCGGACTGTGAAGTCGCCAGTGACAATATATTAACATTATGCACAAGCGTAGCAAATTATCAGCCTCTCTGCCCATTGCTTGTCTGAGTAATGGAATGTCTGCAGCCAGCAGGAAAGATGAAGTTGTCCTGCTGTCCTCTAGAGCAATGCTTGAATGATGTGGGGCTGCCTTGGCAAGTGTAAAAAGAGAGACTACCCTGGGCATCATTACTTTTTAAATTTGCTGCACGTTGCGATTCGAGAGAGAGAAGGAGAAGTTGGTGAGTGGAAAAGAAAAGAAGAAATCCAGTTTGTTTGGCGTGGAGAAGGCCTGTTTTCATGTCCGTGAAACCTAATCGGCTGGAAAGTTGTTGTGGATACAACTCCAGGGTAGTTCTTCCATTTTCCAAAAACGAAAAAACAAAAACAAAAACCCAGGATAAACTGCCTGGGCTTGGGGAGAAGGAGCAACGCAGCGGAAACAGAGAATCATAGAATAGTAGAGCTGCAACCCCTCACAATGTAGGAACCTCAGCTAAAGCATCCATGACAGAAATACTGAAAATGCAGCAGGAAAAGAGCTGGAAGTGTGTTGATGAAGACTGCAGTGATTTTTATATGGAATATGCATCAACGAGTCCCTTTTTGTCTAGGAGAGTACAGTGGTACCTCAGGTTAAGAACTTAATTCGTTCTGGAGGCCCGTTCTTAACCTGAAACTGTTCTTAACCTGAGGCACCATTTTAGCTAATGGGGCCTCCTGCTGCTGCTGCGCTGCTGGAGCACGATTTCAGGCTTTTAACCTGAGGTACTATTTCTGGGTTAGTGGAGTCTGTAACCTGAAGCGTCTGTAACCCGAGGTACCACTGTAATCATTTCCCAGGGCCAGGGTCTGCTAAAGCAGTTTTTTTTAATTACTACACAGTATTGGGTAGGATTCAGACTTCACCTTCCATGGAATGGAAAGCTTTTGATCCTGTAGACAGATCCTTTGGTCAGAGACAGGTTTTCCCACCCTCACGGCTCCCAGCACCAATTCCTACATTGCTCTGGAAGATCCCATGACTGTCTAGAATAGTGTTAGCAGCCACTGTGCTACAGGGGTTAGAGTGTCAAACTAGGGCTTGGGAGACCAGGGTTCAAATCCCCACTTAGCCATGAAGCTCACTGGGTGACCTTGGGCCAGTCACTGCCTCTCAGCTTAACCAACCTCCCAGGGTTGTTGTGGGGATTGAAGGGGGGGGAGAAAAAAGGTGGGAAATAAATGCAATGCAATGCAATAAAATAAGTGCTGGAGGCTAAAGAGGGAGGGGAAAATCATAAAAGGTCACCTCCCCAACCCTCAACACCACTCACTAGCAGGAGTGAAGGATCCAACCCAATATTAGTTTGTTTACATGAGCATCAAAACCCTTGTTTAAAGTTGGAGCTAGGTTAACACAAGCACATACACGGGCAAAAATAAAATAAATCCTATTGACCAGAGAGTACTTACATATCAACACGTTCAGAACTGAGCCCCAGGAAAGAATTTCTTTCAATCTTGTGTATGTTTATGTTGTCTTGGACGTCACTGAGATTTAAAGAAAAAATACATTTCAAAAAAGGAAATTAAAACGCACCCTTTTGATGCCTTGTTGGCATACAAGGCATCAAACTTTCCTTTGGTTTGGAAGATTTCTAATCCGCCTTTCAGTTCTAAGAGCAACATAAAATCTAATAAAGTCAAATACTGATACATCTGCAAGTAAGAAAAAAACAAATTATCTTCAATGTTTTGACAATGTTGAATGTTTACTGCGAGCTGCTTTGGGAACAGCTCATTGTGGAAAAGGAGCACATAAGTAAACTCAAATCAATCACTGCTGCCCTCCCATTGCTATTGCAGCAAGGGGAGCAGGAGCGGTGTTGCTATGGTCCAGCCATTGCCATATGGGTGGGGGCACCACCCCAAAGGACCCCTGAATCTTGTTGGGATGTTTCGTTCCACCTTAAGGAACAGGCATGATTGTTGTGTGTCACATGTCTGTTTACACTCCAGCACAGCTTGCTGGGAACTTGCGTGTAGCTTTTGCTTTAGCTGTTTGCTTTGGACACGAAGGAGAGCAGACATGTTTCCTTTTGTCCTGATCTACGCTGAATAAACCTGCTTGTAAATATGCTCACACAGCCTCTCGTGCCACTTCTGTTTGTGCAGCGTTTGCTCTGCTGAATAGCGTGCTCAGTCTTCTAAAGCCTGGAGCCGCAGATTTATGCTGCACCAAGGACCAGAGTTCTTGGGAGAAAAGCAATGACAAACCTAGACAGCATCCTAAAAAGCAGAGACAACAAAGGTCCGTATAGTTAAAGCTATGGTTTTCCCAGTAGTGATGTATGGAAGTGAGAGCTGGACCATAAAGAAGGCTGATCGTTGAAGAATTGATGCTTTTGAATTATGGTGCTGGAGGAGACTCTTGAGAGTCCCATGGACTGCAAGAAGATCAAACCTCTCCATTCTGAAGGAAATCAGCCCTGAGTGCTCACTGGAAGGACAAATCCTGAAGCTGAGACTCCAGTACTTTGGACACCTCATGCGAAGAGAAGACTCCCTGGAAAAGACCCTGATGTTGGGAAAGATGGAGGGCACAAGGAGAAGGGGACGACAGAGGACGAGATGGTTGGACAGTGTTCTCGAAGCTACCAGCATGAGTTTGACCAAACCGTGGGAGGCAGTGGAAGACAGGAGTGCCTGGCGTGCTCTGGTCCATGGGGTCACAAAGAGTCAGACACGACCAAAACGACTAAACAACAACAATAACAACGAAGGTTCACCTGGAACACTGGCTGGTGGGCTGGAGCCAGCTGGGGCCTGCCAATTGCCCCCGTTTCCTTGGATGCATGCCAACAAATCTGACCTCAAGGATCATGCATTCTTATGGATATACAGTATGGATTTGCAGCCCTCTCTTCAGGTGTTTTCTCTCCACTCAATCTCAGTCACACATAGAGAAGCAGATGGGCTAGCGTCACCCTTTCCCAGTACTGTTGGGGAGGCTTGCCATACATCAGGAAAATTCCAGACATGTCCTGGTTTTCAGGTGTAAAAATGGTGTGTGTGGTGGTGGTGGGGAAGGATATTTTGCCAAATTGGCAAAACGTCAGGGGAAACCCGGATGTAACGTAGTAAACATTCAAAGACATCAAAACGTTGAAGATCATTGGTTTCTTTTTTACTTGCAGATGTTTCAATGCAAAATTCAGTGTGGAAATCTGGTTCAGTGTGGAAAATGATTCAGCTCTTGGCATGGATGAATTCAGTTTTAAATAATTCCGCCTCCCTCTTTCCTTCATGGGCAACCCAAGAAAAATGGTCAAAGCCCCAAAATATTAGAATAATCCAGTAAAAAACTTACAGCACAAACTTCACGGAAGAATGTATCTGATTAACGACGGGTAAATACATGATTGCAGTGTTTGATAGCAACCTAGAGGGAATAAGTAGATGTTGTTAGCACGTCTTTGAGGAAAACTAAAGAATAACAAATGACTGAAATGAAATTGAGGAAGAAAAGTTGCAGGCAAATTTTTGTTATCTTCATTTTGTTATTCAGTATTTAGTTGTTGTCCCCCCCCCCAATATTCCAAATTCTGGATTGTGTTTGATGTCTTCTATAACTCTGCTTACATGTTTTTCATGTGCAGGACATATTGCGGACATATTGCTTTATTTCCAATTGGTTCATGTCCTGTAGCTTCCTGCTAAAATCCTGCAATGTTGTTGTACCACACACAAGAGCACCTCTCCATACAACAATAATGCAGTAATGCCGGGGAAGCATCACAGAGGAACTAATAAAGTAGAATGATGTGCAGATGATCCAGTATAAACCCACCACCAAGGTACTACTAAGGGACGTGGGTGGCGCTGTGGGTTAAACCACAGAGCCTAGGGCTTGCTGATCAGAAGGTCGGTGGTTTGAATCCCCGTGACGGGGTGAGCTCCCGTTGCTCGGTCCCAGCCCCTGCCAACCTAGCAGTTCGAAAGTACATCAAAGTGCAAGTAGATAAATAGGTACCACTCCGGCGGGAAGGTAAACAGAGTTTCCGTGAGCTGCTCTGGTTCGCCAGAAGTGGCTTAGTCATGCTGGCCACATGACCCGGAAGCTGTATGCCAGCTCCCTCGGCCAATAAAGTGAGATGAGTGCCGCAACCCCAGAGTCGACCACAACTGGACCTAATGGTCAGGGGTCCCTTTACCTTTTTAATGTACTACTATTGATATGTTGCTTTAAAAAGCCAATAAAACCCATGCCAGTTTGGAGGCGTCATATTAAAACTACAGTTCCCAGGGTTCCCCAGGCAGATGAAATTATGATAAACCCAGTTGAAGCCTTGGAAGAGGAAACTGCAGCCATCGTTTCAGAACTTTTGCTGTGCTTTATATACCAAAAGAAAAGCATCAAAACAATTTAAGAAACATGCAATGCCCTTAGGCACCTAGAAGACTATTCAATATTGGAAGAAGGTAAGAAGATTCTGAGGGCAACAGGGCTCTTCCCCCTTGTGATTCCTAGCAATTGGCTGACAGTGGAGGTAAAACAAGGCTACGCCACGCAGGGGTCAAGAATGGCAGCGATAGAATAAAGGATGCATCATCTTCACGGCTGTGCTATGGCTATGATTCCAAAGTGCTTCTGACAGCACAAGGAAGAATCATCAGGTATTCATGTACAAATGTGAGCATCGATGCAATGCGTCAGCCAGTCCTAATGGCATTCTAGCTGACATCGGGATGAATGGAGCCGCCATTTCCATTCCAAAGTGAGCCCTCAAATAAGGTGTCTGTAATGCACGTTATCAAAACGTTCTGTAGAGTTTCAGCTGGGCCCTTCACAGTCTAATAAGGGTTCATTATCCTTCACATTTCCTATCCTCTGCATTTGCTTCACAGGAAAGCAGCATGCGAAGGAGGGATTGAGATTGCCGTTGCTGCGAGCGTGCGAAAGCTGATGAATCTCTGCAATCGTTATATATCAGAAGGAACAGCGATGGGCCTGATGTCTCATTCAGTATGGCTGGTCTTCCTGACTGTGCTTCGTGGGAGCAAAAGCATCACAGGAATCTTTCACTCAACATGGGGCTCAAACCCACGACTCTGAGATTAAGAGTCTCATGCTCTACTGACTGAGCCAAATGGCTGGAGCGGGATTGAACTTTGCCTTGTGGCTGCTGCACCTTTCCAGCTTTCTTTTATAAAATTATCTGGCCGATTGGCTCTTCTGGCTCCTTAGCAGGACCTCTAGATAGTGCACAAAACAAATGAAATACAGTGGTACCTCTGGTTACATACACTTCAGGTTACAGACACTTCAGGTTACAGACTCCGCTAACCCAGAAATAGTACCTTGGGTTAAGAACTTTGCTTCAGGATGAGAACAGAAATCGTGTGGAGGCGATGCTGCAGCAGCAGGAGGCCCCATTAGCTAAAGTGGTGCTTCAGGTTAAGAACAGTTTCAGGTTAAGTACGGACCTCCGGAACGAATTAAGTACTTAACCTGAGGTACCACTGTACTGTGAAAATCCCTGAAACGAGAAGTAATCAGCTAGAAATATTATCTTATAGAAATAGACTAAATAATAAAAATCAAAAAGTTTAAAGAAAAAAATAGAAAAACCTAGATAGTGGCAGGGATGAAACTCAGGGGCATGCCTGGTCTACTTAGTTATTTTAAAGGGTGAGCCCAGTCTACATGGTTGTTATCATCTTGTGGTTTCAGTATTCATCTTGTCTTCTACTTGCACTGCGTTCTTATTGAACCTTTGACTTGCGTTAGGCGTATGTTTCCCTTTTCTTGACAATCTCTCAGAATGACGCCTTGTAACAGACTAACATGGCTTCCTCTGCATGTCAGCTTTGGTATAATAAGTGCAACCTGACTCATCGTGTCTTTAAACATTCTACGGTTTTGGGGGGGAAAAGAGCTACAAGATTTTTCACTAAGGCTGGGTGGTTTGATCATATGAAGCCTCTGTCAGCTTCACCAGCTCCCACTTGAAGGCCAATTTAAAGTGCTGGCTTTAATCTTTAAAAAGACCTAAACAGCTCAGGGCCTGGTTGCCTTCTTTTCTGTTAGAGCGTTTATTAATTTTCCAATAAAAAACATCCAATTAACATATCAAATCATAATCCAATAAAAATAAAAAATCTAAAATAAAAAAAGATCCAATTGTCTTCCGAATTATAATTCTGATTTTACGGCTTCCCACAGTCTGAACGTCAAAGCGTCTCCAAATCTCAGTCCTGCCTCTCACGATGTTTCCATATTTCCATATCCGATTTTCCATGTCCGATTGCCTTCTTTTCTATCCGGATATTAAGATCCTCTTTGGAAGACTTGCTCCAGTTCTCTCTGCCAAGTGAAGTTCATAAGCCCTGCTGGATCAGGCCAAAGACCTATCTAGTCCAGCATCCTCTTCTCACAATGGCCAACTAGTCGCCAATGGGAATTCCATGGACAGGACCTGCAACAACAGAGCTTCACCTACATGTGATTTCCATCAGCTGGCAATCAGAGTGGAGGCAGAACTCCGTTATCATAGCTAGTAGCAAATAGGGTTGTCAAAAGATTCCAGCCAAAATAGAAACGAGTGGATATTGACAATGTCCACTTATTTGTCCTGTGTCCAGAACAGAAATCAATTCAGCAAATGTGATCAGTAGATCAGCATTTGCCGGCATCGTTGCTTTCTGTCTGCAAATCGTATGTAAGTGATTATGTTTCTTTCCCCATTTTCATTGTGTTTCCTTCATCCTGTTATGAATGGAATAATGCCATTTACAGAATTTACTCACACTATGTTATGTACGGTAATTACGCGATTATGTAATTTTGCTGCAGTAAGATGAAAAATGTAGTTTTGGGTGGAAGATGAACTGCAGCAGAACAGAAACAATGATGCATGTCTTTTTGGTAGTGGCACCACCGTTATGGAATAGTCTTCTCAGGGATGCTCACTTGGTACTATTTTTGTGGCCTTTTCTGCACCAGGTGAATAATTTCTGTTCATGTTGTTGTTTAGTCATTTAGTTGTGTCCGACTCTTCATGACCCAATGGACCAGAGCACGCCAGGCACTTCTGTCTTCCACTACCACCCGCAGTTTGGTCAAACTCATGCTGGTAGCTTCAAGAACACTGTCCAACCATCTCGTCCTCTGTCCCCTTCTCCTTGTGCCCTTCATCTTTCCCAACATCAGGGTGTTTTCCAGGGAGTCTTCTCTTCTCATGAGGTGGCCAAAGTATTGGAGCCTCAGCTTCAGGATCTGTCCTTCCAGTGAGCACTCAGGGCTGATTTCCTTAGGAATGGATAGGTTTGATCTTCTTGCAGTCCATGGGACTCTCAAGAGTCTCCTCCAGCGCCATAATTCAAAAGCATCAATTCTTTAGCGATCAGCCTTCTTGATGGTCCAGCTCTCACTTCCATACATCACTACTGGATTTCTGTTCATGAAAGCCTTCTAAACAACTTAAGTAACATGGCTAGGCTTCTCAGTTTTTTAATTTTTTAAAAAAATGTGTGGTGTGTTTACATATAGGTTTTCTAACACACTTGTTTCTAAGGGCAGCACAGGGCAGGCCACTGCAGAGGAAACGTACACAGCGTATGTCAGGCAGAAGGGCCATAGCTCAGCAGTAGAGATTCTGCCTTGCATGCAGAAGGTCTCAGGCCACTGAACCAGATGGGCCAAGGATCTGATTTCGGTATGAGGCTCTGTTCCAGAGCCTTTTCAGTAAAGTGGGCTGGAGCAGGCATGGCCAAACTTGGCCCTCCAGCTGTTTTGGGACTACAACTCCCATCATCCCTAGCTAACAGGACCAGTGGTCAGGGATGATGGGAATTGTAGTCCCAAAACAGCTGGAGGGCCAAGTTTGGCCATGCCTGGGCTAGAGGAACAGAGAAAAGTGTTTAGAGAGTGATTCTTAGCAAGAGATGTTAATACAGTCATTGTTGACTTCTGTCGAGAGACAATGGAGCACGCCTCCGGGGCGAAGTCGAACCACTGCGTTAGCAGCACCAAAGTGATCCCCCCGGGGCACAAGCCTATGCAATGTGTATGGAGGTCTTGGGCTGCCCAGATGACAAGACCCCTCCCCCAGCCTCACTGATGTGGTCCAAAGGAAGGCAGAGCAATATGTCTGGCAGCAGTTTGGCTGCAGGAATTGCTGGAAGGGTTTACTCTTTAGCCTTTTATTCTCCCGAAGATATCCCACAAGGAGATTTAGGGTCAGAGTTTTCCTTCTCCTAGATGGGCTACCTTCCCAGGTTGACAAGCCCCATCTGCCCCTCACTCCCCTCTACAGCTTATGCAGAAACTGTCGTCTGGACCGTTGGACCCACTACAGTGGTACCTCGGGTTAAGAACTTAATTCATTCTGGAGGTCCGTTCTTAACCTGAAACTGTTCTTAACCTGAAGCACCACTTTAGCAGAATCCGTGACCAGGGAGAAGAGTCGGTGGAAGAAGATTGGAAGAAATTTAAAGATTACTTACAGAAATATTGCAAAATTAAAGAATGTTAGAGTGATGATGGATTGAAATTAAGTGGCTTCTAGCTGTACAGGCTTTAAAGTTATATATAGATCAAGATTAAGGATTAGGATTAAAAGGTTAAAAGAATGGAAAATTGGCTTTTAATAGGTAAAAATTTAATGTTATATTATATTAAGATTAAGGATTGGGATTAAAAAGGAGGGAAAGGAATTGCTGGACAAACAAACTGAATTGGAATACAAAAGAGGGAGGTATGAGGAGGTCCAGGAAATAAGTAAATCTAAAAGTAGTGATGAAAAGATGGAATTGTTTTTAACTGTTTTTTCTTTTTTCTTTTTGTATTTTGTATTGTGTATTTTTCTTTTTATTTTTTAATTCTTTTTTTAAATTGATGTGTCTCTTTTCATGTGAAACTTTAATAAATATCATTTTAAAAAAATAATGAAGCACCACTTTAGCTAATGGGGCCTCCTGCTGCCACCGTGCCACCGGAGCACGATTTCTGTTCGCATCCTGAAGCAAAGTTCTTAACCCGAGGTACTATTTCTGGGTTAGCCAGAGTCTGTAACCTGAAGCATCTGTAACCTGAAGCGCCTGTAACCCGAGGTACCACTGTACTGGCCTTATCCGTTCAATCTGCCAAAGCCGCTCTTCACATGTAGGGGCAGTCCCTAACTCAACAAGGGTTTGAGACCCGTTGGCTACCTCACCTGGTTCAGCCGGCCAGTTGAAGCCATTCGCAGGGTGTAGCCGCTGTCGCATGCTGACAGCTTCTAGGAGCCACAGGCGAGAGCTGAGTGGACAAACTCCCACAGAAGGAGCACAACGTGTCACCCCCCACCAGAGGCACTACCCCTCCCCTAACACCCCGGTTAAAACATATTCACAAGAATAACCAATATGTTAAGAGCCAGTGCCACTGTTCCAGGGGATGTTGTTTTTCAATCTATTTTCTCTTTTTGAATTTGAATTGTATATCTGAGGATGAGAGTGGAAGAGATAACAATGGTGGTTTCAGGGCATTCTGGCGTCTCGATTACAAATGCAAAGTAATTTTGGAAACAAAAAGAGTCCAGTGGTGTGATCTGAAAAGGCAAAGATATATTATCCCAGCAGACAATGCCTCCATTTACTCTTTTCCTCTAATGAGGCTTGTATCTGTGAAAAGGGCAGCAAGTTACCATTTGGAAACAGATTTGCATCCACTCAGGAGGAGCAATTAACAATTTCATCCTCTGTGTGAAAAATCTTTGGAAACAAGTCAAGGGCTGCCTTTCATTATATATATATATATATGAGCCCCTAACAAACTTAATTGGACTCTAATGATGTTTATTAACTTCTGCAACTTAGGAAAGAATGCCGCCTAAATAAGGGATTGGCCAGTTTGAAAGCTTTCTCAATCACCAGCATGGATGCTTTATTAACTAGGCCTTTAAAGTTAAGGGTTGTGGTTTTTTCTCCAATTAACATGTGGGAGAAGATAATTGAGTAGCTGCAATTTCCCCACCTCAATTTAAACAGATATTCACAGGATTAAAAACAAGACGTAAAGCCAGATCCTGCGCATCTTTTTATTATGTAGCTCAGTAAAAGAGGACAACCCTTGCGCTCAGAAGATCCCTCTAGTGAGGACAAGATTCACATCACTAGACGTGATGAAACCCCTGAAAACAGGGAAAGCTCCATGAATGGATAGGAAAAGGTTCTGTGAGAAAGTGAGGCAGATGGTAGGCCTTTTCATATCTGAATTCTATAATAATAATAATAATAATAATAATTATTTATTTATTTATATCCCGCCCTCCCCAGCCAAAGCCGGGCTCAGAGCGCCTAACAACAATAAAAGTAACACAGCATTCTAAAATCAATTCAAAATCAAATTAATGGCAACCATTGGGCTAGAGTTCTATGAGGATAACCAAAGGAGGGAGTCAGGCTGTGCCCTGGCCAAAGGCCTGGTGGAACAGCTCTGTCTTGCAGACCCTGCGGAAAGATGTCAAGTCCCGCAGGGCCCTAGTCTCTTGTGACAGAGCGTTCCACCAGATCGGGGCCACAGCCAAAAAAGTCCTGGCTCTGGTTGAGGCCAGCCTAACCTCCCTGTGGCCCAGGACCTCCAAGATGTTTTGTTTTTGTTTGAAGACCGTAAGGTCCTCCGTGGGACATACCAGGAGAGGCGGTCCCGTAGGTACGAGGGTCCTAGGCCGTATAGGGCTTTAAAGGTTTAAACCAGCACCTTAAACCTGATCCTGTACTCCACCGGGAGCCAGTGCAGCTGGTATAAGCACCGGGTGAATGTGATCCTGTGGCGAGGACCCCGTAAGGAGTCTCACTGCAGCATTCTGCACCCGCTGGAGTTTCTGGGTCAGTCTGAAGGGCAGCCCCACGTAGAGTGAGTTACAATATGAGTCTAGAATATGACCATGGTTTAATGTGGAGAATAAGCTTATAAAATCATAGGATTGTAGAGTTGGAAGGGAGCACGTGGGTCATCTAGTCCAGTCCCCTGCAATGCAGGAATCTTTTGCCCAACACAGGGCTCAAACCCATGAGTGTGAGATTAAGAGTCTCACGCTTTACCAACTGGGCTATATTCTTGTGCCGCAATTCATTTCCCACAGTCCATAGGTCATTCTCCTCTGCATCGCTGCCTTTCCACACCCTCCCCATCCGGGGTTTGGATTTTCTCATACCAGGGATGCTTCGCGAAGGAGAGGGTATAGAAAACCCAAACTGAGGGAAGGGAAAATGCAAGAGGGCAGTGATTTGGAGGCTTTGGACAACGGAGAGTTAACAGGCTTGCCATCCAGATCAAACAGCAGTATGGATGAGCCTTCTGGAAAGTGAAGGAGAATAACTGATATCAGCTGAATGAAGGAGATCACAAGCTGTAAGTTTAGAATTGGGATATTGCAGCTGGTGGGGTGCGCTGGGGTTGCGAAAGCCAGCTGAAAAGAGCTGCTGTGCGACTGAATTAAAGATTAAAGAATAAATGGGGAATGGATAAAATCCTGACTCAGAATGTGTGCAACTGGTATGTAGGGGGGAAGGGGCTATTGGGCTCCTTTTATTGGAAAATTTGGTAGATTAACCTCTCCCCACCACCCAGGTGAGATGTCAGAGGTTTAGGCAAAGTGCACGATGAACCAGGGGGATATTTGGAAAAGAAACGGGGGCGGGGACAGATTCCCCAATCTGCACTTGTTTCTGCTGCTCAAGTGCCTTGTCTTTATTCATGACTTTCTAAAAAGCCACTTGAGGCTTCTCAGCAGAGTGTGCAACGCTGTGATGAAGCGGGCAGGTTTCCCTGTCTTTTCTCTAATTCCATCCCATCAGCCGACCAGCGTGAAGCGAAAACGGGCGCCAGGGCTGGACCGGCACAACATTTGTAAACACATTACCATGCCGGAATGAAAAATAATACAAAGTCACATGGCAGAGCTGGCGCCAGGTGCAGGGGGCCTCAGCTTCGAAGTGATGAATGGCTGCTTGGCCTTTGAATTTGTCACGGCTCCTAAGAACCAAATTGAGCGGCTCCCTCCCTCCCCGAAGCTGGTCTTGTTTCCGTGCAATAAACAAGAGCCAGGGTGGGGAAGCTGAAGGCTACGGGGGCACACAGTTGCCATCTTCTCCTCAAAGTTCTCTCTCCGAGCACGAGGGTTTGATGCTTGTTAACCTTTCTTTTACACAAAAGCTACTAACAAGAGGAAATGAGCAGCCTTCCCTGCAAAACGCTCTGTGGATCACGTTGTCTGCAAGTTCAGGTCTGCAGCAGGAGCTACATGGCATCTATACAAGTGGATGCCCACTCTGTTTCCTAGGCATGCCCATAGCTCAGTGATTAGAGCATCTGCTTTGCATGCAGGAGGTCTCCGGTTCAATCCCCAGCATCTCCAGGTAAGGCTCAGAAAGACTCCCGGTCTGAAATCCTGGAGAGATGCTGCTAATCAGGGAAGGGGAATTATGAGACTCCTTTTGAAAAAACAGAAGTCAAGGTCTGATCACCAGCAAGTCTGGTTTCCCCCATCATAGTAATGTTGTCTGCCTTCAAAATGCTACAATTCTGCGATTCTATACTGGTACTGGGATGCAGGTGGCGCTGTGGGTTAAACCACAGAGCCTAGGACTTGCCGATCAGAAGGTCGGCGGTTCGAATCCCCGCGACGGGGTAAGCTCCCGTTGCTCGGTCCCTGCTCCTGCCAACCTAGCAGTTTGAACGCACATCAAAGTGCAAGTAGATAAATAGGTACCACTCTGGCGGGAAGGTAAACAGCGTTTCCGTGCGCTGCTCTGGTTTGCCAGAAGCGGCTTAGTCGTGCTGGCCACATGACCTGGAAGCTGTACGCCAGCTCCCTGGGCCAATAAAGCGAGATGAGCGCTGCAACCTCAGAGTTGGCCATGACTGGACCTAATGGTCAGGGGTCCCTTTACCTTTACACTGGTACTAAATGTATAAGTGAACACTCCCCATTTATCATCATGGAACTGTAGAGCTGGAAGGGAATCTCCTATGCAGGAGTGCACATAATAAAAAATGAGAGAAGTCTGCTCTCGTTTTCCAGTTGGCGGCACTGCGGCTAGGCTTCTGGGACTCTGCACCGATCCAGCAAGGGGGCAGAGAGTTGACGCCCCCTTCCGTGTTGTCCCAGCTGCGGGGCCACACCCAGTGTGGCACTGCTGGCCAATCAGTGCCGGGCAGGGGTGGGGCTGTGGGAGGGCAGACCCTCCTTTCTTGCTGGTGCTTAGGCATTGGGTAAGCCTTTGTTTGGATGGAGGGGAGGTTGTAGCCTCGTCCTGCCCCTCCTCAGTAAGGGTATCCTGCTGAAGGGATCCGGGGGTGTGGGCTCTTTCCAATGTCCCGACATGGGCTAGGGCCATGTCACAACCCCAACAGGGACCCTTCGGAGCGCCCCTATTTGATGTAAGTCATAGGGCTCCCCCTATTGGTGGTTTACCCTTAGTTGGACTCCCTGCAGATGGGTGGGAGTCAAGCCAAACTGCTCACATCTCTAACCAATAAATTTGTGGCCTATTCGAACCCCAAAACCAAAATACTTGTGTCCATGTGCTTATTGTCCATTAGACATCTGAAGGCAGCCCTGTTTAGGGAAGTTTTTAATATTTAATGCTGTATTGTTTTTAACACTCAATTGGGAGTCACCCAGAGTGGCTGGGGAAACTCAGCCAGATGGGTGGGGTTTAAATTAATAATAATAATAATAATAATAATAATAATAATAATAATGTGGGGCACATAATTAGGCTTTTCTCATATAGCCAGACTTTCTCCTCTGCAGCAAGGAGTCTCCCATGTAGGAAATTTATATCATACCAGCTGTGCTGAATCAGGGCTAAGAATAAAATCCGCGATGGTGTGAGGGGCGAGGGGGGGGGAGTGTGGTCTACAAAGCCCCAAAGCCACCCTTTCCATTTTAATAGAGTCTGCTGGATTTCATTACATTTCCTCTCTTTACTTACGACCGAAGAGATATTATCAGTCAGATTCAGGTCAGATGCTAACAGCAGCTTGACTATTTTTGGAGGGTACTTTGTACAGAGGGTAGGATTAATTATCCACGAATTATGATGGAAACCCCATGGGAGCGGATGTGGCAAGCATATTGGGAGACCTGCATCCATTGTGAAGGCTACCATTCAAACAGATGTAGAATTAAGCTTGACAATCAGATGCTTTCTTATTAAAAGGCATCTCATCACCCAGCGCTGCATATAAATGGGAGCCGCAGCTCATGGCTTTCCATGTGAAGTTTAAATGCTCATTGTGCAGGCAGGAGAGAAAAAGAGTTGAGCAAGTAAGAGGGGAAAACATCACTTGCTTGGACAATTTAGATCAGAATTTTCCAAACTGTGTGTCATGACACGCTAGTGTGTTGGCTGCAGTGTGTAGGTGTGTCGCGCGAACACTCCCCATGCTCTTCCTAGGGATGGAAAGTTTAACCAACCGGTTTGCTGGTAAAACTGAATTGCTGTGTCGTGAAATGATGCATGTCTAAAAATGTGTGTCACCAACATGAAAAGTTTGGAAAGCTCTAATCTAGATTATTAGGGCCATTTTATCCTTTGCCCAATACAGTGGTACCTCAGGTTAAATACGCTTCAGGTTACAGACACTTCAGGTTACAGACTCCGCTAACCCAGAAATAGTACCTCGGGTTAAGAACTTTGCTTCGGGATGAGAACAGAAATCGTGCTCCGGCGGTGCGGCAGCAGCAGGAGGCCCTATTAGCTAAAGTGGTGCTTCAGGTTAAGAACAGTTTCAGGTTAAGAACGGACCTCCGGAACGAATTAAGTACGTAACCCGAGGTACCACTGTAGCTGCCAATCCAGTTCACATGTGGCACCTTGATTCAGCACTTCCGAACAGGAATAAGGCAAGAAAAAGTCTGTGCAAAAGGACAATTTCCCAGGAAATACAGCCGCAACGTCAGGAATACTCACAAATATCTGAGACTGGGAAGATTCTGGAAAGCATATCTATCAATATACACCAGATGGTTTGCTTTCTCAATTCTTCTGTGGGGGGAAAGAAAAACAAGAAAAACGTTAGTTATAATTCGAATTGTCTCGTTTCCCCACAGTATGAGATTCTTTGGCTGGGGAAAGCAACATGATCTGCAAAACAGTATGGGTGAGACCCAATGTAAGGTCAGCGCAACTGGAGTTAAGCAACTCCATTTGCAAGTGAAGTTTATCTATTGGTTCTGGCTGATGTGCTGTGGTAAGAACAAGAATGGCTGCTGCGCAAGTGGTCTGCTGTGAGTGGCTATCACCCAATATACCTCTTCAGCTAAAAGTTTCTCTTATGTTCTTTAGATTCTTGATACCAATTCCCATGCTTGCAGAAGGACATATGACTTGCCCCTTCTAGTCCAGAGAACCACTGACCTGACAGTGCAAGACAATTTATTTACCCTCTCCACAAATGTCTCTCTCCCCACCCCGGGCCACCACTACAGTTACACAAATGCATTTGTGATGTGATATAAGCAGTTTGTCACTGTTCAGCTTTCGTTGGCAGAGGCTGATTAACACCATAGCTCTCAACAGAAACAGCTTATCACTTGACTGCTTTTGATTCTGGTGAATTTGGGTTTTGGGCTGGTCCAGATGTCCCAATTGCTACAGGCATTAGCATTTCTGTTATGTACTGAGTTGAATAGGATCCAAAAGGCAGCAGTCTGATTGGTCCTAGAACAATAGGATTCAGAATGCAGCAGTCTGATTGGTCCTAGAACAATGCAGCAGTATGATTGGTCTGCAGGAGCCACCCAATCCGGCTCCAGATGGAAGTGAATCCACAACCTGATTGGCCTACAGGAGAATTCCAGAATTAGCCAATCACGTGCAGCCCATTGTGTAAATAATGTATATAAAGCAGATACTTTGAGGGGACTTCCATTCCTCCTCACCACTATGAGCTGAATAAAGAGCATGAAATCTACTCTCGACTCTGAGTATATTTCAATTTCCTTAGCAAACTCTCATCCCTCTCCAATCATTTCATTCAATACATGTGCCTAACTAAATTGGGGTCATCTTTCACATGAGCAGGCCCATTCTTTTAGATTGCCATCAGAGGCCCTGCTTCAGATGCCACTGCCCTCAGTTGTCAACTTTGGTTGTTGTTTTTTTAAATTGGGTTGTTGGTTTTGTTTTGTTTTGATTTTATGTATTTGATATTTTATGTGAACCGCCCTGAGACCTTTGGGTATAGGGCGGTATAGAAATAAATAAATAAATAAATACTACTACTACTACTACTACTGACAACGAAAAGAGAAAGGGCCTTTTTAGTGGTGGCCCCCTGCAAACTCGACACATGAAGTTTTTCCCTCCAAAGGCCACACCCCTCACCAGACAGGCTCTACGCTCTCCTTGACTGCTTTTATCTAACTGGACTGTGACCTTGAATGGTGTACGATAAAGCCTTTTGCTTAGGGTTGCCATACGCCCAGAATTTCCTGGACGTACCAGCCGGAAGCAATGTCTGGCAGGAAATTGGAAAAAATGTCCGGGAAAATCTGGACGTATGGCAACAAACCCGTTTGTTCTGAGCTCCTTTTAATTAAGATGCAGAACTTTTAAATGTTTTATATCGCTGCTGGTTTTAAACTGTCCGTTTTCAAAGTGCTTTTTAAAAAAAAGCAATTTAAATACATTTTGGATGAGTGCGGCGCTGGCTTCCGAAATGTCTTAACTGCTGCTTTAACTTTAATTGCATTTTATGGGAATTACGTTTTATCCTCTCTTTTTTAAATGGAAGCTGCTTTGAACGGGCTTTGCCCTAAAAGGCTGCCAAGGAACGTTTGAAGTAAATAAAAAGCAATCAAGCCCGGTGTGTGGTCAGGCACCTGCAAGCAGGGGGCTTAGCACATGCAAGACCCACAATTGCCAAAGTAACGAAGCACACCCTCCAACATTTATCCAAGGAGAATAGGGATGTCCTAAGGAAAAGCAGGACATTCTGGGATCAAATCAGAAACCAGGACAACTTCTGTACATCTGGGACCGTCCCTGGAAAATAGGGACACTTGGAAGGACAGCACCTGTTCACTTCTCTTCCTTCGGTCCTCAGTCTCCATTATGGGATGGCAGAAGCATCCCCTCTCACAGCCCCCATTGTCACGAGTTACAGAGGGCAGTTACCTCTTTCTCCTTTGAAATGCAAATAGAGCCGAAGAAGGAAGTTGGAAGAGTGACACTCTGCCCCACTTCCTCTTTCACCTCTATGTGCTTTACAGGATCTTAGTTTTACAGAGATTTTGTGGAAAAGCAACGTGTGTGTGTATGCAATAATAATAATAATAATAATATTACCCCTGCCCACTCTGGACGGCTCCCAACAGAATATTAAAAACACAACAAAACACCAAACATTAAAAAATACCCTAAACAGGGCTGCCTTCAGATGTCTTCTAAAAGTCAGATAGTTGCTTATTTCCTTATAGTTCCCATATCTGATGGGAAGGTGTTCTACAGGGCAAGGGTGGCTACCAAAAAGGCCCTCTACCAGGTTCCCTGTAACTTTGCTTCTCACAGTGAGGGAACCTTCAGAAGGCCCTCAGCACTGGACCTCAGTGTCCGGGCTGAATGATGGGGGTGGAGATGCTACTTCAGGTATACTGGGTCGTGGCCGTTTGGGGCTTTAAAGGTCAGTGCAAACACTTTGAATTGTGCTCAGAAATGTACTGGGAGCCAATGTAGATCTTTTGGGACTGGTGTTATATGGTCTCAGCGGCCACTCCCAGTCACCAGACACATTCTTTCTGTCTCTTGGAAGTGGGTCTGATCCAGGGGAGAGGGTGAGGGAAGTGACCAAAAGGGGTGGTACCTACAGGAAAAAAATCAAATGTGCTCATGAGCATAAAATGGTTGGCAACCCTGCAATAGCCAAGACTGAGTCCTGATGAGCCGATGCAGAAGGAAAGAAAGACACACAGAGAAAAAACTAGTCCTAGATCTATTTTGTTCCCATGGAACCACCATGTTGCATTTTATGGTTGGTCCACCAGTATCTTGTAATACCCCAGCCCTCCAATTCCATTTATTGACTTACATTTCATAGAGTTTTGGAAGGTTGGCGAACACGTTCGATTCTATAGTTCCCAAGGCATCGTTCTGAGAGATTTCTCTGTCAAGAAAAAGGAATCATCAGCCAAGGTGGCCTCGCTATTTATCAGAAGCGTCAACATTACAAATGTACGTGAAAAATGAAGGGAATAACTTAAAAACGTTGCCGGCATCGAAGGATCCATAAATCCTGGACTACAAGCCATTGAAACACAAAGCTGGCTTAAAAGAAAAGAATATTTGTAAGAACCTGTTGCAGGAATAGAGGATGGAGGTGGGGGGGGGGAGGGAAAGTACTCCAGTACCTCAGATAGCATAGCAAACATCTCCAGGAGTTTGCAGGATAGAATGCACCAGTCAAGTGAAGGTAGAGGATCACATTTTTTGCTGCCCCCCTCTACTGAAAACTGAGGATATTCTAAGAACTGCTATTTGACTATATGAACTGGTGCGCAAGTTTGTTTTCCCCCCCTCACCCCCTCCTTTTCTCTCTTTTGTGTCAGGTAGGGACTGCCTTATTTTAATTTATTGCATGTAAGTTACTCTGGGAGTCTTTTTGGCTGAGGAACAGGATACAAATGCAATAGATAGACAGACAGAGAGACAGACAGACAGATGATAGATACTTGAAAAATGAGCACATCAGGAAAATGAATCTCTTTGTTGTGAGTATTTACTATTTGCAGGGCATTTGTTATGCATTCAAAAGGAATATCCCATTTGGACCATGCCAGAAGAGAGAGTCAGCCAGGAGAGGGCCTGCTGCTTCCTTCTGGAAATAGCATTAGCTAGTTGTTTCTATGACAACACGGCCAACTCTTTAGTCATGTAAGAAGAATGCTTAACAGCTTGGCCAGGGCCATTAATTTAACAAAGAGACTGGTTTAACCACTTCATCAATTCTACTGAAGAACCCCATCCTATAAAACCACAGCCCTAGAGGGGGCCCAAAGATGGTATCCAAACCAACCAACCCCAATACCCCAAATCCTATAACAACATATTAACTGAACAGTAGTGCTGGGTTGAAGTTTCTGGCACATTCAAGGGATGGGGGAAAACCTTTCCCAAAGTTTGCAAAAAATCTTCAGGGAGTGGAAGTTCTAACATGTCCTCCTCCTCCTCCTCCTCCTCCTCCTCTTCTTCTTCTTTGCTGAGCACTGACAATACTGCCAAAATAGCCAATGGCAGAACCCATCCTTCCCATGGGGCATTCTGTCAAAGGAGGTTGCCTTATACTGACTCAGATCAATGGACCACCTAGCTCAGTATGGTCTATGCTGATTGGTTTCAGGCAGGGTTCTCTCCCAACCCTACTTGGAGATGAGAATTGGCCCTATGATCTTCAACAGGCAAAACAGATGCTCAGCCACTGAGCTACGGCTCTTCCCTCCTTGTCAAAGAGCTCTGAAGCTAGGCTTCAGAAGCAGAAGAAAGCCACCCTCCGTCACTGTGTTGGGTCTTACCCCCACCCCAAGGTGCTGTGAGGCAGAGACACATATCTCAATTAACCTTATAAACCACATCAACGGTGAATGGAAAATGCAAAACAACTCACGACCCAACATTAACAACCTCGTGTTTAAATTCCCCACTCACGTCAAGAAATGCGATTAAGTGGAAGTTCTATTGCTAATTCCACTACATTACACATTATGATGAAACGGGTAACAGCAGGTGCTTTTACAGCGACACAGTATATATCAAGGTTTTTTTGTTTCGTTTTTTTAAAGTAAACCTCGAATGGTAAATTAAACAAAACTTAAACACACAAACGCACACCACACACACAGTCTAGCTACGATAAAATAAAAATAAAAATGTGTCTTTTATGTTTATGATCTGTCTCCCGCAATTCACCCAAGCTAAGCAAGTGGAAGCAGCTCTTGCTTCCTTGAATACAAACCCCTCTTAAAGGGATCATTTATTATTTCAAGCTATGCTAGGTTTGAAGTAATTATCATCTTTATCTAGCAGGAGTGAGGGAGGAAGGAAAAGAGAGATGCACGGGGAGAGCAGGGTGGGATGTGGTTTCTAGAAGGCTTTGCAACATGGGGTTTGGTTTAAATGTGAGTACAGTGGTGCCCCGCAAGACGAACGCCTCGCAAGACGGAAAACCCGCTAGACGAAAGGGTTTTCCGTTTTGGAGGCGCTTCGCAAAACGAATTTCCCTATGGGCTTGCTTCGCAAGACGAAGCCCATAGGGAAATCTCCGGGGACCTCTTTTAAATGCTAGCGGTGGGGAGCAAAGCATTCCCCCCTCCGGCCTTCAGAAGAGGTCCAGGAAGGCTGGCGGGGGCCGAAGGCTTTGCTCCCCACCGCCAGCATTTTAAAAGCAGTCCGGGATAGCAGGGAAGCGCTTCCCGCTATCCCGGACGGCTTTTGAAGGCAGGAGAGGTCCGCGAAGCCTGGGCGCGCTGATCTCAGCGCGCGCAGGCTTCGGCATGCCGGCAACTCTCCGCAAGCAGCGGCAGCGCTGCCGCTGCTCGCGGAGAGGTCCGCGAAGCCTGGGCGCGCTGATCTCAGCGCGCGCAGGCTTCGGCATGCCGGCAACTCTCCGCAAGCAGCGGCAGCGCTGCCGCTGCTCGCGGAGAGGTCCGCGAGCCTGGGCGCGCTGATCTCAGCGCGCGCAGGCTCGGCATGCCGGCAGCTCTCCGCAAGCAGCGGCAGCGCTGCCGCTGCTCGCGGAGAGGTCCGCGAGCCTGGGCGCGCTGATCTCAGCGCGCGCAGGCTCCGGCATGCCGGCAACTCTCCGCAAGCAGCGGCAGCGCTGCCGCTGCTCGCGGAGAGGTCCGCGAAGCCTGGGCGCGCTGATCTCAGCGCGCGCAGGCCTCGGCATGCCGGCAGCTCTCCGCAAGCAGCGGCAGCGCTGCCGCTGCTCGCGGAGAGGTCCGCGAAGCCTGGGCGCGCTGAGATCAGCGCGCCCAGGCTTCGGCATGCCGGCAACTCTCCGCAAGCAGCGGCAGTGCTGCCGCTGCTTGCGGAGAGGTCCGCGAAGCCTTGGCTGGACAGCTTTTGAAGGCAGGTGGGGGGGGGACAAAGACTTTCGCCCCCGCCAGCCTTCAGAAGAGGTCCAGGACCTCTTCTGAAGGCTGGCGGGGGCAAAAGTCTTTGTCCCCCTGCCTGCCTTCCCAGGGGCTTTAAATTGCCCCGGACAGCGGAGAAGTCCTCCGCTGTCCCGGGGCAATTTTAAAATGCCGCCCGCCAGCATTTTAAGATCGCCCCGGACAGCGGAGAAGCCCTCCGCTGGCCCGGGGTTTTGTAAAATGCTGGGGGTGGGACGAAAAGCCCGTGTGCCCCCCAGCCTTCAGAAGAGGTCGGGGGACAGACTGTCCCGGACCTGGTCTGAAGTCGGTTTCCCTAGGAACGCATTAATTGATTTTCAATGCATTCCTATGGGAAACCGTGCATCGCAAGACGAAAAACTCGCAAGAGGAAAAAACTTGCGGAACGAATTAATTTCGTCTTGCGAGGCACCACTGTAGAACTCTGCATGCTCTCAGATCAAAATCCTCCACCCCACTAGCTCAAATTCTTCTCCAAGAAAAGCAACACTCTTTCAACTGTCACAGTTTTGTGGTAGAGCCCCTTCATCGCTCCAAGGCTTAATCTTCTAAAATGATAAATCAAGCCCTCCCCCTTAAAGACCTGGACAACTGACACCCTGTGTTGTGGGTGGGTACTATTGGTCAGCCACAACACCCGATTGGTAGGTCCCTCGTAACTGGGTACAATCTGGCCAATGGGACTCAGTCCAAATGGTTCGAGGAACCTATTTATGCCCATGCACATGACCCAGAGCTTCCTCTTTCGGCGCGTGCATTCAGAACACCTGCCCACCTCTCCCTACTTTTAGGGCTTTGTGCTTGACCTTGCTATGCCGTCATGTGTCGTCTGTCATTAGGACAGGGGCATGGCAGGAATTTCCCCCACTTGGCTGATTGGCTGTTGCCATTTGGGTTTTGCCTGTTGCGTAGCAAATCGCCACAACTTGTAAGGTTCCGGATAGGCTCTGGTTCAGGTGATAGGGATGGGAGAACGCTCTCGCCATCCGTATGTGAAGGGTATTCCGTTAAAGGAATCCAAAGACTCTATGGTTTGGTCAACCCCTGAGAGGGGGTTGTGCCCATGTCTGAGTCCAGGGGGACATTTGGGTGGTGGAGTTAGCCTGTTCCCAGCTTTCCGCTTATCCGGGCGTTCACCCTTGGCTGACCTATGCTGGTGCCCTGGGTCAACGCTACCTGCATGGCAGGGAGCTAGTCGAACCAGAGCCTATGCAACCAGTCACTTTCTGTGATTGATAAAGTTGTGGCCTACATTCAGCCAAAAACCAAAACCAAAATTTGAGTCAAGTGTGAATTTATTTAGGGGGGAGGTTTCTGGGTCTGAACACACAAGAAGAGACCCATCTAGTCCAGCATCAAATTCTCACAGTGGCCAGCCAGATGCCAGTGGTAAGACCACAGGCAGGACATCAGCGCAACAGTGCTCTCCTATCCTGCTATTCCCAACAACAGGCATTCAGAAACAATGTGTTTCCATGGCCTGCTCCCCTTTCCATCCCTCTTTTCTTGGGGTCCCTGCTGCTTCTCTTGGCACACGGTGTCAGCATACCCTTCTCTCCAACTTTCCTAGTCCTGCACAGCTTTCCTTTCCTTGATTTCTCCAGTCTTCTCCCTTCTCTCCAATAATAATAATAATAAGGGAGCTGGGCATGTTTAGCCAGGAGAAGAGGAGGTTAAGGGGTGATATGATAGCCATGTTCAAATATATAAAAGGATGTCACATAGAGGAGGGAGAAAGGTTGTTTTCTGCTGCTCCAGAGAAGCGGACACAGAGCAATGGATCCAAACTACAAGAAAGAAGATTCCACCTAAACATTAGGAAGAACTTCCTGACAGTAAGAGCTGTTCGACAGTGGAATTTGCTGCCAAGGAGTGTGGTGGAGTCTCCTTCTTTGGAGGTCTTTAAGCAGAGGCAGAGGCATATGTCAGGAGTGCTCTGATGGTGTTTCCTGCTTGGCAGGGGGTTGGACTCGATGGCCCTTGTGGTCTCTTCCAACTCTATGATTCTATGATTCTATAATTTATTATTTATACCTCGCTCATCTGGCTGGGTTTCCCCAGCCACTCTGGGCAGCTTCCAACTGAATATTAAAAACAATACAGCGTCAGACATTAAAAACTTCCCTAAACAGGGCCACCTTCAGTAGTCTTTTTTTTTTAGAGTTTTTTATTATTATTAAAGATTTTCTTGTTTTACAGGTTGTCTTTTAAAAGTAAAATAGTTGTTTATTGCCTTGACATCTGCTGGGAGGGCGTTCCACAGGACAGGCGCCACTACCGAGAAGGCCCTCTGCTTGGTTCCCTGTAACCTCACTTCTCACAGTGAGAGAACCGCCAGAAGGCCCTCGGCACTGGACCTCAGTGTCGGGGCTGGTTGATGGGGGTGGAGACGCTCCTTCAGGTATACAAAACCGAGGCCTGTATACATCAGCACTGAGTAGGTACGCACCGCCTCCAAACAAGAGGTGTGGCCGTTCCTATCCTTAGCATCTAGATAAAGGTTTGGAGACTATCATAGTTAAGCGATATATAGTTCTAAGTTCATAAGTTTATCCTTCTAGCCAAAGGCCATGACAAACCCTTAGTGATAGTATTAATAAAATAACACAGAGCATACAGCCAACATCGATGGTGAAAGGGACCAGAGAGACACCAACAAGCTTAAATTTGAAGCCGCAACTTCAGAACTTCAAAGCTCCCAATCACGTGATGTCACTGAGGGGCGACAGGTCCGTGTGCAGCCCCAACTACCCATCAAATTTGGCCCACGCCTCTAGATCCTGGTAAGAATCTTGGCTTCTGGAGCCAATGAGATTCTGTACTCTTGCTTTAACCCTTTGCTATGGTCCTGATCCAAATTAGGGAGGCTGCTGCTGAAATCCACATTAGAAAATCAGGCCCAGTCACTTCGATGGAAGATGCCACCCGACAAATCCAAACTGCAGGAGTAATCGGAAGCTATGAGTTGTTTGCAACCCTTTGCACTTCAGTGGGGAGGAAGGGCAGTTGTCAGGCTCGCAGACTGGTAAAAGGGAGGTGGAGGGGTTGCAGAATCTCATTTGCCACTTAACAAACTAATTTATAGCAACCTCCCACACCAAACTTAGAATTTGTGGCAGTCCTGCCTTTTGCCAGCTGAATCGGAATGTGCAGTGACTCCATGTTTAACACCCCCCCCAAAAAAACCTTCTTGTGGCTAAGGTGTTGTTGTGGTTGTTGTTACATTCACTGGTTCAGAAGATGTAGATCGTTTAAAGAACTTGAAAAATGAAAGGAAAATAATTGGGGTGGTGGAGGCAGCAAGGGAGAAAATAAAAATATGCCCCATTGACCATTGCATCCCTCCAGACTTGATCGTAATGCGTTATCTGTTAGTTTCCAAAAGCTCAACATTTTTTTCATCCACCCTCCATAGACACCCCGCATTGTCTCTTTCAGTGCGTGACCCAAGCATTGCCATAGCAACTGGTCTCCCAATTAGCCTTGAGCTGGTCACAATCAATATGATTAGACAAGGTCAGCTTCAGAACCAATACTATGGATTTTGTTAAAAGGCCATGGCAGATCAGAAATAGCCAGGAATAAAGGCAACGTAATAATTTGCCTGCGGACAGGAACACGACTGTAAAAACAATTGCACAAAATCAGCACCATAACCATCATTTAGCACAGGCTTCCTCAAACTCGGCCCTCCAGAAGTTTTTTTTGGCCTACAACTCCCATGATCCCTAGCTAGCAGGACCAGTGGTCAGGGATGATGGGAATTGTAGTCTCAAAAATATCTGGATGGCTGAGTTTGAGGAAGCGTGATCTAGCAGCATGTAGATGGTTGTCTACATTATGAGTTCCCTGAACCCTTCTAAGAAGCAAATTCTTCTATTCCTGCTGTTTCTCTGCATCCGAGGGTAGGCTACAATAGCTGGAATCAACGACCTCCATTTGAAGAGAAGCCAGCTGCAGCTATTTTGGGGTGTCCATTTTGCAGATGAAGGACAGGGAATCTGTAGCCCTCCAAATGCTGTTGTGCTACATCAAGAGCCAGAGTCCAACATCTGGAGGGCTGCAGTTTCCCACTCCTCCCCAGTGCTGGTGTTGGTTGGCTCCCATAGATTTTTTTTTGGTGGGGGCAGGTCATGGGAGACTGCAAAGCAGAGACACAGCTGAGAAGTGAGGAAACCCTGCCCTTGTGGCTCAGACTTAAAAGCAGAGGACTGATTCAGCCAGTGGTGTAGTGGTCTGGGGTCGGATGAAGTCAAATACCTGCTATTATATCTTCAGCAGGGTCCCCGGCTCCAGCACCAAATCAGCAGGAAAGGGGAGCTTTTCAGCCACTGCATGCTCCGAAACAAAGCATTTAAGAAAACTGAAGATACAAGGTGTTTCAGTTTCAAGGGAATAGCGGGCATGTTCTGTGATCATGGAACTCCAAGGATGGAACTCCAAGGAAAACACAACTTAAGTCACTCCGAAATAGGATAGTGGTGCACTCCAAATTATTTGTCCATGTGCATGACTGGAAAATTGTAGATCTTGCTGAAAGGCATCAAGTGGAGATCTGCATTGATGGTTGTAATACATCCCTAATTATAATTCTTAGAAGGGGCTGAGCTAAGAGGGGTTGTGGATGTGGCTATCACAAAGGGCCCCTGAACTTCTGAATTTGCCACTACAGTACTGGGTTCAGCCCTTGCTCCCACGGTGTCTGACTGTCCACCACATTACATTCCTATGCAATCATCATACATAATAACATCGAAACTAGAAGAGGTGGGTCTTGTTCTAGGGGTGAACAAGCCCATCAGTGTTGCTCTCCTATCTGCTTTCCTCATCAATTGATGGAGAATGATCTGTAAAAAGTAGAAAGGTTGTATCCAACTAAGCCATACTCAAGAAACGACCCATTGAAAGCAATGGATGCAACTACATTAATTTCAATCAGTCTATTCTGACTAGGAGAGGGATGCGGGTGGCACTGTGGTTTAAACCACTGAGCCTAGGACTTGCCGATCAGAAGGTCAGCAGTTCAAATCCCCGCGATGGGGTGAGCTCCTGTTGTTCGATCCCAGCTTCTGCCCACCTAGCTGTTCGAAAGCATGTCAAGTGCAAGTAGATAGATAGGTACTGCTCCGGCGGGAAGGTAAATGGCATTTTTGTGCACCGCTCTGGTTCACCAGAAGCGGCTTAGTTATGCTGGCCACATGAGCCGGAAGCTGTCTGCGGACAAACGCCGGCTCTCTCGGCCTATAGAGCGAGATGAGCGCACAACCCCAGAGTCATCCATGACTGGACCTAACGGTCAGGGGTACCTTTACCTTTATTCTGACTAAGTTTGGATACAACCCATAATCTTTGGCACAACACTAGATTCTAGATACAGTCTTCAAAATTTGAACAATTCTCAGAAAGCTTGTTATGGACAAAATGTGTCCTTATTTCCTGTTGCTGTGTGTTATCCCTTGCCAGAAACAGAATTGCAATGAACAACACTGACCTTTATATACATGACACTCTACAGAGGATGTATTTAAGTATCATTTTGATAAACTCAGAGGATTACGGTGCTCTCTCTCCTTTGATACCTTGCAAACTACATCACCGCTGACTTCATCTCATGCCACCATTTTGCTGAAAAGCAACACATTCTGTCATGTTCAATACTTAAGGTAATTAAAACAATGTGATTTCATTATCTTTATGTAGCCTCCACTGTATGCTGAAAACACTCCTCTTTACCTGGCCTTTGATGCTGAGAGAGAGTGATTTTAGGACCCACCCTATTCTTCGGATTGTAAATATTGTACTTTTATATTTCTCTAACCCTCTTCCTTGATCTTACCTCTGTGGGATGTGAAACACAAGAGCAGTCAAGTACAACATTCCTAGAGTGAACATGTTTACACATGGGGAGGAATGTTTGTCCAGCCAGCAGGTAAACTTCCTGTTTCCTTCTGGGCTGGGACAGACTTCCTCTGCATGTGACTAGAGGTGGGTGTGGCCTCACCTGTGCAGGTAACGACAAAAGCACAGGGCAGGGCAGCCATCTCTCTCTCTTTCACTACATGCATCGAAGAAACAACATCTACTAAGCCAAAGATGCCCTCTTGGCTTCCAGCAAAGAGAGGACAAAGGGACTGTCTTCTTATGAGATAGATTCCAAGTGTATGTTACTTTATTAAGCTAAGTCTACCTTCTGGGATCTGATTGTGAACAGAATGTGAGTAAACTCTTTTTATACTGTGTCGTCTCTTATATTTTATGAGGGAAAAAGGGGAAAATACCAGAACAGTTATTATAGAGGCTTTAGCGAGCCTGAGCAAACGCAGCCGCTGCAAATTTAAAAGAAGGGAATGTTACTCTGTTGAAATTGTGCAACTTGTTAACAGAAGTTGGATAAGGATATAATCAGACAACATATCCTCTCCTGCATCCCTGAACATTCCCACAACCTCAAGGAAGCAGAGGCCATGATCCAAGAATGTATAAGCTCCATTTTTACAGAGCACCGCTCTTGGTCTGTTCATTCAAAAAGTTTTAAAACAAGCCAAGCGAAAGCTTTTCTCTTTGATAGCAGCTGTGAGTTATTGGCAGGAATAACAAATGATCAGCTCCATTTAAAAAAATTATTACTTCTTGAAGGAGCTGTAAGGGTATCACAATAGTCAAGGTCTCTCCTACTGATAGGCCTTGGCAAGAGAAAGCAAGCTGCCAGGTGTTCCACTTGCAGGCCAGAAGAGGGATGGGGGAAAGAAAACAAACAAGACACCTAAGTGATGCTATTGGACCATTGTGGATTTCAGAAGTCACACACAAGGCCTTGGATTGCCAAAATTTGGCTTCATTACGGCAAAGCAGTGCCAGCTGCTCTCCCACAAAAGACAACAGGCCACCTTTCTTCCATGGCCAAGTTTTCCTTGGCAGGGTCAGCAATATTTGCAGGAATCTACCACCATGAAACTAGCTAGATGACAGATTAGGCTCCATGTTGCAATGTCCAGATGATGTAGCAAAGTTTTCTGATCAGTTGAGTCAAATCTCTATTGTAGTCTGGATGGGTCTAGGGGGGCAAAAGCAATTTCCATTCTACCCTACATTTGTTACAATCAGTACTGCTTCGGCTCATATTTCGCTACAACCTACGCCATTCGTTTTGCTATCCGCTATGGCCAAAGCAAATTGAATTTATTATGCAATTCACTACATAATTAATTTCAGCACAACGGATGGGAAATGCCAAAAACATTGTGGGAAACAACATATCTATTTACATAATGTGTGCGGACTAAAATACCTATGATAGTGAACACCACTCCTATTCATTTGTGTGCTTTCTACTCCTGACCTTGGATGTGCATGAGAATTGCAGCAATTTCTGCTCCTGTTTCCATTTGCGACGGAATGCTCTAGCATTCCTGCTTTCAGCCAGTGACAATGTGATTGGAGGACACAGACCTGACTGGCCTATCCCAGAACATTTGGAGTGCTAGCCCTACAAGACAATGACAGAGAGGGGGAACCAGTGGCCCTCCAGATGTTGGAGTACAAACCCTATCATCCCTAACCATTGGCCATGGTGCCTGATCCTGAAGGGAGCAGATAGCCCAAGGAACAACTGAAGAACCATGGATTCCCCAGCCCTTAACTAAGCGCATAGCTGTGCACCTGCAATGAGATCATCTTTCTGCCTCCAAGAGACTGGCTATTGAGCAACTAGGAATTAGAAGCAACGTCCTTCTGTATCGGAGTGGTGAAAGATAGCCAAATAGAAATGGCACCTAGGAGCCCAGTCAACTTTTATGGAAGCGACTAATCTTGCAGCACAAATATCAGGCTCTGAAAAAGTGACAGATTCCTCAGGTTTGCTGGATGGGTTCTGTCCCTCAAGGAGATCCTAGGTTCAAGGTCTGGGCATCTAGCTAGAGGAAAAGCTGGCGGTGTCTAGCACTTCCGGTACCTGATGGAAGCAAAGCTTACAGCAAAATCTCTGATCAAGAAGAGCAGAAATGAGCCCAACCCCTTGGTTTTGGCCCCTTTACCCTGGTCTGGGGAAACTGTTCTTAGACCCTCAACTCCCATCAGTCTCAGGCAGCATGGCGAAGGTCCAGGAATGTTGGAAATTGGACTCCAGCAACAAATGGAAGGCAACCAACCGGTTCCCCATTCATGTTTCACCCCCTTCCCTGGAGACACTGAGAAAGGGTCTAAATGCCTGGAACTTCAGGTCAAGCCCTGAGACGTGGCAATTTTCCTTCCACCTAAATTTAGAATAGATAGCTCACATTTCTCCATCATTTTCCCTACTGCAAAAAGCCCGGTTCTTTTTTTCCCTAGGGGAGGGAGAAAGGGGAGCATCTTGACTGCATGAGAGTGCCAAATCCACTTTAACTGCACCACCTGAATTATCTGGTATGTGACTGAATTCCACCTGCTAAAGAGCGACAGTCTGAAAGCGTCTCCGATCTGCACCTCGCATACCAATGTGCAGTGGCTTAGTTATTCACAAGCTTTAACCGTATCTGAACACCCCGGTGCAGATCTCGTTACATTTATGCAGATCCACACCCTGTGGGATGATAGGCTCGAATCTTTTACCAATGCAAAAGCTTTCCCCTCTGTGGAAAAGTTGTTTTTCTCTCCCCCTACAAAATTCAGCACAATGACATTTTTCCATTAAGCTCTCTCTTCAGTCGATAGGCCCTGCAGATGGGTCCTCGAGAGCCTGTTTGAAGTCATCCATTCCCTTCTCACAGACATGAAATTTTTAATTCACTAAACTTCTGCAGCGTATATATCCATTGTGGGAATTTCTTTCCCCGCTAGCTTCGTGCTAACACAGCGCGCCGCATGTGTATTGAAGTATCTAATTTGTATACTCTAGGAAAAATACATTTTACCACATGGAGGCATCACATTTCTAATAGCCATTTCCTTTAAATAGCCTACCGTTGACTTTAATCTTGGTTTTTTTGTGTGTGTATGATATTGCGGGGCGGGGGGAGGCAGGTGGAAGAATCTCATACAAGGGGGTCTCCTTTTTTATATGCAAATATATCACCTGATTATATAGTTTGTGCCCCTACATTATCATGAATATTTCCAATGAATGTTTTATGGGTTATATTTTTGATTTGTGAGCCATTTCACATTTCATTGCTGCTTCTCATCTGCAGACGCCGCCGATGCTGATTGGTCTCGTTTGCATATTCATCAACCCCCTATTTTCATTGCTGCCGCACTTTAAACTGTTTCCCCACAGAGTTTCCACAGCACATCGCTATATTTTCAAATGAAAGCCACTTCCCCTGCTTAGCATTGTGTTTCTCCCCCCCCCCCCGCCACCTCCTGGCTGCTCTTTCGCTAACAGTGTTTGTCAGTTTTGTCACAAGCTTCCTCCCTCGTCAACATCCCCTCTTTCGCACTTTATACAAGGCAGACATATGGTTTCTGCAGGTAACGAACAACAATAGAAATAGTTTACAGGTGGGCTCAGCAGTCATCTTCATGCTTCCATGAGCCCTGCTGGGAGGCAAGGGATGTGCAGCAAAAATGAACAAGCCAGTATTGGCCCACAAGGATAACTTGCAGGGTGGAAGGGTGGAGACTAATGGCAGGGACTTACTAAGCTGCCTTTGGTCCACCTAGTTCAGTGCTATCTACACTAACTGGCAGTGTCTCTCCAGGATTTCAGACTCTGTCCTCTCTTAGTCTTACCTGGAGATGCTGGAGATGTTCTGCATGCAATGCAGGTACTCTATTACTGAGCTACATTTTGGACTCAGAGCTGTCCATGGAGGAGCAGGTCAGTTCTGTGTCCACAGCAGCTGTCTACCAGCTTCATGTGATACGCTGGCTGAGACCCTACCTGCCCACAGACTGTCTCACCAGAGTGGTGCATGCTCTGGTTATCTCCCACTTGGACTACTGCAATGCGCTCTACGTGCGGCTACCTTTGAATGTGACTTGGGAGCGGCCGCCGAGACCATATAACACCGGTCCTGAAAGACCTACAGTGGCTCCCAGTATGTTTCCAAGCAAAATTCAAAGTGTTGGTGCTGACCTTTAAAGCCCTAAATGGCCTCGGCCCAGTATACCTGAAGGAGTGTCTCCACCCCCATCTCTCAGCCCGGACACTGAGGTCCAGCTCCAAGGGCCTTCTGGTGGTTCCCTCTCTGTGAGAAGTGAGGTTACAGGGAACCAGGCAGAGGGCCTTCTCGGTTGTGGTGTCCACCCTGTGGAACACCCTCCCATCAGATATCAAGAAAAGAAACAACTATCTGACTTTTAGAAGACATCTGAAGATAGCCCTGTTTAGGGAAGTTTTTAATGTTTGATGTTTTATCGTGTTTTTAATATTCTGTTGGGAGCTGCCCAGAGTGGCGGGGTAAAAATAATACATCATCATCATCATCATCATCATCATCATCATCATCCTCATTATTACAGCCAATTGCCAGTGGCAGGTAAAGTCAACTGATCCTAGTTTTGTCCCCAACCTCCTCTGTGAGGGGTTCCTACAAAGGCAAACACGGAGACTTAGGAAGAAGCTGACAGCCAGTGCTCTCCCCCTAGACTCATTGTAAATATGAAGTCAGGCTGGTGGGGCAGAGCCAAGTTCACCCTCATGGCCCAACCTCCACAACTGAACTAGTACCAGTCTTTGCCAAGGACACAGAATGAGGCCTGCTAGATCAGGGCAGTGGCCCATCTAGTCTAGCATCCTGTTCTCACAAGAGCCACCAAATGCCTACAGGAAACCTGCAAGCAGGACCTGGGTGCAAGAGCACTCAACCTCCTGAGGTTCTCAGTAACTAGTTCTAAGTCACCGCTATGCAAGGTAGGTGAGAGAGGCACGGTGCCAGCAGTGGGGAGGCAATGAGGGGGACAAAATGGGACATTCATTCACCCCTGAGTGAATGAAGGAGTGCAGGCTCAGTGTCAGCACATGCTTAAGACAGCTGTCAGTGTATGCACCGCCTGCCCTGGACCCTTCACAACGGACAGTTGGATCGGTGAGTCCCTATTTAAAACCTCCCAGTGCAACTACTTTGGGTGCCCCAGAACTGCTAGGTTGGCAGGAGCTGGGACAGAGCAACGGGAGCTCACTCCCTCATGGGGATTTGAACTGCTGACCTTCTGATCGGCAAGCCTAAGAGGTTCAGTGGTTTAGACCGCAGTGCCACCCACATGAAGAGAAGCAGCCCTTAAGTTGCCTTACAGATTCTGCTCTTCTCTTGTGATCTCGTATTCCGTTTGCTTCTTAAGTGCCCACCAATCAACTCCTTATTGAAAAACCTATTTCATAAGGATGCACAGATGTAATTGTGGCAACGCCGCTTTGGAAGATTGGCTTTGCGAACTCTCCTTCACAACGCCCCCCCCCCCAGTCTTTAAGTGAATGAAGAGGAGGCTCCTATGGGAGCGGTGAGCTGATAGCTTAATTAAAGCACAGTGCAGGTCTAGGGAAGAGAGGGGAAAAACAACCCCAAACCAAAAATAGCCTTCTAAATCATTCTACAAATGTAATGAGTGAATATGGAGGTACATACATTTTTTCAACTTCATCGAGTCCCAAGAAAGCTCCTTTCGGTATGATTCTTATTTTGGTGAGGAAAAATACGCTGAAAACACAAGGGGGGGGGGACACAAAACATATTTATGTATTAAGCATAGCTTGGTAAGTAATTAGTACAGTTCACATTTTGGATAAAGAGAATTAAAATTCCATGCCTAGACAATGTTAAACTTCATAGGAACACATTCTGATGCCAACTTTCTCATTCCCCCCCTTTCCCCCCAAAATTACTTCAGCATGAGCTTTTATTCTAATAGTTGACTAGTTGAAATATATATATATGTTCTGTCTGTGATTCACTTATTTTATTCTGTTTTTCTCTCACACACCCCTAACAGAATACATGGTTGGCCAAACATGATCCCAGAGTGATGTAGCTGAGGTAATGCTGGATGAGCACAAGGGAAGGCCAGGAATGGGAGACAAATTCTCTTCAATTTGCATTTGAAGGCGACTTTACCTAATCCACACTCTCCAAAATAATACACAGTACAGTGGTACCTCTGGTTGTGAACGGGATCCATTCCGGAGCCCCGTTCGCAACCTGAGCAGAAGGCAACCCACGTCTGCGCGCGTGCGGGTCGTGATTCGCCACTTCTGCGCATGCGCGTGACGTCATTTTGAGCATCTGCACATGCGCGAGCGGCGAAACCCGGAAGTAACCCTTTCTGAGTTGCCTTCCGTGTTGCCATGGGATGCAACCTGAAAAGATTTAACCTGAAGCAAACGTAACAAGAGGTATGACTGTATGTGGAATGAAATACAGCCACCAATCAAAATTCACACTTTTTTTTTTTAATTGTGCAGAGCACTTCTCCAGTCGACCAATGTGTACGAAACTTCATATGATTTAAAGTGTGCATAGATGTGCCTACCGTATTTTTTGCTCCATAACACTCACTTTTTTCCTCCTAGAAAGTAAGGGGAAATGTCTGTGCGTGTTATGGAGCGAATGCCTACGGATGGCGGGGGGATCTGCTGCAGTCGTGAGCAGAGGAGCCATGGTTCAACCTTCCTTCCCTCCTCCGTGGCTCGCTTTGAAACAGCAAAGCGGAAGAAGAGCCGCTGAGTGGGGAGGAGATAGGGACAGAGAGCCTGCTTGCTTTAAAGGAGCAAAGCGGGAGAGGAGAGGAGCCTTCTCCTCTTATACCCCTCTTCTGCATTATTAGCAGCATCCTTCTCCACACACCCCACGCGTGCTCCTTGTCCCTTGAGTGCTTTTCCTTCCCTCCCCCCTTAAAACGTGGTTACAAAGCATGGATCTACATGGCTCCTCAGGATTTTTGCACTGGGTCACCCAAATTCACCATCAGATCACATAGCATGTCCATGGCTACAGCTTGCACCAAAAAAATCATGCACCCACTATTGCTTGGGGCCACAGTGGTGCAAAAACGTGGTTACAAAGCATGGATCCACATGGATCCTCAGGATTTTTGCATTGGGCTACCCCAAACTCACCGTCAGATCACGTTTGTGGCCACAGCATGAACCAAAAAAATCATACATCCACTGTTTCGTTTAGAATATTTTTTTTCTTGTTTTCCTCCTCTAAAAACTATGTGCGTGTTATGGTCGGGTGCGTGTTATAGAGCGAAAAATACGGTATATACTGGGGAAAATAATACCATATGGATTATATTAGGGAAGACTGCTTTGAGAAAAGGCAAAACTGTATACAAAAATCTGTATATTAGGAGAATCATAGAATCATAGAGTTGGAAGAGACCACAAGGGCCATCGAGTCCAACCTCCTGCCAAGCAGGAAACACCATCAGAGCACTCCTGACATATGGTTGTCAAGCCTCTGCTTAAAGACCTCCAAAGAAGGAGACTCCACCACACTCCTTGGCAGCAAATTCCACTGTCGAACAGCTCTTACTGTCAGGAAGTTCTTCCTAATGTTTAGGTGGAATCTTCTTTCTTGTAGTTTGGATCCATTGCTCCGTGTCTGCTTCTCTGGAGCAGCAGAAAACAACCTTTCTCCCTCCTCTATGTGACATCCTTTTATATATTTGAACATGGCTATCATATCACCCCTTAACCTCCTCTTCTCCAGGCTAAACATGCCCAGCTCTCTTAGCCGTTCCTCATAAGGCATCGTTTCCAGGCCTTTGACCATTTTGGTTGCCCTCCTCTGGACACGTTCCAGTTTGTCAATGTCCTTCTTGAACTGTGGTGCCCAGAAAGTCACATTAAGATGCTGATGGGTTTTCATGAGGACTTAATTCTCCTCCCCTGCTTTCCAAACCAGTGCATAAGGACTGATGGACAGCTGAAGACTGGAAAAATGAGAAAGTGAAATAGATGGATTCCCCCAACCCTGTCCCCAGCACAGAAGACAGGGCCCTTGCCTGAAACCTTGGAGAGCTGCTGTCAATCAGTGCAGACCTTGTTGAGCTAGATGGGCCAATGGTGTGATTTGCCAGAAGGCAGCTTTTTAGGACAGCTGTGTTTCAGTTCCCATATTGTTTCAGGAAGAGGCCTGGGTTTCATGGAGATGCCATGGAAGGGATGGTTAGATCCTGGTGGAGCTCAAGGAGCTGGATGTAGATGACACCAGAGAGTGTTCTTGTGGGATAGGAGAAGTGAAGTCAGGACCCCAATAAGTGTCTGAGCCTGGGGTGGAGGTCAGAAGCCCAAAGAATGGAGATCTGGGTCCAGGAGAGGGGCCAAGCAGGTTGACAGGGGAGTGTTATGCCCCTATGGCACCGGGCACCCTGATCAGACACCTCTTGCAGCATCTCCTCCTACCAATGAACAGCCTCTTCAGGAGGCAAACTGAGGGTAAATTGGACACTGACCTTGCTCCAACCCCACATGCAAGGGCATGGACATGGAGATGTTAGCGCTGGCACAAACAGACATCACAAGCCCAACCTACCCAAAGAAGTGTCCTTTTGCTTGCCCAATCCTGATACTCTGGCCACTAACTGTGTCCAGGGCAGCTGTCTACCAGCTCCATCTGGTACACAGGCTGAGACCCTATCTGCCCACAGACTGTCTCGCCAGAGTGGTGCATGCTCTGGTTATCTCCCGCTTGGATTACTGCAATGCGCTCTACATGGGGCTACCTTTGAAGGTGACCCGGAAACTACAACTAAACCAGAATGCGGCAGCTAGACTGGTGACTGGGGGTGACTGCCAAGACCTGAAAGACCTACGTTGGCTCCCAGTACGTTTCTGAGCACAATTCAAAGTGTTGATGCTGACCTTTAAAGCCCTAAACAGCTTCAGTCCAGTATACCTGAAGGAGTGTCTCCACCCCCATCGTTCTGCCCGGATGCTGAGGTCGAGCGCCGAGGGCCTTCTGGCAGTTCCCTCACTGCGAGAAGTGAGTTTACAGGAAACCAGGCAGAGGGCCTTCTTGGTAGTGGCACCCACCCTGTGGAACACCCTCCCACCAGATGTCAAAGGAAAAAACAACTACCAGACTTTTAGGCGACATCTGAAGGCAGCCCTGTTTAGGGAAGCTTTTAATATCTGAAGGACTATTGTATTTTAATATTTTGTTGGAAGCCACCCAGAGTGGCTGGGGAAACCCAGCCAGATGGGCGGGGAATAAATAATAATAATAATAATAATAATAATTAATAATAATAATAATAATAATTAATAATAATAATTAATAATTAATAATAATAACTGTTGTGTCCACTCTGTCCTTCAAAAGGAAAAGGCAGGAACCATGGTACTTGTGGGATCAATGCCTTAGTATGTGGGATCAATGCCTTAGTTTGCACTTAGCCTCTTATATACCTGCTGTGCCTTACCTAGGTACCAATCTGATTTGCGCATTAAATTTTGAGGCTGAGTACTTCAGGCATAGTGAGGGCCAGGACAGGTGTGTTCACACGAGAAAGCCGACAGGACTGGATTTCTCCCCCAATCTCTATCCATCACCTGAGCTGAAGCCTGAGTAGGCTGATTCTGCCAACTAAATATGGCCGCATGATAAAAAATGGCCTCACGCAGGATTGACTCTAGATTCACCTCCCCCGCCATGAGAATTTTCTTCCAAAGCCAGTCATAATACAAAGATTATATCACCATCTAACTACTTTTCACAGTCTGCTACCCCTGAGAAGTGACAGCTAATTGTTTCTTGAATTACTGGAGGGTTTTTTCTTGTCTTTTTTTTTGCCTCAGCAGCCTTGCCTGAGAGATGAATCTCCACTTTTTATCTCCTCGGAGCACAGATTTCTTTCGTAATAACAATTTTGAATCAACTTGTCCTTCCAACGTTGTTCCAAAATCACCCTTTTCTCTTTCTTCTCCAGCCCTTACCAAATTAAATCTGCGTGGGCTGGAGACCTGGATCTTGGACTTGGTGATGCGAGCAATGGCATAACATTGCCACATTACAGTTCATGCCTGCACTCTCTGAACCACATTCTCTAGAATTGGCCTCATGGTAGCCTGGAGAATGATCTCTGATGGCTGCAGCTGGCGCTAGCGTGTCATATATCCTATAAATGTCAGATTGGGGGGGGGATGTATATTAGATCAGTGCATATATTTCTGTGTTAAATATATATTTTTTAAAAATGCCAATCCACGCAACTACCCAGGGGCGTAGTGTGAGAAAGGACAGGGTAGCCATGGCCCTGGCACAGATTTTCAAAAGGGCATGAGGGGGCACAACCTGGCATCCCCTATGACAGATTCCCTAATTCTGGGAGGGGGAGAGAGACAACATTTTGATTTTTGGAGCTATCTTTTATTTTTAAGATGCTGAACCTGTGCTGGACAAACAGCACAATATATTGCATAGATGTTATGGATCTAGTTACAGGTAGGTAGCCGTGTTGGTCTCTAAGATGTTATGGATGTATCATTTGATGTGTTTTGTCACGTTTCTGAAAAGTAAACTTTGAATAATATTTTTATGGGTCTGAGCAATGTCGATTTCCGAAAGGAGCAGCATGAAGTGACTAGATGCGTAAGAACCGACTCCTTTCAGAAATCGACATTGCTCAGACCCATAAAAATATTATTCAAAGAGGTCTTATGCATCCAGTCACTTCATGCTGGACAATATTAATGTCTGCAAGAAGGGTGTGTGGTGTTTAACCTGCTGCCCCTCCTTTACCTGCTGCTTCCTCTTGCACTGCTTCCTTCAACCCCGCCCCCACTCCCTCCATGACAAGGCAAACAGGTCTGGAACCCCAGTCAAGAAGAGAAAAGCAGCTGGAGAAGAAGGCTGTAGAAAGAAAAAGCTATGAGCAAGAGAAGGGTTAAGCAATCCCTCCATCCACCTGTTTCTCCAGTGCAAATTGCACCTTCCCCACTAACACTTTGCACTTCCTGGCTGGCAAACTGCATTTCCTGCTGCTGAATCTCTGCTTGACACATTAAGATTATGGTTAATACTTTCATTTTCTTGTGCAACTCCGATATACTGTGAAAGAGAGAGAGAGAGAGAGAGGGCTGCTTGTTACAGGTAACTTTCAGCATCTTGGGGAGTTACGGCAACAGCTGTAAAGAGATGCTCTATCTTTTATTTATTATCCTTTTCTAAAAAATAAAATAAAAAGTGCATTGCTCAAAATGCATGCCGGTCCATCAACTGGTAATAAATATTTATCACGGCATTCTGCAGCTTTTCTTCCTCTTTGTGAAGTAGGCTCTCCTGTTGTTCCAGGAACTCTAATCTAGGCCATTACATGAAAATAGGAATCTTGTTTTGAACCATTTTCTCTGACCAAAATCCAATATATGGATTTGAAGACTGAAACACACCATCACCCCAGTCCTGGCAAACACACACATTTCTGATGTCTCTCTCGGCGCAGTTCTGCGCATCCCTGTCTATGAGACTTGCTTACATTATTACAGAACTGACAGATCCCCAGCGGCTTAACTTGGTGAGTTTCCCTCTGCTCTTTACAGAGAAATTCGCTACAAGCTGAGTTATGGGTAGAACAAAACTTCATTGCTGTTGAGGCCTGGGAACTTGCAGAGACTACCAGTATCTTTTCCAACTAGACCACACCTCTGAGATAGCTCTCCAGGAGCTGGAATTCTGAATACAGTGGTACCTCAGGTTACATACGCTTCAGGTAACATATGCTTCAGGTTACAGACTCCGCTAACCCAGAAATAGTGCTTCAGGTTAAGAACTTTGCTTCAGGATGAGAACAGAAATCGTGCTCCGGCGGAATAGCAGCAGCAGGAGGCTCCATTAGCTAAAGTGGTGCTTCAGGTTAAGAACAGTTTCAGGTTAAGTACGGACCTCCGGAACGAATTAAGTATGTAACCAGAGGTACCACTGTAGCTGCTTCTCTGAAAGGGGCCACATGTCAGATTTTTAGTTGATAATGCATATTTCTGGATTAGGCGATTTGTACACATTTCTGCCCCGGGGAATTAATACAAGCAAGCCTTGAAATTTTCATGGTTTAGATCATGAAAGACTACAGAATATTCATCTCCATTTTAGTGCACATTCCCCCCTAATATGCACATTTTTTGCAAGCAGTTTTCCCTAACACACAGCATTTTCACATGGTATTTTCACAAATCGATGCATTCTTATGCACCCTTCCCCCTGCTGTGTGCCATTTGGTACACATTACTTGCATTGCAAAATCCAGAAAAGTGTGAATTTCAAAGAATAGCTGTGTTTTGATTTGCCCCCAATCCCTGTGCTTCTTCCCCAGCGGCACCTGAGCAGATCCACTCTCTCAGTCTTTTCTCTCACGAACACAACATACAAACACACCCACCCTGCAGGTGTTTTGCACGCACCTCCCCTGAGACTGAGATTCTGTTCCGTAATTGCAGAATCCAGGAAATGGGGCCATTAGCTGTACTAGCAAGCAACGTCTGATCCATGGCTCATAATGCCACATTTTTGTTTAGGCTGTTGCAAAGCCCTCCTCCAAACTCATTTATCTCAGCCATTTGAAAGCTACATGCAGTTAATCAGAAAGAACACGCGTTGTCAAATTATTCCCTTTAGCTTGCCCAAAACGCCAAGTCATGATATTTATCCTGATATTTATCATCTCTTTTAAACATTATAACTTATGTAAAGCACCACACTAAAGCAGGGTTTTTTTCCTTCTTCTTAAAAAATATAAAAATTAAACTCCAGCAAGATACAGTAACTGTAATCCTATGTCACCGGTCTCCGTTCCAAAGCGATAACTGTGAAAGGGTTCTGAAGAACATTTTTGCTTTCATCTTGGAAGTAATAGTGTGATGTTATCTTTTCCTAAGCCTCTGAAGCAATGTGTGTTTTGTCAGGAGCAGATATTTGCTTAGGAGTTTAATTTCCTAAAAGAAGCCTGTTTGCAATGTGATTAGTTGCGCGCCTCGTACCATCTTGGAGATGCTTCCCTGTCTCTTACAATGGCAGCGGAGACAAAACAGTCATGGAAACAAGGATGCCAGACAAGGATTGGCTCATCACATCCAACTCTCCCTCAAACATCAGCTTATACTACAGACTGTGTTATAAAATCAGGAGCAAACAAAGCTTTTTTTCCATTCCGAGGGCCGCACTCCATTCAGGGCAAACTTTTCAGGGCCACATGCCAGTGGCGAGCAGGGCCAGAGGCAACAGTGAGCAGAGCAATGAATATATTTGTTAACCTTCACACAGCAGGCTACTTTCAACATACAAGGGATGCAGACGGCGCTGTGGTCTAAATCACTGAGCCTCTTGGGCGTGCCAATCGGAAGGTAAGCAGTTCGAATCCCCACAACGGGGTGAGCTCCCATTGCTCTGTCCCAGCTTCTCCAGCAGTTCAAAAGCATGCCAGCACAGTGGTACCTCGGGTTAAGTACTTAATTCGTTCCAGAGGTCCGTTCTTAACCTGAAACTGTTCTTAACCTGAAGCACCATTTTAGCTAATGGGGCCTCCCACTGCCACTGCGCCGCCGGAGCAAAGTTCTTAACCCGAGGTACTATTTCTGGGTTAGCGGAGTCTGTAACCTGAAGCGCATGTAACCCGAGGTACCACTATAGATAAATAGGAACTGCTGCAGCGGGAACGCAAACAGCGTTTCCGTGTGCTCTGGTTTCCGTCACGGTGTTCCGTTGCGCCAGAAGCAGTTTAGTCATGCTGGCCACATGACCTGGAAAGCTGTCTGTGGACAAACGCTGACACTCTTGGCCTGAAAGCGAGATGAGCGCCGCAACCCCATAGTTGCCTTTGACTGGACCTAACCATACAGGCGTCCTTTCCCTTTAGCTTTTCAACATACACTATGGGGGAAATTCCCCTTGGAGGGTGATCAAGTACAGATGCTCACACCAAATTCCTACTCGGTCAGACTTGATCCAGCAATGCATTACAGGACAGAATTCAAAGAATCTGCAAGAGCATTTCAGTTAGGACACACATTATTTAAGGAAAATATATGTCATTTTGCCTGTTGTCTTTGTCCATGGAGTTTTCTTGGCAGGGATACTGGAGTGGCTTGCCAGTTCCTGCTCCAGGTGGATCACGTTTGGTCAAAACTCTCCACTATGACCTGTCCATCTTGGGTGGCCCTGCACAGCATAGCTCATAGCTTCTCTGAGTTATTCAAGCCCCTTCGCTATGACAGATCAAACCTCTCCATTCTGAAGGAAATCAGCCCTGAGTGCTCACTGGTAGGACAGATCCTGAAGCTAAGGCTCCAATACTTTGGCCACCTCATGAGAAGAGAAGACTCCCTGGAAAAGACCCTGATGCTGGGAAAGATGGAGGGCACAAGGAGAAGGGGACGACAGAGGACGAGATGGTTGGACAGTATTATCGAAGCTACCAGCATGAGTTTGACCAAACTGCGGGAGGCAGTGGAAGACAGGAGTGCCTGGTGTGCTCTGGTCCATGGGGTCACGAAGAGTCGGACACGACTAAACGACTAAACAACAACAATATGTCATTTTAGCTTCTCATCCTCTGCTCAACTGCCTTCTGCTACCCCAGTACATCACCATCTCTCATCCAACCACAGGCCTTGCAATACAACCTACTCAACCCACTTTCCCACCCACTTCAGCCTTAATCATGAATTTGTCCAATCCTCATTTAAAGCCATCCAAGCTGGGGGCCCATCACTCTTGTGACAGTGAGTCCCATAGTTTGTGTGCTGTGTAATGAAGTTCTAGCACAGGGGTAGGAAACCTAAGGCCCAATGGGCCACAAGCACCCCACGGGGGTCATTTAACTGGCCCACAAGCTGCCCCCAAACCAAGCCACCTACTTGGCGAGTCCCCGTGTGCTGTGCCAGTTTAGCTTCTGTGGCGCTGGAAATCACGTCTGCACAGACACAGACACTGGAAATCGCAGGTGCAATCTGGCCCATGGATTCATCTCTGCTGGAGTGAACTAGCCCAGGCAAGGTAAGCCTTGTCAACCCCTGTTCTAGCATCATGAGAGAGGGAAATTCTTTTTCTCAGTCCTCGTTCCCCCACGCCATGCATAATTTGGGTGTGGGGCTTTCCCCAGCAGATCCTCAAAGAAACTGCACCCTCTTTGCTTTCTCTCCAAGAAGAGAATCATTTCTGTTTCATTCCACAGAGAAAAAGTAAAGTGATTCACTCGAGGATTCTTGCAGCGAGTGCAAAGATCTACCTTCCCCTCCCAGTATGGGTGGAGGCTGCAGTAAAGGTGGTGCAAGGCATCTCTGTGGGTGGGACAGTCAGAGAGGCGTAGAAATAGTCGCCGAAATATACAGGATCTCCTTCCACAAATCTCCTGCCTGTGACAATGATGGGCATTTTTGCCAATTAGTTAATGTGAGCATGAGGCGCAGGGCAGAGACAGAAATAAAGGCAGATTGTTGCATGGGCACTTCTGGAAGAATCTGCAACAACACAAAACAATTTGCAACATGCCCTTCAGCAGCATGGGTTAGTCTCCAAAACATGCTGCTCCCAGTCTCAACACCGATACTCAGGAAAAAAAGTCAGGACAAAGAATTCACTGTCTCTTTTATCACTTGCTGCACAGAACCACTCCACTTGAGTTATTCTGTGTTCAAGGCCACAGATGCAGGCAGTTAAAATAAAGCCAGAGAGAATATTTTTTCAAGCACCACCGATCTAAATTTAACTTGTGCATTGCAGTTTGTTTTTTTTAAAAAAAATTCACTTAAGAAAATGAAACGGTTATTGCAGAAGTTAAGGTTTCATAGAATCACAAAATCTTAGAGATGGAAGGGACCCAAGGGTCATCTAGTCCAACCCCCTGCAATGCAGGAATCTCAGCTAAAGCATCCATGGCAGATGGCCATCCAACCTCTGCCTAAAAACCTCCAAGGAAGGAGAGCCCACCACCTCTGGTGGGAGTCTGTTCCAGTGCCAAACAGCTCTTACTGTCAGAAAGTTTTTTTCTAATGTTGAGTCGGAATCTCCTTTCCTGTAACTTGAAACCATTGGTTTGAGTCCTACCCTCCAGAGCAGGAGAATGCACAGCCCTTAAGGTATTTGAAGATGGCTATCATATCTCCTCTCAGTCTCCTATTTTCCAGGCTAAACATACCCAGCTCTGCATAAGGCTTGGTTTCCAGACCCTTGATCATCTTGGTTGCCCTCCTCTGTGCACGTTCCAGGTTGTCAACATCCTTCTTAAATTGTGGTGCCCAGAATTGGACACAGTATTCTTAGGCTGGACACTGAGGTCCTCCTCTGAGGGTCTTCTGCTGGTTCCCTCACTGAGAGATGTGAAATTACAGGGAACCAGGCAGAGGGCCTTCTCGGTAGTGGCACCCTCCCTTCAGATGTCAAGGAGATAAAGAGTTACACAACTTTTAGTTGACATCTGAAGGCAAGCCTGTATCGGAAAGTTTTTAATGTCTGATGCTTTATTATGCTTTTATAAATATGCTGTAAGCCAACCAGAGTGGCTGGGGAAACCCAGACAGATGGGCGAGGTAATATTATTATTATTATTATTATTATTACCCTCACAGTATCTACTCCGCTGGGTTGCCTGCCACCGGTGCTGCTTCCTCACTCACCTGCCTGCCGCCATCATGCTGGAGTTGGCATGGCTGCCTATTAGCAGCCACAGAACTGAAGCATGATGATAGCCTTATGTTTGTATGTCTATAGGAAGATAGAGCATGACACTGTAACTGTAGGAAAAAACCTCAGAGTGGTTTACAAAAAAAGATAAAACAATATAATTATCACTAAAATATATAACCGTCATTTAAAACATATGAAAAGGTTAAAGCACAACAGAATAGATGAAAACAAATTAAAACTCGTACAAATTTTCTAAACATCTGGGTAGCCACCATCTCTGCCACAGAATATTCTCTAAAATGAATTCCATGGTTGGATTCATCCCCAGTCTTCCTCCACCATCACTCTAGCTGACCTGCCAGCTATTTCAGAGGCCCCAGTTCTTTAGATGGAGACAAATGAGTTTTGCCCAGGATTTGTAGGACACCATAAGAGTGATTGTCTCAATTGCCTGAGTCACCTCTTGATTTCAGATACCGAATACGGAACAAGGCATCAGTGGCAGGGGCTGCCTGCCATATAGACAGGAAAAATTCCCCAGAGCCATCAGGAAACCTCTTGGAGCCTGCAGGTTCAGACCTTCCAAACAGGTCTGCCACTCCTGTAGAGTCCCAGGGTTGAAATAAGCCTAACGGCCTGTCTACGATGAAGGGACCAACCCATGTCCCCCTCATTGCAATACCCTTATCTTCCTGACCCGAGTATTGCCATGTCTCTTTACACTGGGAATAACCAAATGCCACCATGAAATCTTATGCAGAGATGGGGCAGAATGAGAGGCAAGATCAGAGCAATGAATCATGCAGAATTGCAACAGGGAGCCTCCTTTCTGATGGAGTTCTCTGGACTCTCAGAACGTATTTAATAAATGTTTTTCTCATGGTGCGTAAGGAGTTCTCTGGCAGCCCATTGTTTAGGCTTACATTGTATACAATACATGAGGGTCCTTATCAGTGTTGGGGATGATGTATAGATAATCAAAAAAAGGTGAGAGGGACAACAGCCTTCGTTTTCTGCTCAACAGATCTTCTTTATTTCTACCAGGGTTTTTCTTCCCTCCTCCCACAAACGAATTTCAAGAACGCAACACTGAACCTTTGACAGTCAATTAAATTTCTCCAACTCCAGAAGTTGTTTCTCTGCTCTCCATCCATTTTGCAATATGCTTCATAATGTTCTGTGGCACGCTAATGTCCTTACCAACCAAAATACAGCGCTTTGGTAGAAATGCAAGGCCGGCAGAATCCCAGCAAGAAAAAAACAACCCAACAACCTTCAACCTAATACACAAAGTACTGTTTGTGATTCAAACGGGGCATAAAAGTTATTTTCTTTTCAGCGAGGAGCAGCTGATTTCCTCAGCAGTGACACTTAATGATTATTGAATGTGAGGGAAAATGATCCAAATAATAAATAACAGAAAAGGAGATGGGCTGTGGACTAGTAGCTTATCTGGGCTGCTTCAAGGCAAGAGCTAGAGAAACATTACACACAGGAAAATATTGCAAGTGTTTGAAACCATTGCCACTTTCGGCCTCTCCCTCCCTCTGCTGAATCTCAAAATGTTCACAGCAGTGTGAAAATCTGAATTATAAAATAACTTTGACTTTTAATAAAACAAGAAACTGAAGAATGAATGTAGAATGTTGTAATTCTGCACACAGTTTGGTTTCTCGGCTTCCAAAAAATGCTGTATGATTAAAGAAGAAGAAGAATCCATTATGATCAGAGTTTAAAATCTGAAGTGACCCAGGAAACCAGCCTTCCCCTGACCTGGGACCCTTCCATTTGTTTTGGACTTACAACTCCCTTGATCTGAAAGATTTGGACAGCGCCAGGTATGCAAAGGTTGTAGTAGATCCACGATGGAAATGAGAGCAGAAAAGGCTGGATATCTTTTCTGATATAGCAAATAATGACAAACGTGGAATTAAAACTAGGGGCTGGGGAGAAATTTTTCAGAAAAAACTTTTCTGACCTCCCCCTTTTAATATCTTTTTCGAGCTCCCTTCAGTCTGTTGAATAATTTCAAACCCCCTGAAGAATATTTGATGAAATACTTCCCCCTCCAAAAACCCCCTTCCTTACATGTGAAAAGTGAATGCAGCTGCAGATCCTGTTTTATTATTGTTTAATACAATTTTAATATTGTTTAAGAGCTTGGCCTCATCTCCTCCTGGAAAAATAGGGCAGAGAATTTTTGGAAGTTTTGTTTTGTTTTGTTTGCATCTGAATTTAAGATGTAGTTGGATTAAACATTCAGGCTACAGCTTCATGCTTGACTGGGGATTTGAACCCTGGTCTCCCAGGCCTTAGTTTGACACGCTAACCATTATGCCACACGACTCTCAGTGGTCTGATTCAGTATGAGACGGTTTCATGTGCTCATGGAGCCCAGTTAGTTCACTGTGAATCAGTGGTGGACAACATGGTGGGACTCTGCCACTCACCTGACCTCTGGCCAGTTGCGTTGTTGTTGATTCCGGGGAGGTCGAGGTGGAGGGACTAGGTCCGCTGGGTGCAAATGAAACAGTGGGGCCAATCCAGGGCTCTTGCCTGTGTTTCTGAACCATGCCAACCTCACCATCACCTTTCACTCCTGGTAAGTAGCAGGAGAGAATAGCTCAGACTCTTAATCTCAGGGTTCTGGGTTTGTGCCCCACATTGGGCAAATGATTCCTCCATTGCAGGGGGTTGGACCACAGGATCCTTGTGGTCCCTCCCAACTCTATGAATTGATGGTGTGACCAACCAACCGGTGGTCAGGTCAGTGGTGGTGCCCCCCATGCTGTCTGCTCCTGCTGTGACCACGACACAGGGAGCAACTCAGACGTTAAAATGTTCCCTTCGATTCCCCATCAAACGCTGGCATTGCTTGCTCGCTTGAGCGAATGAACTGCCTGCTTTTGTATCTAGAGATTGCGGCGGACCTTGAATGCAATTAATTTGCAGTCTTTGAACCGCAGGACTATAGGCTGTGTGCGGCAATTCAGTGCTTTTAGCTTGGTTTCAGTTTATACAGCTTGACAGCAGCATGTGTTTTGTTGCTGGAATTACCTCTGCCAAACGCTAGGTACAATAAATATAACTGGGGAAGGTCATTTCATCTCCAGCTATTTCAAGAGCAAAACGATACCTTCTGGAGGGAAGAGAGCAAGCGCGGGTTTCTAAAAGTATGTTTTCTGAAAGGGCATTAAGTTTCCCAAAACCTTGTTTATCACACCCCACTGTTACTTAGGGTTTGGCAAGGCCGCAGACACAAATCACTTTTAGCAACCATTTCCTCATCCCTGGGAACTCTGGGAATTGTAGTTCGTGGAGGGGGGCTAGGAAGCAGAATTCTTAGCACCCTCGCCAAACTACAGTCACCAAAATTCTCCAGTTAGAGTAAAATTGGACTAAGTCTGTAGAACAGATAGGACCATACACAATTTGCAAACAGCAGTCTAGCTGCAGCTAACTGTTCTGTGAAATTAATTGCTAATAAGACCCCATTTATCCCCAACATGTAGCTATTTTCCCCTGCTTAGAAGACTTTGAGTAACTTTCTGTAGCTGGCATGATTTCCCCTCCCATTGCTATACTTGCCTCCTTACTAAAGTACTTGATAAAGTCCACCCCACATTGGGACATTCACAGGGAAACCAAAGCTATTGTACTATCAACCTTACTGTATGCTTGTGAAACGCCATCTCCAACATCTCGAAAGATTCCATCAACGGTGTCTCTGAAATTTTTTACACATCACTTGGGAAGACAGGTGAACTAATGCCAGTGTACTGGAAGAAACAAAGATCACCAGTGTCAAAGCAATGATTCTTCAACATCAACTTCGTTGGACTGGTCATGTTGTGCAGATGCCTGATAATCATCTTCCAAAGCAACTACTCTATTCTGAACTTAAAAATGGGAAGCGTAATGCTGGTGATCAACAAAAGAGGTTTAAAGACTCTCTCAAGGCAAATCTTAAAAAATGTAGTATAAACACCAACAACTGGGAAACACTGGCCTGCGAGTGCTCCAATTGGAGAACAGCCTTCATCAAAAGTGTCATGGGCTTTGAAGACGCTCAAACTCAGGATGAAAGGGAGAAATGTGCTAAGAGGAAGGCACAGTTGGCAAGCCCTCACCATGATCAACTCTCACCCAGAAACCTATGTGGAAGGATGTGTGCATCCAGAATTGACCTCCACAGTCACTTACAAACTCACTGTTATAACCGTGCTTATGGAAGACAATCTTACTCGGCTACAAGCGATCACCAAAGAAGACTAAAGTACTATTAGGAAAGGTTGCAGCATTTGGGACTTTTTAGTTTAGGCAAAGTTTCCCAAACTTGGATCTCCAGCTGCTTTTGGACTACAATTCCCATCATCCCTGACCACTGGTCCTGCTAGCTAGAGATGGTGGGAGTTGTAGTCCAAAAACGGCTGGAGTCCCAAGTTTGGGAAACACTGGTTTAGAGAAAAGGCAAGGGAGAGGTAACATGACAGAGGTTTATAAAATCATACATGGCATAGAGAAAGTGGACAGAGTTTTCCTCCCTAGATGTTGTGGACATGCAGGGAAGCCGAATATTCAGTACTTTATCAAGCACTTTGGTCTTCTTTGGTGATTTTTGGAAGATCTCATAGGGTGGTATTCAACAGAGTATTACGGAGAGTAGTCCCACTGAAATTGATGGACCTAACTTAGCCATGATCACTAATTTCAGTAGATCTACTCTGAGTGCAGTGCCTTATTGATGTGTATGCACCCACTCACATATATGTAAAAGAGGGGAGATCTATGAATTAGATGAAGGAATTCTCAAATATATGACACACTGAATACGCACAGTGCTTTGCTTAAAGTTCAGATTTCTCTCTCCCCACTGCATAAACAACCAAGCAAATGGAAAATTGCTAAGGCATCGTTTCCCCATTGGAAACAAGGCCAAGTAATCTGGATTTCCAAAACCTCATTAAGATGAGATGGATTTCAGAAGTGTGCTTACACTCTTTTTGTTCAAGGTTTTGAGTGTTCTCCACCCCCCTCCATCTACAGCCTGCCGAATAATAGCCTTGGGCTTTGGTGAGAGATCCAGCTGCCTGATGTCCTCCAGGGCGAAGGAATGCAGCAGCCGGTGGTTATCATTGGAAAAACAGGATTCTCCCAGCACCTGCAAGAGAGTTTCCTTGGAGGCATTTCACACTCCCATCTCAGAGCTCCCGTTCAGCCTTCTTTCTTGGAGAAGCACATTCTTCATGTGCCTCTCCAAACGCTGGCAAGATGACCTGTTTACCAAGCATTCATCCTGGTTTTCTTGTGCAAAGCTCATGCAGAGTTTAGATCGTCTCTGATATTGCTGGAGCATTCATTCTGATTTGTTTGTGGGGAGCCTGAATGGCAATGAGCAGTTGTCCTGATTTGCTGACAGGGGCTGAAGCAATTCAGTTAAATTCATTGCAAACTTCATCTAGGGAAATCCCGTTGGCAAAAGATGGGACTCCACAGCACCATCTGGTGTCAAAGGGTGTCTTCCCATTAATCACTTGCTCATACGACCCTTTTCAATGCATTTCCAGGTCACTACCCTCACTTTCCTCATCACTTTCCTAACTGCAAAACCTCTGTTTCTTTTTCTAAATCAGATTTGCAGCACAAGGCTGACAAAGTGCTTAAATCCACTTTAAATCACACCACCTAAGTTCCCCAGTACAGTTGGTACCTTGGATTACATACGCTTCAGGTTACAGACGCTTCAGGTTACAGACTCCGCTAACCCAGAAATAGTACCTTGGGTTAAGAACTTTGCTTCAGGATGAGAACAGAAATCACGCGGCGGCGGTGCGGCAGCAGCGGGAGGCCCCATTAGCTAAAGTGGTGCTTCAGGTTAAGAACAGTTTCAGGTTAAGAACGGACCTCCAGAATGAATTAAGTACTTAACCAGAGGTACCACTGTATGCACTTGAATCTCTCCTGGAGCTGCCCTAATTCCATAAGGAAGCTGCTATATACTGAGTCAGGTTACGGGTCCATCACGGCAATTATTGTCTCCAGGGTTCTCTTGCAGAGAGAGATTTTTCTCCCCATCTCCCAATTAAAATACTACCTGAATATTTTAATTGGAGGTGCCTGGAGTTGAACTTTAGACATTTTTCATCTGACTTCCTATGCTGAAAAAACCTGAAGCCCTTTCTTGATTTCCTTCTCTTTTGCCACTCTAGACTGTGGTCCCACCCCCTTTACTACAGGTTTGTCTGTCACCTGTTATTGACATGATAGTGCTTTACAGAACCACAGAACTGTAGAGTTGGACGCCCTGCAATGCAGGAATCTTCTTGCCCAATATGTAACTCGAACCCATGTTCCCGGAGATTAAGAGTCAGTAGTAGGTTCTGCCTCTGTTTCTTCTTTCTTTCTTTCTTTCTTTCTTTCTTTCTTTCTTTCTTTCTTTCTTTCTTTCTTTCTTGTTAATACTTATTATTTAAGGCCAGCTTTCAATTGAATGTCTCATCTCCCCACCCCCTGCCCTCCCCCAGCACCAAGAATTCATGACCTTTTACAAAGAAAGAAGAGAGATCTAATTCCAAATTTGACAACCTCCTATAATTAACAGGGGGCAAACTATACATCATTATCTGTGGTTTTGCAATTGTTATGTTTCCGCTGGTGATCTTTAAATCTTAACATTGCATAAGGGGGAAGCTTGGCATTTGAGTGGGGGGTGGGGGGCTGCCAAGCGGGTATGCTATTTTTCTGCATGGGAGGGAAGATATGGGAAAACAGTGGTGTGTGGATGAGGGAGAGATTTCTGAGCAGACAAAAGGGAAGAAAGGAAGAGGTTAGGCAGGACCTTCTCTCTGCTGAGCTGCTCTCCCAACCCGAGGTTCCTTGCTTGCTGGTTTGCATTACAATAAGTCCACAGGTAAGAAGAATCAGAGCACTGTGATGGATTGGGTCAGTGCATCTGGCTGCTAACCAGAAGGTTGGTGGTTCGAGCCCCCTGACCACCAGGGACGATGGACTCGTAATCTGGTGAACCGGGTTCGCGTCTCCGCTCCTCCACATGCAGCTGCTGGGTGACCTTGGGCTAGTCACACTTCTTTGAAGTCTCTCAGCCCCACTCACCTCACAGAGTGTTTGTTGTGGGGGAGGAAGGGAAAGGAGAATGTTAGCTGCTTTGAGACTTCTTCAGGTAGTGATAAAGCGGGATATCAAATCCAAATTCCTCCTCCTCCTCCTCCTCCTCCTCCTCCTCCTCCTCCTCCTCTTCCCTTCCAACTCTACAATTGTACAATTCTATGATTCTATACACTCAGCACTTATTTGTGTGCGCAAGGATTTCTGTTTGTGCAACAGAACTTACATGCCCTTCAAATGCAACCCCCCCCAATGCAAAAAACATCGTGTAATTCCAGCTCCCCCTTTCCTCGCAGGACTGTACTCTAGAAGAAATATATCAGCACATGCAAACACACAAACAGAGTTTGCCAGCAAGGGGGCGAGAGAATCAGTTGCAGAACCAATGCAGACACATCTCCACCGTTCACCGTTACAAGTTTCAAATTAGTGTGCTACGAGTAGCCCCCGGGGGACTATAACTGATCTAACATTTATCTGTAATTGAAATGCGGAAATGCAAAAAAAGAAGAAGGGAAAAAAGCACTATCTCAGCTGTCTTTAAATTTACTGACTCTAACACAACTGTGAAATGCTTTTCCTTTAAGTATTTGGCACAATCTAATGGGAGAAAAGTAAACACAGAGACAGAAAGTAGAAAAACGAGAAGTTGCAGGTGCTTCAGGTAAAATTAGAAAAGAGATATTTTTCTTTTTCTTTCTTTGGGGGGGAGAGGAAATCAATTTTGGATAACTGCAGTGGTGGCGTAAGAAGCCAAGAAGAGACATCCTGGATCAGAGCAAAGGACAATCTAGTCCAACGTTGTGTTCTTGTAGTGGCTAAACAGGTGCCTATGGGAAGCCTGCAAGCACAATCAGCCTCCATGGATGACTCCTATTTGTCTATGATAATAATAATAATGAATTTTTATCTATACCCTGCCCGGGCTCAGGGTGGCTAACAACAAATTTAGTACACTTAATTGATGCAACAAAAAACAGCATAAAATACAATATAAAACGTGAATAACAATAAATTCAAAAATCAAAAATCAATTGGGGGGGGGGAATCCATCCAATAAACATTAGATGATCACCAGGGCTAGCTGGCTAAATTAGTCCTATTTGAGCCAGCATGGAGACCAGGGGAGAATTAGCTGTGGTAACCCAGAGCGGGTAATCTTCACAAAAAGGGAAAGGGGAGGGAAGGAAAGGAAGGGGAATAAAAGATCAGGCTAAATTCAAATTGAAAAACAGGTGGAATAGCTCTGTCTCACAGGCCTGACAGAAGGAGGTTAAATCCTGAAGGGCCCTAGTCTCATGGGACAGAGCATCCCACCAGGTCGGAGCCATCACTGAGAAGGCCCTGGCCCTGGAGGGGGATAATCTGACTTCCTTAGGGCCTGGGACCTCTAAACTATGGTTATTCATGGACCTTAAGGTCCTCTGCGGGGCATACCAGGAGAGGCGGTCCCGTAAATATGAGGGCCCTAAGCCATATAATGCTTTTATTCTGTGAATTGATTTTATTCTGTGAACCACCTTGAGACCCACTGGTATAGGGCAGTATGTAAATTCAATAAATAACAGTAAAAATAATAATGTCTGATTGTAACCTTATTCACTGAGGAAAAAATGGCATTTCGTGTAATTCTCTCATGTGACCAAAAAGTAGCACCAATATGAGTGCTTTTTTTATTATGTTGATGGCGAATGTTTGAAGCTTCCAGACAGTTAAAAGAAAGCACTTCTTTATGCAGTGCATGAAATTAAACTGTGGAACTCACACCCACAGGAGACAGTGATGGCTGCAAACCAGTTTGGATGGCTTTAAAGTACTGTTTTAGGGGGACAGGGGGCGGGCTGGTGTGGAGGACTCCCTGGTCCTGAATGGGGCAACTGTGCCCCTGAAGGACCAGGTGCGCAGCCTGGGAGTCATTTTGGACTCACAGCTGTCCATGGAGGTGCAGGTCAATTCTGTATCTAGGGCAGCTGTCTACCAGCTCCATCTGATAAGCAGGCAAAGACTCTACCTGCCCGCAGACTGTCTTGCCAGAGTGGTGCATGCTCTGGTTATCTCCCATTTGGACTCCCATGCGCTCTACATGGGGTTACCTTTGAAGGTGACCCGGAAACTACAACTAATCCAGAATGCGGCAGCTAGACGGCAGCCGCCGAGACCACAATAACACCGGTCTTGAAAGACCTACATTGGCTCCCAGTACGTTTCCGAGCACAATTCAAAGTGTTGGTGCTGACCTTTAATAGCCCTAAACAGCCTCCGTCCTGTATACCTGAAGGTGCGTCTCCACCCCCATCGTTCTGCCTTCTGGCAGTTCCCTCACTGCGGGAAGCAAAGCTACAGGGAACCAGGCAGAGGGCCTTCTTGGTAGTGGCACCCGCCCTGTGGAATGCCCTCCCATCAGATGTCTAAGAGATAAACAATTACCTGACATTTAGAAGACATCTGAAGGCAGCCTTGTTCAGGGAAGTTTTTAATGTGTGACATTTTAATGTATTTTTAATCTTTGTTGGAAGCCTCCCAGAGTGGCTGGGGAAACCCAGCCAGATGGGCAGGGTATAAATAATAAATTATTATTATTATTATTATTATTAAAAGAAGATTGAACCAAATTCAGGGAGAATAAGATGATGCTCTGCCTCTGTGGTTGGAGGCAGTGCTGCTTCTGAATAGCATTTCTGAGAGCCACAGGAGGGAGGAGGGCTCTTGCCCTCGAATGCTGCTTGTGGGGTTCCTACAAGCATCTGGTTGGCCGCGGTGAGAACAGGATGCTGGGCCAGATGGGCCTTGGGCCTGATCCCGCAAGCTCTTCTTATGCTACGTCGTCGTTTCATTTCTATTCCCCTCAGAGCCAAAATGGCCGGAGTGGTTTTAACAATCCATGCCTCTTTGCAGAGAACTCTGCAACTCTAGCTCTGTGAAGAGGTCTCCTAGCAACTCTCAAAAACCTTAACAATCTAGTTCCCATGATGCTTTGATGGAAGCCACGGCTGTTAAAGTGGTATAGCACTGTTATAAATGTAAGGTGTGGTTATGACAGGTCTGTGGATCCTCTTTGACCTGGAGGGCAATGGGAACAGTGACTGGGATGTACAGTGGTGCCTCGCAAGATGAAATTAATTCGTTCTGCGAGTTTTTTCGTCTTGCGAATTTTTCGTCTTGCGAAGCACGGTTTTAATGGTATTAGCGGTTTTAAGAAAAAGGAAACAAACTCGCAAGACGTTTTCGTCTTGCGAAGCAAGCCCATAGGGAAATTCGTCTTGCGAAGCAACTCAAAAAACGAAAAACTCTTTCGTCTTGCGAGTTTTTCGTTTTGCGAGGCATTCGTCTTGCGAGGTACCACTGTAGCTAATGCGCTAGTCCTCACTGTCCCGACATTTCCTTTATGGTCAAGTTTAGGGATGCCCAACATGGCATCCTCCAGATGTTGCTGTACTACAACTTCCATCACTCCTGACTATTAGCCATGCTGACTGGGACTGATGGGTGTTGGGAGTCCCACAACAGAGCAGCACACTGGCTATACCTGCTGAAGGTGCCTTCATTACATATCTTTAGGCACCGGGTGAAAACATTTCTCTTCAACCAGGCATTTAGCTGGTTCACATCCTATGGCCTTTTAAATGTGTCTCTGTGTGTGGGGTGTCCACTGGTTATTTTGGCTTTTGTTTTAGCGTGTATTTTGAGCTTTCATTCTGTGTTTTTATGTTATGAACCGCCCTGTGATCTTCGGACGAAGGGTGGTATGCAAATTTAATAAATAAAAGGAAAAATAAGTACAGTGCCTAAAGAGGGCTTCTCCACTCATTTCCCACTAAGTGTGTGATAATGGCTTCAAAGAAAACAATGCTGAAAGCGGAGAATTCTGCTTGCAGAGGCGTTTTCTATTTGTGTTTTCCACAACTGTTTGTTCCCCTTTTTTGCCACATTTTTGGAGCTTTCGTTTCAATCACCTTCCATGAAGTACATCGAGTCCTTGTTCCCTTACCCATTGGAGACATGAACTCCAGAATCTCTGTGTTTGAGATTACTGATAAGTTTCTGCTTTTGCAAAACCAACCGATGTTGTTGTTGTTGTTCAGCTTTACCCCAGTTAATGCTTTCATACTGAGCAGGAGGGCGTCTATTCTTTATAACTAGGGAAGGATGGGTTGAGCTGTTTCTGGCTTGTGGCAGATTTGCACGCACTCATTCATAAATCTGCTCCATCTCATTCAAAGGAACCACACAGGAGAAGAGGAAGCTGTCTTTTGCTGAGCCAGGCCATTGGTCTTTCTGGAACAGCAATATCCACATATTGTTATGGCTTTCCAGGATTTCAGACAAGGCTTTCTCACAGCCTTACCTGGAGGTGGCAAGGACCTTGTGCATGCAAAGCAGATGTTCAACAACTGAGCTACAGCTGAACATACAGAAAGTCTCATTTTGGGGGTATGCATTCTATCCTAAAAGAGGGGCAGCAGAAACTACAGCTCTCCAGATGTTGAACTCTCAATTCCTATTAGCTCCAGATAGCATGGCCAATGAATGGTCAGGGATAATGGGAGTTGTAATCCAGTAACATCTGGAAGGCTGCCCACACCTGTCTTAAAGCAAGACCTAACCACTGCTTAGGATTTGCCAAAACGATGTCAGCGCTTAAAAAACACACACGGACCCACTGAAATCCTCAAGTGTCCCTATTGAGAATTGCTTTGAAAAACAAAACAACAACAGGAGGAGGACAACAGCAGAGAAATTCAGGACAAAGGAAACAGACCATCAACTTATGGTACTCCCTGCTGCAAGGTGGGGTGATGGCCAATGGCTGTCATGGACCGGCTGGATGCTGAAGAGGGGTGGGAGGCACCAGCTGGGGAACCCCCAAAGAAAGAAGACTCAGAGCCAGGCAACTGGATGATGATGAGTGGTCAGAGGGAGAAGAGAGAGCAGAGGAGGGAGGAGGTGTCAGAAGCTGAAAAAGTAATCGAGGTTAGCGAGCAGGGAGAGGCTGGGGCACAGAGATCTCGAGAATCGGAGGCAGGAGAGGAAGTGGGGCAGGAGACAGAGATGAAGCAGGCTGCTGAAGAAGCCAGGGGGTTACCCCCTCCTGCTGCAACCAGCTCCCCTCCTGCCTGGTCTCCCAGAATAGGCAGAGAAATGAAGAGGGCAGAGCAAAGAGAGAAAAGACAACAGAGTCTTAGGCTGCTGGGAAAGGAATCAGGGGAGGAGCCTTAGAAAGCTATGGGAAGGTAAGGACCCTCAGTTCTCGCAACTGCTTCATTGGGGCAAGACCTACTGGGGAGAGTTGCTGTGATCAATAGGCCTGCACTGTGTTAATAGCCCCAGACCAGACTGGCTTTGTCCCTGGCCGCAATATAACAGACCCCATCAGGAAACTACTGAACCTGATCGAACACAGAAAGGCAACTAAACTCCCATTGACAATTATGTCCCTAGATATCCTCAAAGCCTTTGATTGCTTAGAGTGGAAATACATATTAGCAGTACTAACTAACATGAAATTTGGCCCCAACTTCCTACAAATCCTCAAGCAAATATACTCCCAAGCCTCAGCAAAATGCAGAGCTAACAATATGGATTCTAATACTATAGCTATCCAAAGAGGCACGAAACAAGGATGCCCACTGTCTCCCTTCTTATTTATCCTGGCTCTGGAACCCTTAGCAATCCGAATCCGAGCAGCCACAGACATCAAGGGAGTGGAAATAAAAGGCAGAACCTATAAATTAGGGCTCTTTGCAGACAACCTAATGGACACAACACCAGACCCCATAAGCACACCAACCTCCCTAATCAGAGAACTCAACACATTTGCAATGGTGTCGGGCCTACAGGTAAATTTTACAAAGTCAGAAGCTATGTGCTTCAACAACCCTCCTCACACCCAAAAAGAACTCACTAAGGTCACCAAAATAGGCCTGCACTGTTTGGGATTCTTTGAATAAAGAGTTAACTTCAATGACACTAGTGTTTTTTTAATTGCTGGCCTACTCTTGGCCCCGGCTCCTGACAACGGGTTTAAAAGGGAACTCATGGATGAGAGGTCCAATGGCCGTTGGCCTTGAAAGTACCAAGCACAGAGGCTTTGTGGCACTGACTGAATATCTGGGGACTGGGGGGGGGGCTGAGGGGCCACATAAGCAGCAAGGAAAGATGATACATCGCTTGATATATCTTTCCAGAATCATCCTAGCTGGCTACTCTTGAAAAGAGGGACTGACTGATTTATCAGAGTTCTACACTGCCCCTTAATTAAACATTTCCAGGGTAATTTACAATACTCCATAAAACAGCAGCCCTCAATAACGCAGTTGACGATCGGCAAGGATTCCCGTTGCTAACTACTGGGGAAAACCACAAATCCTAGCTTTAAAAGAAAGTGAGCGGGCAATTTGGCACAAGATCCCGATGCATAAAATAACATGCTATACTGAAAGGGGGGGGGAGGGAGGTATGGGAAGGAACTTTCGATAAGCTAAAAGACTTGTTAAACCTGTGGTAGAAGTTTATTTGTTTTTTATTGGCGCAATGAAACAAAATGTATGACAAGCTGTTTTGGAGGTAATTTAAGGCAAAATTGAGCTGAGAAAGTTACATTGTAATTGTGCAAATTATGTATAACCATAAACTGTACATAAATGGCGCTAACTATAGCAGCCTCTGGAATATTCACAATGATTTCTAAGCCCCCCCCTTGCTCTCCTTTATTTACTCACCAGTTTAAACTATTTTCTTCTTTGTTAACACAAAAATGTCTGCATTTTTAAAAAAATGAAAAAACAAACATACAAACGCATCCATGAAAACTATGTAGCCAGTAGCAGTAAAGGGCAGAGCTAAAAAGAAAACAAGGAGACACCTTTAGTGAATGGCCTGATGGAGTGGAGAAGCTTACCTGACCCCTTGGCAGGTGAGTTGCTGGAGAGGAAGATGGGAGGACAGCATGGTGTCCATGCATGGACCAGCAGGAGAATCAGATTGCCTCCATTGGTGTGTTTGCACTGAGCTGACACCCCGGCCGCCTTGCCCCTCCCACTCTCAGTAAGAAAGCAGCCAATTACCTGCCAGGAGGTCAGGTAAGTGCCTCCGGCCCACCCCATTGTGTGCTATTGCCAGCCACAATGGAGATACAGAATGTCCCCCAGCCAGGCTGGGACTAAGAGCCATTTGGCTTTTCTGCTCATTCATCCATTGCCATTCCGGCTGGCTTCATTAGAGGGAGAGAAGCAAGACAGAAAAGCACTGTCCAATGGCCTGCCTGGGACCACCTGACATTCAGCTCCTCCCCTCTTGTTATGTACTGAGTTGAATAGGATCCAAAATTGAGCAGTCTGATTGGTCCTAGAACAATAGGATTCAGAATACAGCAGTCTGATTGGTCCACAGGAGCCACCCAATCCAGCTCCAGGTGGAAGTGAATCCGCAACCTGATTGGCCTACAGGTGAATCCCGGAATTAGCCAATCACGTGGGGCCCATTGTGTAAATAATGTATATAAAGCTGACATTCTGGGGGAACCGCCATTCCTCCTCACCACTATGAGCTGAATAAAGAGCATGAAATCCACTCTCGACTCCGAGTATATTTCACCTCTCTAGTGGTGATTGGAGAAAACAGTGAAGAGCTGTGCTTTGTGCTTTGTAAACCATAGTCAGGGTTATTCAGTTTGAAAGATAGGGTGGAAATAAGATCAGGGTCAACTGTTTTGGCCGAGATTTTTCAGCCTCAGAGAGCTACAATTCCCAGAGTGAGTTAACAGTCAATCCTGCTTCCTAGGGAACTCTGGAAATTTCAGCTCTGTGTGAGAGGGAATGGGGTGTCTTGGCAACTATCAGCACCCTTAACAAACTACAGCTCCCAGAATTCTTTAATTCTTTAAAAGAGGAGCTGACCTCCTCTTTTAACCTCTTTTAACCTGCGGCATCTACCTGGCATGGTGAATGTCTCAGATTTAATCCCCAGATCTCCAGGGATTCCCTGCATGTAACCCCAGAGAGATGCTGTCAGTCATTGGAGACAAACTACAAGAAAGAAGATTCCACCTAAACATTAGGAAGAACTTCCTGACAGTAAGAGCTGTTCGACAGTGGAATTTGCTGCCAAGGAGTGTGGTGGAGTCTCCTTCTTTGGAGGTCTTTAAGCAGAGGCTTGACAACCATATGTCAGGAGTGCTCTGATGGTGTTTCCTGCTTGGCAGGGGGTTGGACTCGATGGCCCTTGTGGTCTCTTCCAACTCTATGATTCTATGATTCTATGACAATACATACTGAGCTACTTGGACCAATGATCTGACGCGGCAGAGCAGCTTCTTTTGTTCAATCTCATTGCTTTCTTCAACAGTATCAAAACAATATTAAACACTGATTAAATCTGGACCCACAATCGTGGCCAGAATTCACAGATAGCAAAATTGCGTTCTCCAAAATATTCGCTAAACAATTCTTGAATATATCTGTATTAAGTTCTGTGGCTTGCAAACAAAGTCTTCTGAAGGCAATCCAAAACTCATGCCACCCAGAAACTTCCAGTTTCAAGTGTTCAACTCCGCATGCTTGATTTACAGACTTTTCGGCAAATATTTGGAATATTTTAGTGAGGCCTTGGTTGGTAAGTAGGTATGCATTGGTGAATCAGACTTGTGCGGAATTCAGTTAAACAAAACTTATCCACGTCTGTATTTTATGTCTGAAAGAACTGGAGGCAGAAACAATTGAACAAAGCTGCTTGTAAAAAATGGTTAATTTCAATCTTTCAGTACACAACTCGCTTTAAGGATGTAATTATGGTTTATGTAACCCACCTCCTTTACTCTTGATGAGAATAAAGTTTGGGGGTTTGTGAAAGAAAAGGATGTACCATCAACAAGACATCAGATTTTTGAGGACAGTTACCCCGAGATAAAACTTGGCAAGCAAAACAATTAACGCCGGAGACAATCCATTCAAACTTTTTGTTTAGGCGTCTCAGCTTTTCTGTCTAGACTCAATAGCTGCTGGAATCTTTATGCTGCAACCTTGATAGCTTGTGAAATTCATAAGATTATTTCAGATGAAGGAGGGCAAGGAACTCATTTAACCTCAACTGGGATCTCTTCTAACCAGTGCTGTTTTTCTAGAAGAAGAGGTTCACCATGAACTTCCCCCTTGTTCTTTGAGAATGACAATGACCGCTCCCCGCATAAAACGGGGGCGCCCTTTGCGTGGGCGCGCACAGCCCCTGGATCTGGAGCGGCTCCATCAGCATAGGCTTGGCTTCGCCTTTTTCTCAGGTGGGATACCTGGAGGTCTCCGCCTACCTCAGTCAGTTGTCCAATCCCGTCTGGGGGAAGCATTGCCAAGGAGACCAGGCCAGGTAGGGGAGGGACTACCTGCCCACACAATAGAGGGAGGATCTTACCTGGGAATCCTCACTTGGCTCCAGAGCTTCTCCCACCCTACCCACCCTCAGTTAATGTCTTATTTTGCAGGTTAACTTTTCTTCACAGGTATGCGGGCGCTGCTACGTCAAGGTCACTGTTAAAGGGCCAGAAAGGAATTCCCCTGCATTGGCAGGTTTTGCCTTTCCCGTAGCAAAACGTCACAACTTTGGCGGTATCAGGCCTTGGGCAGAATCCTTTAGTCCATCTTCCTCTTTGCGGCGGCAATACCAGGGTTCCCCGTTAAAGGGGTTTCTGAAGGGAGCCTTTGACCGTACGCCGAGAGGTCGTAATTGCTCTCCCCTGCGGTGGCGGCGTAACGGGGGCGGCTATCTCTGCTTTAACATATGTTCTCCAGAGCCGGCCCATCCCCCCCCCCACTGGATAACCCTGATGCTCCCTAGGTTCCTGGCTGGGGACTGGGGAGGGAGAACGCCCAATGCCTGAGCCAAGGTCTACCCACATTCAAAATTTAATAAAGTTGTGGCCAATTTAATCCCATAGCATGTTGTTTTGAGTCATTAGTCCACATGACGGGGGGGGCGCCCGGGATCTGGGGGACTCCGCCTGTCCACGCAATGGTGCCCACCTGAGAGGTGCTGGAGCTGAGCTCCGGTGAGCTCTGGCTGAAAAATATCTCTCTCTCTGCTTCTAACTTCAATAAAGATACCATGGACCGAGCCAGACTTACCCATGTAAAACTTGCATAACGTTTTCTTCAATCATTGCCAGTCAAAGAAAAGGAATGGCATGGCATGTGCAGGGACAAGGGTGATGGGTGGGTGGGAGGAAACAACTTGCTTCATGGATCATGGAAGATACACATAGCCTTATGATGATCTCATGGAGGATGAGGGGAATGAGGGGTTAAATTTTGCTTAATTCAATTTCCTGCATGGAGATCACTTGTGTACATGTAGGAAATTACATGTATTCTTCTTGGAAGCTAAGCAGGGTCTGTCCTGGTTAGTACATGGATGGGACACCTGATCGGCAATTCTTAAGTTATTTATTTGGATTTTTCTCCCATCGCTCCTCTCAAGAAGCTATGATCTTTGCAGCCCCTTTTCCATTCTAACTTCACAACAACCCTTCAAGGTTGGCTAGAATAAGTGTGAATGGCCTACAGTCACTTAGTAAGCTTTCTGGCTGAACAGGTGCTTTCAACCAGCTCTGTCTAAATTTGTTGTATTTAATTTTTTTTTTATTGGTAAGTAGTACCTTTACCTTTACCTTTTAGAATTTCTGAAGCACCCACCTAGCAATCACCAGCATGACATTTCACAATGTTCGGCATGGTGAGGTGGTTAAAGTGTCTAACTAGGACTGGGAAGTAAAAGGTAAAGGTAAAGGGACCCCTGACCATTAGGTCCAGTTGCGGACGACTCTGGGGTTGCGGCGCTCATCTCGCTTTACTGGCCGAGGGAGCCGGCGTACAGCTTCCAGGTCATGTGGCCAGCATGACTAAGCCGCTTCTGGCGAACCAGAGCAGCGCATGGAAACGCCGTTTACCTTCGTGCTGGAGTGGTACCTATTTATCTACTTGCACTGGTGTGCTTTCGAACTGCTAGATTGGCAGGAGCAGGGACCGAGCAACGGGAGCTCATCCCGTCGCAGGGATTCAAACCGCCAACCTTCTGATCGGCAAGTCCTAGGCTCTGTGGTTTAACCCATAGCGCCACCCACATCCCTAGGACTGGGAAGACCAGGGCTCAAATCCCCATTGTGCCTGAAATCTAGCTGAGTGACATTGGACCAGTCACCAGCTGTCGGGTTAACCTTTCTCACAGGATTGTTATGAAAATAATGTGGAGTTGGGAAGGACTACTTTCAGCAGACTGAGTCCCCTGGAGAAATGGTGGGATGAAACTGTTAGAAGAACATAATAACCAGAAATGTCTCGACGGGTGAGGTAAAGCCACAATGCTAGCTTCCTAACAGGAAGGAGAGGGGCAGGGGCAAAGGGGCGGCGGGGGGGGGGCGTTTAAAGTGGTGCAAATTTAATGGAACCAAACTGGCTCCACTAGGAGATTTTCGCTGCACGAACTTCTCTGCCACCTCTCTCCAGGTAAGCAACAGGTGACATGCCTGCTGGGAAGCTTTTGAAGTGGGTCGACCCCAGCTGGCAAACCACTTCTGATAATGGCAAGTTCTCCGTCTTTCAGAAGAAGGCATTGTCCCAACAATTATAAAAGCTGAACAAAAGTTTTTTGCTCAATATTTTGGCACAGGAACACTTCGCCTATTAGGGGGTTGATTAATGGCCGCTTTTTTATCTCTTTCCTGCTTCCATCTGCCTTTCTTCCAATTTTGGATTGTTGAGTGATTAGTTTCAGAGAGGAACAGATGAGAGGAACAGATGAGAAGAACAAATGTTACCAAAAGAGGGGGGGGGGGGAGTTGCCATTGAAATTTAGCCTAAAACACAATTGGAAGCAACTCTGGAGGTTCTTCTTTAGGTGAAGAATCTAAAGAGTTTTAGAAGATAATTACAACTGAAATCTCTTCAAAGATGGGTGGTGATTCTGCTTAAGTCTCGATGGGAGAAAGCCAGTATGGAGTTGCTGGACTCCAATGCTCCTCTGCCTATGGTCATGGGATATGTAGTCCAACAACATCTGCAGGGCTCCATGCTGGCTACTGGCTTAGCCTCTAACGGTTAGAGGCTAGAGTCTAACCAGATCATGCCTAAGACAAAATGTGAAGTGAATTTGTGGGTCCTTTGTGCAATAGAAAATATGAGAATGTGGTGTGAAATTTTGTGGTCAAACGAAACATGGTTAAGGAGAGGCACTGGGTTCACATGTGATGCCAAGCTACAGATAAACAAGCAAAGGTTCGTAAGCCAACAACAAACCATGACTTCAGATCATGGTATGCTGGCAGTTAACAAACCATAATTAAGCCATTGGGCAACGTTCACACATAGCATGAAGCCATGGTTTAGTAAACCGCGATTTAATAAACAACGGCTTAGTGTTATGTGTGAACTGGGCCAGTACCATTCCTAGGAAGAGTATGTCCATTGAAAAGAGCATTTTGGTGCCATTCAACATGCTATGAGGGCTACGCATTATGTACAGAAATCTCTCCCCTGTGTGATAGGCCTTGGAATGCACAGTGACGTAACTTCCTGAGGTTTTTTTTTTTTTTTTTTTTTGCCAAGTTCTCTCAGTGAAGTGTTGCTGCTGCTTACAGGCATTCCTTCCACATAGAAAATTTGTCTAGCCTTTCCCTGATATGCTAGTTTTCTACATGAGGTCATTTGGGAGGGGGAGGGGATTGAGATGTTAAGATGTGTCCTGCCCCTCCTGCAGTCTAAAGTGGTACAGCCCAGAAACATGTCTACCAAGAAATGCAAGTTCTCTTCAGGCATTCCAAAAAGGGGAAAGTAAACAAGTGAGGAGAACAGCAGGGACAAGCACACCCGTCCACCATCAACATTTCCATCACCTTCCATCTTGGGGCAGGTGACTGCCTGCAGCTGGGAGCCTCTGGTACCTGTGCAGGTTCTCTGTGCTCCCTTCCCCTTTGCCCCCCCAACAGGTACACTTTCCCAATAATATGAAACACCTTCAAGAAAGTTAATATCGCTGTCTGATCTCCGGAAAATGAACTATTGTCTCTGCCCTTACTTGCAATGGAGAAATAACTTATACAGGAGAAATAATTTTGTCAGATTTCATCTGATCCATGTCTGCTATGTTCTCTCTTTCTTTCAAAACCAACACAAAGGCCAATTCCCAAAGTAGTTTAACAGCTGTTCCTTCACCCCAGGGGACTCTGGGAGGAGAATAGAGGACTCTCAGCACCCTTAACAAACCACACTTCCCAGGAGAGAAGCTATGACTGTTAAAGTGGCATAAGAGTGCTTTAAATGCATCGTGTGGCCACATAGAAATTCCGTAAATTATACCTTTGTTGTGCATAACAGCATTGAGGTTTGCTGCTGAAAACAAATTTTGCTGAGATCTTATGCCTGAGGAAGAATCTGCACATGCTCTTTGCTCTTTCCCTTAGAAAGACCCTGACAACCCCTCCTCATTTAACCAGCTTGACATGTGCAACAATGCTTTGCAATGATGCTTAAGTGATGTGGTCTACTAAGGCACAAATGGGGAAACTGTGACCTTCCAGATCTCAGACTCCAGCTCACATTGGCCTCAGCCAGCATGGGCAAAGTTCAGGGATGATGGGAGCTGTAGTCCAGGAATATCTTGGAGGACCACAGGTTCCCTGTTCTTGGCGTCACCTCCTCTCAAACCTTCATGGATACAGGGACAATTGTAGAGCCCCTTGCTGGACCAAATCCTTGCTATGTATCTTTGGTGCATAGGGTGAGAATCTGCCATTTGTGCTTCAGCAAGAAGAAACCCCACAATTTTATTCCAGCAAGGACACCGTTAAGTATTGGTGGTAATCTCTGTGTTACAGAGCTGCCGAAACATCTGATAAAGAACACTGCCTGTGTCAGTCCCCGAGAAATAAATGGGAACTTCAAGAAACTGCCTTGTAATTGAGAAATCCAACAGTGAGCTGTCTTCATTTATTCTCATTAGAGCTTCTTGTTCCATTTCATCCCATAAGGACCATTTGCTTTCCCCACTTTTTCAAAATTTAAAAGAAAACCATCCTTATCTAGGACTCCCCCTCACGCGCCCCCTCCCCCCTTCACTTTTAGGAAACTCCGCAAAGTACTGTGTGATCATGATGCAAACCACCAACTTCTTTGCAAAGGAAAAAACGTCTCAGCAGAGAAGATAGGAGCTAGTTGCTACAATGCTCTGGTTGAAAAGGTTGCCATATTTTCCCCGGATAAGTTGTGCTGCTTTTCAGCAGACGGACTTTTGCTTTGTTCAGTTTCAGCTGTGTTCAAGCAAGGTTTTTTGTTTTTCATTTTGGAGAAAACGCCAAGTGCTTAATATCATAAATTACTTTGGAAACCCCCACTGCTGTGGGAAACTCCGACTGAAACTTTTTTGCGCAGGCAACTTATCTCTCTCCAACGCTTGCAAACCTCCTTTGAGGAGGGTTGCCGTGGTCCCAGAAGAACCAGCGATCCCTCCCTCTGAAAATCCTCCGGAAAGAGTGAACCCAATTTATCAAAGGAGGAGATAATCTCCAGAGACCAAAGCAAAAGTCTGCTGTAGAGTTCTTTTGGTTGCCCAATTTACTCACAGTTCCGTGGCGTTCCTGGGGATGTCCTGCGGCACTTGGGTCACCTTGCTATCCTGGCAGGTGAACATCAAGTTGTCCAAGAACTGACAGGTGGGATGCCCGGAGCCAGACCCCAAGAGGAGAAGCAGGCAGAAGCAGGCAGAAGGGAACAGAGCCATGCTTGCCTCTGCAATGCCCTCTCTCCCGGCCACTGAAAGAGAAGCTCCTCCTGCCTCACTCCTTCCACCGAGGCACCGCCTTAATGGGCAGTGGTGAGTCATGCAACACCCAAGGAAGGTCTTCTGCACGTCAGGGGTGGGCCAGAAGGTAGATCTGCAGTCAATACGAGTGATTTGCAGCAAGGTTTACTCCCTCCCCAATTGTTTGAGTAAACAGCAACATAACATCAGGGAAGGGCTGTAGTTCAGTGGTAAAGCACATAGATGGACTGATTGATTGGCTGATTGTATTTACTGTATTTTTCCATGTATAAGACGATTTTTTAATTATAAAATAATGTAAAAGAATTGGGGTTGTCTTATACACAGATAGTTCAGAGACGGGCAAGCAGGAGATTGTCAATGACGATTGGGTGGGTGATTGGTGGCCGTGTCAAGGGCTGGTGTCGATTGGCTGTTGCTTTGTCAATTGGGCGGGTGATTGGTGGCTGTGTGAAGGCCTGCTGTTGATTGGCTGCCGCTGCAGCAATTGGGTGTGATTGGGAGATGGTTGGTGGCTTTGGTGACATGTGCAATTTGCAGTGTCAGTCAGGAGGCTGAGTGGTTTTTGGCAATTGCCCCCCCCAAAAAAGCTCAACAACTCTGGGCAATCTCCCCCCATTATCTTAATTTGGGGTCCCCCAAAATAGGGGTTGTCTTATACACGGAAAAATACAGTATATGCTGCTTTTCATTCAAATGAATTTCAAGAAGGCTTACAACCAATAAATAAGCATAACATAATAAAACACAATAGCACATCACGAATGCAGCATACATCATATAAAATAATTAACAAATTACCAATAAAACAGTTGCAATTAAAAAAAAACCACTTAACGAAACAGCAACTAAAAAATAAGCTAAACCTCACAATTACGGCAAGTCATATGATTAACAAATCAATGCGGCATCTAGAATCTAAAAAACGATATTAAAAACTTAGCACTAAGTCCGTTCACACCATCTCTGCACCCCCATGACTCATACCCTCTCTCCTTTAAAAGAAAGCTACACAGCAAACCAACAAGACAATCAATACTAATTGAAATAAAAAGAATTACATTTATACTGAAACTAAACTAAGACCCAGCCCCATCAAACATCCATCCCACCCTCAAAAAACCAAAAAACCAAAAACAACATTTAAAACACCACACATGAACAAGTATTTTGAACATTTAAAAACATTAAAAAACATTTTTGACATGCTCAGAGTGAGTGTGGGCCCTGTCCCTTAGGCCAGGTGGAAATAGGCCTTGAATCAGGGAGCGGTCTTCCTTCCACACTCACAACAGCAGTGTGGACCAGGGGTCTGACTTTGTATGTGGCATCTGACAAAGGTTGCTAACAAGGCAGGGAATCTCAGTTCGCTTCTACTGGGGGAAATAGTTGCCGTGGCTCAGAAGGTGTCATGAGGTGGGGAGCAAGGAAAAAACAGTCCCACAGGGATGGCTCACTCATTAGAGAGGGAGACTCGTAACCCCAGGGTCTTGGGTTTGAACCCCATGCTGGGCAGAAGATTCCTGCATTGTAGAGGGTTGAACTAAATGATCTTTGTGGCCCCTTCCCACTCTGTTATTCTAGGATCTTACTGCAAACCTACTTATTTCACACTTCCCCAATCAATGTGCAAACTCAAAGTTTTCATTTGAAAATTGCACTTCTCCACCAAACCTTGCAATGCATTTTCCAAGCCAAAGAAAAAAGTGCGCCAAGGTTCGTATGCTAGTGAAAATAATTTTTTTAATGCATTATATTAGGAGAAATTTCTTGCAAGAAGGGGCGCATGGTGCAAAACTGCTCATAGAAATGTGTTTATTCAAAGAAACGTGCACTAAAATGCTGGCAGATTTTCATGAGTACTTTAAAAAAACAACTTAATCTGATGAACTGAATGTAGGATTGGGAAACCGAGAAACTGAGAGAAACCAGAAGTGATAGTTATGTACCTCAGAGGCATCCAGTTATTTCATGTTTTCTGCACCTGCCTCTGATTGGTAGACCTTGGGATGCTTGTAGATATCAGAGTTTGCCTGCCCTTCTCTGTATGGCCTGTCAGGGTCTCGGGGAAGGTGGGTGATGATTTTTTTGCTCATAATAATACTACAGTTGTACCTTGGATCGTGAACGCCTTAGTACTCAGACATTTTGGCTCCTGAACGCCGCAAAGTGTTCTAGTTTGCGAACGTTCTTTGGAACCCAAATGTCCGCTGGGGCTTCCACGGCTTCCGATTGGCCGCAGGAGCTTCCTGCAGCCAATCAGAACGCATGCTGTGGTTTCCAAATGTTTTGGAAGTCAAATGGACTTCTGGAACAGATTCCGTTCGGTTTCCAAGGTTTGACTGTATATGGTACTTTTTCATTTTACTTTTACTTTCAGTTTCACCGATGTTCAGAGTCTGTGGATGTTTGGAGTAGAGGAAGCTTGACATTCTGCTTGTATGTGCTCAGGGTGCTCTTGCTTGTTGGATATTAAATTAGTCCCTGAAATTTAGGGTGCTTGAGAACTGCTTGCTTTATAGCATACTAGAATTGTTGAGTTGGAAGGGACCTTGAGGATCATCTAGCCAAGGGGTAGTCAGCCTTTTTATACTTTGTTGTTTAGTCATTTAGTTGTGTCTGACTCTTCGTGACTCCATGGACCAGAGCACGCCAGGCACTCCTGTCTTCCACTGCCTCCGGCAGCTTGGTCAAACTCATAGCTTCAAAAACGCCGTCCAACCATCTCGTCCTCTGTCGTCCCCTTCTCCTTCTGCCCTCCATCTTTCCCAACATCAGGGTCTTTTCCAGGGAGTCTTCTCTTCTCATGAGGTGGCCAAAGTATTGGAGCCTCAGCTTCAGGATCTGTCCTTCCAGTGAGCACTCAGGGCTGATTTCCTTCAGAATGGATAGGTTTGATCTTCTTGCAGTCCATGGGACTCTTAAGAGTCTCCTCCAGCACCATAATTCAAAAGCATCAATTCTTCGGCGATCAGCCTTCTTTATGGTCCAGCTCTCACTTCCATACATCACTACTGGGAAAACCATAGCTTTAACTATATGGACCTTTGTTGGCAAGAAGATGTCTCTGCTTTTTAAGATGCTGTCTATGTTTGTCACTGCTTTTCTCCCAAGAAGCAGGCATCTTTTAATTTTGTCACTGCTGTCACCATCTGCAGTGATCATGGAGCCCAAGAAAGTAAAATCTCTCACTGCCTCCATTTCTTCCCCTTCTATTTGCCAGGAGGTGATGGGCCCAGTGGCCATGATCTTGGTTTTTTTGATGTTGAGCTTCCGACCATATTTTGCGCTCTCTTCTTTCACCCTCATTAAGAGGTTCTTTAATTCCTCCTCACGAAATTTTTATACTTACCGCCCACGAATGCATTGATGGCAAAATCTCCTTACCACCCACCAGTGCTCGATGGCAGGAGGATTCAGCTTATGCTGTAGAACCCCCTACTGCCCACGTAGAATCCTGAAATGTCCACTAGTGGGCAGTAGGGACCAGGTTGACACCCCCTCCAATCTAGCCCAACCCCCTCCAATGCAGGAGTATGAAGCTGTCCAATATGAGAATTGAACCCTCAACCTTGGCATTATCAGCACCACACTCTAACCAGCTGAGCTATCTATGAGATCTGACCTCAAAAACTGGTCAATCTTATTGTTAGGTTAGTCTCCCCCAACCCGGTGTCTTGCAAATGTTTTAGACTTCAACTCCCACCATCATGGACCATTGGTCATGCTGGCTGGGTGCATGGGGGAGGGGCCAGAAATCTGGGAAATTTTGGGTTGGAGTCTTCAAGGTCTCAGGCTGAAGACATTTTTCTTCTTGCTTGCTCCCATGAAATCCTTTTTAATGGGGGTTGCGTGGCGAGTTCCCGCCTCCCCCGGAAGTAATAAAGACATAGGAAATGGGCAAAATAGGCCACAACTTTATTGATTAAAGGAATGAGCGGTATTGGCTTAGGCATTGGTCCTATCGACTAGCCGGCTTCAGCCCGATTGCGTGAAGACCGGCAAGGGTTAACCACCAGTAAAGGGAGTCCTGCTGAGGCACGTCAACTAGGAGCTCCTCTGGGGTTACCACTCGGGGGCTTGCCTTAGACCCACACCTCCATAGGCTTCGGACAGGGCAACGCCCCCGGAGTCCTTTATCGGACTACCCTTTGCTTTGGGGGGAGGTGATGGCATTTCCTCCCCCCCTCACATACCCTTAACCCTTCCTTACCAATGCTTAATCGCCAATGCCAAAGAGTTGTGACGAGTTGCTACGAGGTAGGCGAAAAACCAAGAGGGCCAATGCCAATTGGGAAAAATTCCTACCAGGCACCTTGCAGCGACCGACCAATGTCCATAGCAATGTCAAGAGCCTACCTAAAGGGAGGGAGGCTGGGAAACTGAATCAGCTGGCACAACGAAAGAGGGCGAGCCCCAGCTGTGCCGGCCCTAAATAGTGTGGGCCACGCCTCCCCAGCCACCTAATTGGCTGACTGGGTGGACGATGCGTCTGGGATTCCCCCCAGTCTCGCAGGGGCTGGAGACAGCCCCCGCGCATGTGGGGTGGGCGTGAAGCCCGCAACCCCACCTCCTCCCAAGCTCGGAAGTGGCTATGCCAGGATTTCCAAGCCCATTGTCGTACGCCAATTTAGGCCTCAAGAAACACCGCTTCAGAGAGAAGCGGGGTGTGTATGTGTTCATATGACCGGATGCTCTTCTACACAAAAAGGTTTTCAAAAATCCACGCAGGTAGAAAACTAGCACTTCAAGGAGTGAGCTCAAGTTGAACTCTTCTCTTTGTCACTATTTACAGGGATTTATTTACTTTTTTGTGGGGGTATGGAATAGCATTCCAGTATGTGAGACTCCCCCTCCCTTATTCTGCCACCTGAGGTGGAGCAGCCCAGACGCAGGTTTATCACCTTCATCTGCTATTTGCGGGAAGTCCCTCCCCCCTGCGTGCAACACTCCCAGGTCATGCATGCTGAAAGGAGCCCCATAAATATCCTTCTAGATAATGCTTGCTTGCCGTCCATTTCAAAGCGTGCCAAGTAGCATATGTCAACAAACAAGCAGGCACACAGCAGTATCCATCGCTCCCTCTGACCTGACAGTGCCCTTATTGCCACTAGACAAATAATTTAAAAAAAAGATCGCTCCTGGTGTAGGGGGGTTGCTTAGGTGCTAGTAATTGCTGTGCAGTTGAGACTTGATCTATAGCAGCGTTTAAGGGAAGCTTGCATTGAGTGGAGAGAATGGGCGACTCTGCAGAGTTGTGATGCAACTGAAACCCACAGACACTAAATCAGCAAACAACCCAGAAACTGAAACAGAGTTTCTGGGGCGTGAATTTGAAGGTCATCAAGGACCTTTAACCCCCCCCCCCCCCTTTTCCCATCTGGCAAGGGTTAGCTTAGATCCTGCCCCTATTCTTAGACAACTAACTAAGGCTGGTGCTGGTGGGGAGGACAGCAAGCTCCAGGTTTTTAACTTTTTGCAGGATGCGGTGAAAGTGGAAGGATCCCCCCTCCTTCCTCACTGATAAGGCTAGAATTCAGGGTCACCCAATGGAATGGCAGAAGATTTGGAAGAGTATAAATAAAAGTGCATGCAAAAAAAATGAGATAGCAGGAAATTCCAGGTGCAGGGAGAAAGCTTTGATACAGTCATATCATATTTGGAATATTTGGCTGCATTTCCTTTGGGGCAACCATTTTTTTTGGGGGGGGAGGGACACATGCCAGTGGCAGGCATAAAAAGGTAAAGGGACCCCTGACCATTAGGTCCAGTCGTGGCCGACTCTGGGGTTGAGGCACTCATCTCGCTTTATTGGCCGAGGGAGCCGGCGTACAGCTTCCGGGTCATGTGGCCAGCATGACTAAGCCACTTCTGGCGAACCAGAGCAGCGCACGGAAACGCTGTTTACCTTCCTGCCGGAGCAGTACCTATTTATCTACTTGCACTTTGACGTGCTTTCAAACTGCTAGGTTGGCAGGAGCAGGGACCGAGCAACAGGAGCTCACCCCGTTGTGGGGATTTGAGCCGCCGACCTTCTGATCGGCAAGCCCTAGGCTCTGTGGTTTAACCCACAGCGCCACCTGCATCCCAGCTGCAAAAGTGGGTGGAGAAACCTTTGTACAGTAGGCTATTTTGCAAACACACTCATGCAACCCTCTGTGCCCTCCATCCAGGCAAGGAAGAGACATTGCCAGAGTTTGAGGACACATTAGAAGCCAGGCAAGAGGACCCAAGGAGGGTGCAAGGCAGGGCTGCTAAAGGATATAGCCTGGGGAGAGGAAGTATGATTTGGGGAGAACTGAGGTGGGGTGTGTTTGCCTATGGCCTGTGGCCCTGAATTCCCTCCCCCCTGCACTGCTGAATTCACTGCCAGATGTGTTGGCCACTGGCTAAGATGACTTCAGGAGGGCAATCAAACAAAATCAATGGATATAAATATGGTTGCCTGCACCCCAATCTCTGAGAGGTTCCTTATGCAATGGCGCCTGATTGAAAAGAGCAGGGGAAATTGTTCAGAGCTGTCATTTTGAGACGTTTCTTGTGGAAAGTGACAAAGTATTTTAAAAATCCTTTAAAAAGAATAAGCAATGGAACAGTCTTTAGCACAGTAGACAGAGTAAAATTACAAAAATATAGACAAAACTGACAGCTTTTAATAACAAATATGCATAACAACTTCATGGAGATTAAAGAATGATACACACTCCGCAGGGCTGAATTTTCTGCATAGAATATTGCTTGACTTATGATTGAACCTTTCCTGTGTTCAGTACAAAGGTAGGCAGGCAAACAAACAGAAACACAAGCATGCGCTGAAATGCACATGTGCCTTTAGAAGCACTACGAAGCCAAAGGTTTATTTTATCAGTCAGAGACACAGCATGGGTGGGGGGTGAGGTGGGAAGTCGAATTGAGTCTTCTTGATGAATTTACAAAGAGTTTTGCAAAAAATTAATAATACTCAATAGTTTTTTTAGCAGAGGGCCTTCCTGGTAGTGGCGCCCGCCCTGTGGAACTCCCTCCCATCAGATGTCAAGGAAATAAACAACTGGGCATAAATAAACAGGGAAGTTTTTAATGTTTGATGTTTTATCGTGTTTTTAATATTCTGTTGGGAGCTGCCCAGAGTGGCTGGGGAAACCCAGTCAGAAGGGTGGGGTATAAATAAGTTGTTGTTGTTGTATTGGTTTGCAGAAATGAAGTATTCATTTCGCTCAAGTGTGGGGAGCCTCAGTTCTGTGGGGCAGATGTAGCCCTCCAAGCATTTTTCTGTCACTCTTGGGAGTCTCCCCGTGCCACACACACCCTTTTTCACAAGCCACGCCACTCGCCAGCCCTGATTTTTCACTCCCTTGGTGAGTTTTTGCCTGGCTGGAATCTGTCCTCAGGCTATGTGCTTACTGGATAAAGGAAAGTGGGGGGAGGGGAGTGTGTGCAGAAAACAGCCTACTGTAGAAAGGGCAAGATAGATGTGCATTTGTTTCCCCGCCCGCTGTTGTCTCTGGCCCCACCCACCACTGTCATGTGACACCCCCTCCCAGAACTTTGCCCGGAAGGAAACACGACCCTGTTTGACCTAACCTCTGCCTAGAACAGGCAATATGATGAAAACAACATGTATTGCAGGCTCAGCTGCTTCAATTCCACAAGGACCGGCACAAAGCTTTTATCCAATCTCGCTCTTAAGTGGTGTTCGGCTACTTGGCCGGGTCAGAGGGGCACATTTCTGATGCTGAAATAAAATTGCCCCTAAGTGATATTAGGAGTGGCAGGCAGAAAACCATAATAAAGACAGGCACGAGGGACTGATTTTGCTGAGGCTCATATTCCTGTTTCATTGCTGTCCTTCCTAACCTAATAGTACTACGCCTCATGGGGAATTTTTTTTTTTAACAAGTTCTGGGTTAAATCTGTGGTACAAAGTGAGAGTGAGGTGATATTTCTATATAGCACCCAGTTTCCGAAGCAGTGAGATGTGGGAAACCTCAGCCCTGGAAGCTGAAGGCTAGGCCTCTCTACTCACACACCAGCCCTGGTCTGCATTCCTTTGAGTGCCTCTTTGCCTAGTGAGAATGTGCCCTTGAGTTGCGATAATGCCTGGTGTTTGTCTGCTTGGAGGATGCTGAGATATCTGCAGACTCAGAAACCTCTGACATTTGCAGTAGTTGGACTGAAAATAAGTGGGTTCCATGATAGATTAAGATTAGATCAAGATTAAAGATGTTTAAAAAGAAATGGAAATTTGATATAAAAAAGGGAAAATTTTTAACGTTATATGATATTAAGATCAAGGATTAGGTTTAAAGCAGTTGAAGAGTATATTTTAACATTTTATTAAATTAAAGATTGAGTTTGAAAGTGAAAAGAAACTGACAATAATTTGGACTGGGAATAAAAGAGGGAGGTATGAGGAAGTCCAGAAAATAAGTAATCTAAAAATGGGAATGGAAAAGAGAGTTTGTTTTTAATTGTTATGCTTTTTGTTTTTTATTGTTGAGTTTTGTATTGCTTTTTGTGTGTGTTGTTTTTTGTTGTTGTTTAAAACTTTAATAAAAATTATTTAAAAAAAAAAAAAAAGAATGTGGCCTACTGGGCAAACGTTAAGAGTCCCTTCCGTGGTTCTGGCCGCAAGCACTTTTTCCAGCAGTGGCCTGCAGCCCCTGCCAAGTTGCCCCTGAGGGAAATGTGGCCCTCAGCTTGGACAATATTCTAGGGGTAGTGCTACTAGGTTTTAGCTTCCTTCGAAGGGGAGCAAGGACCTTTTTTGGAGAATTTGGTGGGAAGAACCCTCTGGGGAACCCCCAAGGGAAGAAGACTCAGAGCCCTGGGAGAGGTGATGGGATGACAATGAGTGGTCAGAGGGAGGAGATGGGGAAGAGGAGATGTAGGAAGCTGAAGAGGTGACAGGGCTTAGTAAGAAGGGAGAATTTGTGGCAGAGAGAAGTCTAGAATCAGAAGGAGAAGCTGAAGCAGGTAAGCGGGAGGAAGGAGGCCAAGAGGTGGAAATCAGTTAGGCTGGTGAAGAGTCACAAGTGTCTCCCCCTCCTGCTGAAAGAAGCTCCCCTCCCTCCTTGTTTCCCAGAACCAGAAGAGGGCTGAAATGGGCAGAGCAGCAACAGGCTTCATGCAGGTGTAGTCTCTGATTGCTTGGGAAAAGTCCTGGAAAGTTGGGGACTTAGATGGCTGTGGGGAGGCAGGGACTTTCAGTCTTGGCAGCTGAAATCTTGGAGTAAGATCACTGTGCTCATTAAGCCTGACACTTAGTCAAGCCTGTGAAGATAGCATTTTTTGCTAATACAGTCATACCTTGGTTCTCGAACGCCTTGTGACTCGAATGTTTTGGCTCCCGAACACTGCAAACTTGGAAGTAAGTTCCGGTTTGCGAACTTCTTTTGGAAGCTGAATGTCTTGATATGGCTTACACAGCTTCCGATTGAATGCAGGAAGCTCCTGCAGTCAATTGGAAGCTGCACCTTGGTTTTTGAACGTTTTTGGAAGTTGAACGGACTTCAGGAACAGATTCCGTTTGAGAACCAAGGTACAACTGGAATGTGTCAGGAGTTCAGCCTACACTTGAGTAGGACCCTGGCAGAGACACATGCCTGACTGGCATGTTCTCTCCCTCCTGGTCTTTCGTTTGGGAGCTTCAAAAGCTTTCTTCTGCCTGAACATCACAGCTACCAATGCCAACAGACACCGGCACACTTAAGGATCCGCAGAGTTTGCCCAGTTGCATAACAGCCCTCAGCAACTCAGCATATTGGCTAGTCTACTTTATTTACATATAAACACACACGGAGCTCTGCAACATGGCTCCCTCTCTCTCTAACATCAGACAGCAAAGAGAAAAAAAAGGACAATAGTCCCACTTCATGGAACACAGTAACACAAACATCCTGCCTCCGTCACTTCCCACTCTGTGGAGTCAAAACACATACCATCATGTGAAAGACAACAATCCCATGAATGCAATCACGAAGCAGGAATTCTAACAGAATGAGTTGACTCTAACCGTGAATGGTGTGATGTAAAGGTAAAGGTAAAGGGACCCCTGACCATTAGGTCCAGTCGTGGCCGACTCTGGTGTTGCGGCGCTCATCTCGCTTTATTGCCGAGGGAGCTGGCGTACAGCTTCCTGGTCATGTGGCCAGCATGACTAAGCCGCTTCTGGCGAACCAGAGCAGCGCACAGAAATGCCGTTTACCTTCCCGCCAGAGCAGTACCTATTTATCTACTTGCACGTGCTTTCGAACTTGGCAGGAGCAGGGACCGAGCAACGGGAGCTCACCCTGTCGCGGGGATTCAAACCGCCAACCTTCTGATCGGCAAGTCCTAGGCTCTGTCGTTTAACCCACAGCACCACCCGTGTCCCTAACACTCTGTGAGGTGAGTGGGGCTGAGAGACTTCAGAGAAGTGTGACTAGGTCACCCAGCAGCTGCATGTGGAGGAGCGGGGACGCGAACCCGGTTCACCAGATTACAAGTCCACCGCTCTTAACCACTACACCACACTGGCTCTCTCCTGGCTCAATCTGTGACACAGAGGGACCTACCTCTGTGGTCAGAGGCAATGTGCCTCCGAATACCAGCTACAGGTCCTGTTTGCTGGCTTTTCACAGGCATATCTGGTTGATATGGATTCTGAAAGAGATGGCCCCATCAGGGCTATGACTACGGTCTTATGTTATTATGTCCCTTGTAGATCCTGCCCTGGATCCCATTTTGAATCTAAGATTCCCCCCCTGCCCAGCTGATTCCTGCTCAGCTTAAGCCTGAATCATTTCTTTCCCCTCCTTCCATCATAACTTGCAAGGTACCCTACAACGCACCATCCTCCTCTATGTCTCCTTCTTCCTTGACCCCATGCTGCTTTGGGGGGAGGCGGGGAGCCAGCTAGGCATGAAAGAAGGGAAAGGGGGGAGCTCAGCACTTGACTGAGACATGAAAGGCAAAGAACAGCCTTCCGGGAAATGCATTTTATCCTGACACTTAATGAAATAAATAGAGAGGTAAAAATGACAAATTAACATTTGTTAAACTCTCCCCCAAAAAGATGCAAATGAAGGACGAATCCCCGTAGTGGACTGATGAAAAGGAAGGGAAATTTGAAAGCCTTGTGCAATTACTGAAGGTTATTAATATTGATAGAAGACAGCTGAAAATGGCCTAATTACTTGGCGAGTCTTAAAAGATGCTGCTGATGAGAACTGAAGCGGGGAGGCTGAGGGGTTGGTTTCGTGGGGAAGCAGGGAGTCCAGAGTCAGAGCCGCAGTGAGCTGATCTCTGACTTCTCCTCCCGGGAGAAGCGAGTCGAGGTGTGAGCAGATTTGTCGGGTCAGGGAGTGAGGCATGGGAGCGCCAGGGTGGTCAGTCATGAAAGAGAAGGCGGAATCAGGTCCCTAGACAGAGACCAGGTAAAAGCAGGTCCAGGAGCGCCAGTGTAATTAGTCAGGAGGAAGGGGGAAATGGAGAATGAACTCAAGACTTGAGGAAAAGGACTTGAGCTTAGGCAGATGGAGAAAGAATCATGAAAGGTTTGGGCAGTGGACAAACTGAACTAGGGGGAATCTACAAGAGTGGAGAATAGCCTCCCTGGTATTCATACTCCTCCTCCTCCTCCTTCTACTACTACTACTACTTTATTATTTGTGCCCCATCCATCTGACTGGGTTCCCCCAGCCACTCTGGGTGGCTTACAGCATATACAAAAACATAACACTAAACATTAAAAACCTCCCAGTATAGGGCTGCCTTCAGATGTCTTCTAAAGGTTGTATAGTTACTTATCTCCTTGACATCTGATGGGAGGGTGTTCCATAGGGAGGATTCAACTGTTGAAAAGTCCCTCTGCCTGGTTCCCTGTAACCTCATTTCCCACAATGAGGGAACTGCTAGAAGAACCTTGGAGCTGGACCTCAGTGTCTGGGCTGAATGATGGGGATGGAGATGCTTCTTCAGGTATACTTGGCCAAGGACTTTTAGGGTTTTAAAGGTCAGTACCAAAACTTTGAAGTGTGCTTGGAAACTTACTGGGCGCCAATGTACAGTAGGTCTTTCAGGACCAGTGTTATATGGTCCTGGCGGCCACTCCCAGACACCATTCTAGCTGCTGCATTCTGGATTAGCTGCATTTTCCGATTCACCTTCATGGAGCCCCATGTGGAGTGTTTTGCAGCAGTCCAACCGTGGGTCACCTGATGACATCAGGTGATTGACAAATGGGAGCCCCTGCCCACATGTCAACATGGCCCATGTGTGTAGCGGGGTCAAGGAGGTCAGGATCTGGCCCCCTAGCTGGATCCTATTCCCCATCTCTGCTCTAAAGTTTAAAAAGGTCCAGACAGTCATTTATTTGTAAGAATGAACGTTGGGGTAAGCACCACATCATTTTTTTCGCTGCATGATTCCAGGGCAGCAATCTCAGGCACAAACCTGGCCGTATATTCCATTGAATTCAATGGCCCTTCAAATGATAAACAGGAAAACAGGGATCAGAAGAATAAAGTTTTTAAGAATCTGTCAGAGGAATAAGCCGTTTTTACTCCTATGCTAGTTTTTTCAAGCATTATTTTATTTATTTGCCTTACTAAAAATGTATGCCGTATAGCTGAGCTCCCTGCATTCTCTCGCTCAGTAGCCTGTAATGTCTAAAAATAAAATACATCTACTCTCTACTTGACCTCGCACTGCTTTAGACAAACTAGATCTGCATGTGGAAAAGAAAAGCTCCAAATGAATAGAGACATAACATATTCAGCGAATCCTTCTGGGAAATGCAGCCCTTTTACAGCAGCCTATCTTGATGGTTCATTAAAACAGAGCACATATGGTATGTGTGTGTGTGTGCGTGAGAGAGAAAGAGAGGGAGAGAGAGAGAGAGAACAGGAAAGAAATGGAGCATTTTCAGAATCTTCCAAAAGGGATGCAAAGTTATTTGCCCATTCTAAAGAGAGCAGCAAAGACACTGAGATGAGTCGGGCCACTGCTAGAAAGAAGGAGCCAGGAGGAAAGTAGAAAAGAGATGCAAGGAGAATGTGGGACAGTCTGCACATTTTTTTCCCACCTGTGGAACTCCTGCACACCTGGTGAAGAGAGGCTGGGCTTCCTCCCCATCATGGTACCTTAAGCAGAACACTTCCTGCCACTGTAAACCTGGCCCTTTTCTGCTTTCAAGGGTCTTTCGGAGTGCTTTGCAAAAGGCATGACAATCAGCTGATAGCTGGGACTTGTGGAAATGCTTAAAGGCATGTTTTGCATGAGATGGGTTCCCTCCATACCTTCCTGCCCCACACCTGACTTCAATTTCCATTCCTCTCTGTTTCTTCTTTATCTAGTCTTAATTTCCGTTCCCCACATTTCCACGTTATTTTGACGGTGTTAAAGACCTCGTGAAAATTCATCAGCATTCGAGTGAGAATTTCTCCTAATGCACTCAATTTTGCATAACATACACATTTTTTGCAAAGCATTTCTCCCAATGCATTTTTGGTATGTCATTTTTAGCAATATGTGCATCTTTATGTGATCTTTACCCAAGTGTACGCATTTTGTACACATCGCTTGGCTGGAGAAGTGCATTGCAAAATTCAGATGGGTGCAAATTTTGAAGGATGACATGTAACTCACAACTTACACACATTTTTTAAATATATAATTTTTATTAAATTTTCTGTTTTTCAATTTCAAATACTCATTTTACATCTGTAAGATATCAATAATGACTTCGTGCTTGGCAATTAATTTGAGAGCCAGTGTGGTGTAGTGGTTAAGAGTGGTAGTCTTGTAATCTGGTGAACCAGGTTCGCATCTCCGCTCCTCCACATGCAGCTGCTGGGTGACCTTGGGCTACTCACACTTCTTTGAAGTCTCTCAGCCCCACTCACCTCACAGAGTGTTTGTTGTGGGGGAGGAAGGGAAAGAAGAATGTTAGCCGCTTTGAGACTCCTGAAGGGGAGTGAAAGGCGGGATATCAAATCCAAACTCTTCTCTTCTTCTTCTTTTTTTTTTAAAGGGGGGTGGGTGTTCAGGGAAAAGATTTCTGACAATCCCACCTGCCATTGAACCCAGTGTGTTTTGACTATATATGATTTTGGCTTTGGGCACAATCCCCGGAACCTAATCCCCATGTAAACTGAGAGTCACTTGTATTGTTTCAGAAAGTGCAGATTAGGTAGGTTCACCTCTAAATGCGAACCAAAACAAATTTATCCCCCATCTCTACTCCCAAATTAGTGGTTCCTAACCAGTCCTGTTTATAAGGGCAACTGCTCTCCTATCAACTGGTATTTTCAGCATTCCCAAAATTCTGCATCTAGTGTTTGCTACGAATGCAACTGAGAGCATTCATTGCCTTTGGTATAGTCAAGGCTGCCTGCTAATGCCCTGTTTGACCTTCTGCTCCCGCAGGTAAAATGGTAAAGGAACCGAACAAAACATGCATCTGTGATTCCAAAAATGGCTTTCGCTCTCAGAAAACCTTCTTAAAAAGCATTGTTCTTGAATAATAACTAAACTGAAATGGAAATGCAATGCTCATTTGCAAAGATGGAACAATCTCTATTCTTATCCCTTGCAGGCACTTTCAAGCTAGAATTCTGAAAGCATCAACTAATGTTCAGAGATATACTAAATCCCAAATAGTTGCACCCTCCATCTTCATCTCCCTCGAGTGCTGTGCCTCGGAGTGGGATAACAACTTTTTTGGGGTGTGTGATATTTGCTCCACTGCACTTGCAACCCACTGGGTTGAACACAGCCAGCCAGCCGTTATGTTTTACCAGATGCATGATAACCCACCCCAACCAGGCAACAAAACCAGTGAATTTATTGAAGATGGAGCAAGCTTGTTTTCTCCTGCTCTGGAAGATAGGGCTCAATCCAATGGCTTCAGGTAGCAAGAAAGGTGATTCTGACTAAACATCAGGAAGAGCTTTCTGACAGTATAATAATAATAATAATAATAATAATAATAATAATTTCTTATTTGTACCCCGCCCATCTGGCTGGGTTTCCCCAGCCACTCTGGGCAGCTTCCAACAAAGATTAAAAATACATTAAAATGTCACACATTAACTACTTCCCTAAACAGTGCTGCCTTCAGATGTCTTCTAAATGTCAGGTAGTTGTTTATCTCTTTGACTTCTGATGGGAGGGCGTTCCACAGAGCGGGAGCCACTACCGAGAAGGCCCTCTGCCTGGTTCCCTGTAGCTTTGCTTCTTACAATGAGGGAACCGCCAGAAGGCCCTCAGAGCAGGACCTCAGCATCCGGGCAGAATGATGGGGGTGGAGACGCTCCTTCAGGTATACAGGTATTAACTGTTTGACAGTGGAACGGACTTCCTCGTGAGGTGGTGGAGTCTCCTTCATTGGAGATTGTTACGCTGAGGTTGAGTGGCCATCAGTTGGACTCAGAGTTCCTTCCAGCTCTATGATTCTGTGACTGAATCGACTCACAGTACATGGTTGTACTGCATTCAGCCTTATGGGTAACAAGTTATACAAGCAGGTTCTACGAGAAAACATGCATTCTGCCAGCTGAGCCTACTGCTGAAAGACAATAGCGAGACAAAGATATGAATGGGAAGACCGCATGCAGCGATGAATCCATCATAGTCTTCTTCCAGACTAGTAACCATGGCAGCCATCTGTCTCTCCCCTGCTCACATGGCATATGGTGATGAAAACGTTGGTAAATCACCAACAGGCAAATGTTCCTCCTGACCATTCCATACACCAGCACATAAGGTCATGCTTTTCCTTAGAATGTCCTGCTTTTCCTCAGGATGCCCCTATTTTAATGGGAGAAATGTTGGAGGGTATGGTAAGGTAAAGGGACCCCTGACCATTAGGTCCAGTCGTGGCCGTCTCTGGGGTTGCGGCGCTCATCTCGCTTTACTGGCCGAGGGAGGTGGCGTACAGCTTCCGGGTCATGTGGCCAGCATGACTAAGCTGCTTCTGGCGAACCAGAGCAGCACACGGAAACGCCGTTTACCTTCCCGCCGGAGCGGTACCTATTTAGCTACTTGCATTTTGACGTGCTTTGAACTGCTAGGTTGGCAGGAGCAGGGACCGAGCAACCGGAGCTCACCCCCTCGCGGGGACTTGAACCGCTGACCTTCTGATCTGCAAGTCTTAGGCTCTGTGGTTTAGACCACAGCGCCACCCATGTCCCCTAGTGAAATATACTCAGAGTCGCAAAGTGATTTCATGCTCTTTATTCAGCTCATAGTGGTGAGGAGGAATGAATGAATGTCCCCTCAAAGTATCTGCTTTATATACATTCTTTACACAATGGGCTGCACATGATTGGCTAATTCTGGAATTCTACTGTAAGCCAATCAGGTTGTGGATTCACTTCTATCTGGAGCATGATTGGGTGGTTCCTGCCAACCATTCATACTGCTGCATTGTTCTAGGACCAATCAGACTGCTGCATTCTGAATCCTATTGTTCTAGGACCAATCAGACTGCTGCCTTTTGGATCGTATTGTTCTAGGACCAATCAGACTGCTGCAGTTTGAATCCTATTCAACTCAGTACATAACACCTAGCCAACCTTAAGCCCTGGTTTATTTTTGGTTTTCAAATTCTGGCTTGTTAGGGCATAACTAAATCACAGTCCCAAGTTCAAATGTCCCGGTAAGCTAGGGATGGGAAGAAATTGGATTCATAAACATTAAAAGGTGAATTTACATGATTTGCACTTTCTGCAAAATGAAACATGGCCATCCTTTGAAATCTGCACCATTCTGAATCTGCAGTGCAGTTCTCCAGCAAAATAAGGCATTTAAACATTGCATATACTGGGGTACATTTGGCATATAAATGCCTATATTAGTTAAAATGACATACAAAGCTGCATATTAGGGGAAATGTGTATAGTTGGCAAAATTGCATACAAAACTGTGTATATCAGGAATGCTGATGAGTTTTCATGAGGATTTCTTTTTTTAAAAAAATTCTCAAATTGATGTGGAAATGTGGATAACTGTACTAAAGATGGGAAAGGTGGGAGACTGGGAGAAATTGAAACGGACAGGTTTTCTCATCCCTACAGGATGCCAGGCTTAATTTGCTTGTTCCTGGTTTGTGTCTTCTACTCACACCAGGTGAAACAGGACCCATCATTCGAGGGGTGGGGTGTCATACTCAGGAAGCTGTGATAAACCCAAGTATTGATCTTCTAAAGTCTTGTAGGGCCTCCTGTAAGATTTCTAAGATTGCTGAGCTGTAGAAAGGACCAGTATGGTGGTGGCCCCATATCTGTGGAACTCCCTCCTCAGGGAAATATGTTTGACCCCTTTAGTGCTGGCTTTTAAAGTGGCATTGAAAACCAAATTGTAATTTAAGGCGCGGAACTTTTCCATGTTTTACATCACTGCTGGTTTTAAACCGCTGGCTTTCACTTGCTCTTCTTGGCTGCTTCAATTAATATTGAATGAATGTAGTGCTAGCTTTTGAAATGTTATAGCTGTTTTAACTTTGATAGCGTTTTATTGGAATTGTGTTTTAATCTCTTTATGTCAGTAACTGTGAGAAGGCTTCGCCCTAAAAGGCAGTCGAGCTATCTTCAAAATAAACCGAGAGGGTGAGCCTTGACCAGCTCATCCTAGGCCCAGCAACTGCTTACCCCCATTTTAACTGGGACATCCCGAATCACAGATGTCAATTCTGGCTTCTATTTGGATCCCGGCATGTCCCATTTAAGACTGGCACCCTGGCACGAATCAACAGGGTTCCTTTGGCAATCGTCAAAGGGGCATGGCAGACGGTAGGTGGTGGACCTGGGCAGGTGGGGGGGTGAAAAGCCGAGTTGGCCTGGGTAGGTGAGGGGTGGATATGGGGGGCTAGGACATGGGTGGCACTGTGGTCTAAACAACCGAGCCTCTTGGGCTTGCTGAGCGGAAGGTCGCGGTTCGAATCCCCGCAACAGGGTGAGCTCCCATTGCTCTGTCCCAGCTCCTGCCAATCTAGCAGTTTGAAAGCACGCCAGTGCAAGTAGATAATTAGGTACTGCTGCGGTAGGAAGGTAAACAGCGTTTCTGTGCGCTCTGGTTTCCGTCATGGTATTCCATTGCATCAGAAGCAGTTTAGTCATGCTGGCCACATGACCTGGAAAGCTGTCTGTGGACAAACACTGGCTCCCTCGGCCTGAAACGAGATGAGTGCCGCAACCCCATAGCCGCCTTTGACTGGACTTAACCATCCAGGGGTCCTTTACCCTTTACCTTTTACCTATGGGGGGCTGCATGAAGGGGTGGTCTTGGATTTGGGAAAGAAAATGTTGGAGAATATGGGGCTTAGGAATGAAGTCCAATGTTTTACCCAGGAATGGGCAACCTGTAGCCTTCCAGAGGTTGTTGGACTCCCATCAGCCCCCAGCCAGCAAGGCCAGTGAATGATGGGAACCAGCAATATCTGGAGAACTACATTTTCTGTTCCCCCATTCCTGCTTTGGCACTACACTTGAGCGGCTCTTTAACCAGTGTATCCAGGTGGAAATAAGCTCTCTCGTTTATCTAAACAACGTTTATTAAAATGTGCTGCACAGTGTCTTTTGGCCCTCTTCAGCCAGGCTGCATTGTATTATACTGATTTTTTTATTTTTTATTTTAAGATACGATGATTTCTTTGTAAAGTTTCACACACACACCTCTGGTTCGGCATCTTAATTCTAATCATGGTTTCCTCTTAATCAAGGAACAAGAGGGGAGTTTTAAATATGCAGTTTCATTTTTCCCCCCAAAAATAATATCATTTTCAAAAGATGTATGGAATTTATGGTGAATAATTCATGTCCTTTAAGATCAGAAGTTTTTAGACATAAAAAGGGGATTCCACAGGGGTTTGGTGCATTGAAAACAAAAAAAATAAAAAATAAAAATGTCTTTCCGGATAAATGCAGCTAAAGTGGGATAAATCTTGCAGCAGCAGAGGAAACGCATATTCTAAAAAGGGTCGGGGTTTTTTGTTTTTGCTAAAGCTGGCACGACTTTCCTCCAGAATTAAAATATTCAGTTTGGGGATCGATGAATTCTGGTTAACATTCGCTTTTAATGTCTGCCATACTTGTTCTCCAGAACATAAAGAACAACTCTCCAAAGAACTAATGGTGAAAAAGAACCAACCCCCCCCCCCCACACCATAGCTTATATATCCCCGCAATGAGGTTATCCTGATTAAATGATCACTTAAATTACTGCTCTCTTGTGAAATTAAAAAGAGGAGAGAGAAATGGCCTTTAATTGGGGGAAGCTGAGTGGTGATAAATAAAATAAGCTTCTTAAGAAGAAGTGCAGTGAAGACATCTATGAACCTCAAATCTCCAATCCTCCCCAAGCCTAGTCAGAAGCTCCATTTACATTAAAGGGGTTTTAAAAGGATTTACTTTTGAACAAAAGTGGCTAGAATTGAGATGTCAGATATTTACTCAGAAGTAAACCCTACTGTGTTCATTGAGGCTTACTCAACCTATGGAATTTCCTCGCTCAGAAGCATAGCTGTCAACGTTTTCCTTTTTTTAAGGGAAATTCCTTATTCCGAATAGGATTCCTCGCAAGAAAAGGGAAAAGTTGACAGCTATGCCCAGAAGGCAGTGATGGCCACCAACTTGGATGTCTTTAAAACCGGTTTAGATACCCTCCAACCTTTCTCCAGTGAAAATAGGGACGTCCTATTCAATAATAATAATTTTATTATTTATACCCTGCTATTCTGACTGGGTTGCCACAACCACTCTGGACGGCTTCCAACATATACATATAAAAACAAAATAAAACATTAAACATTTTTTTAAAAAAATCTTCCTTATACAGGGCTACCTTCAGATGTCTTCTAAAAGTTGTATAGTTGCTTTTCTCCTTGGCTTGGGGGTCACATAACTCCACACCCTCCAAGAGCTCTCCCAAGAAAATAGGGGCATCCTACCATGCCATATGCGGGTGGCACTATGGGTTGAACTACAGAGCCTAGGACTTGCCGATCAGAAGGTTGGTGGTTCGAATTCCCACAATGGGGTGAGCTCCCATAAAGCGAGATGAGCGCCGCAACCCCACAGTCGGCCATGACTGGACCTAATGGTCAGGGGTCCCTTTACCTTTACCTTTTAAGGTTGGCTACCCATCCTCACTTCTTAGGGAGCAAAACCCAAGATCCACAGGAAGCCAGGCTTAATTCCTTATTTGTTTTCTGCTTGTACCAAGGGAGAGATCAGGCAGTGTGTACCAACATACAGCTCACGCACAGCAAACCTCAGTAACCCAGTAACTGTGGTTTGTGTTGAAAGGGGAAGCTGGTCCTCACATGTGCACCCCGTGAAGAGGGGCGAACCAGTATGGTTATGAACCAATCCGCAGTTGTGCCGATCTCTTCTGTTTCGAATTCAGCCTCTTTACTGTTCCCAATTTAACTTCACTCTCCCCCACATTTACTCAGGGTGGGCTAAGTGGAAAATCAATAGCGTGTCAGGAAACATCACTTTTGATTTTCATTTTCTGCTTTGCCTTTCATTCAGGGATGAAATTCAAACCTGTTTCATCCATGTAGGGATAAATCAGGTTTTTTAGGAAAGTAACTGGGGCTGTTTTTGGTTTCTGATTTTCCTTTTATACCATCCAAGTGCAAGGCTTGTTTGCTCGGCCTCAGAGCAAAGGGTGCCAAAGACATCTTATACCCCAAGTAGCCAAGCCTTTGCTAACTATTGTGACGTGCTATTACATTGTGTGACATTTTATCCAATAAAATATATCATTTATTTGTAAAAGCATTTCTGTACTGCCATATCCTATCACATCAGGGTGGTCTACCATGTTAAAAGACAAAACACTGTTGGCTTAAAAGTCCTCAGGAGATGCATGAAAGTGAGGGTGCCTGACAAATCTCTGCTGGAAGAGTGATACTAAGTCCCCAGCTTCTTGTGGAGGCCAGTTGGGCCATTGCAGAACTGAGGACAACTAATAACACTTCTGATTATCTCGGTGATCAAGCTGGGCTCAAGTGGTCCTTAACATCTCCTAGGCCCAAGTTGTTCAAGGCCTTGTAGGCCATGAAATCTCAAGCCAGGCCCAAGATGTCCTTAGCATGAATGTTGAAGTCAACCAGCACCGCCATCTTGGGCTCCTCCTGCACCATGCCAAAGATCACCTCAGCTAACCTGGCTAGGGAGGCTGTTGGGCACCAGGGAGCTGGTAGACCCAAAGCATCCCTGACCTGTCTCTTTGGCCCAGCACCTGATGCAGACCCACCCACCCCCAGTCATGCTGCAAGGAAGAAGGTGATGGAGTTCATTCTCCTGGGGAACTCCAGTGGACCATGGCAATTTAATGGGTAGATGGAGTGTGCTGTTCCCATCTACCCCCTTGCATGTTCACTAAACATGGAAAAATTCAAAGTGTTGGTTAAAGCCCTAAATGGCCTCGGCCCAGTATACCTGAAGGAGCGTCTCCTCCCCCATCGTTCTGCCTGGACACTGAGGTCCAGTGCCGAGGGCCTTCTGGTGGTTCCCTCACTGCGAGAAGCCAAGTTACAGGGAACCAGGCAGAGGGCATTCTCGGTAGTGGCATCCGCCCTGTGGAACGCCCTCCCACCTGATGTCAAAGAGAACAACAACTACCATACTTTTAGAAGACATCTGAAGGCAGCCCTGTTTAGGGAAGCTTTTAATGTTTAATAGACTACTGTAATTTAATATTCTCTTGGAAGCCGCCTAGAGTGGCTGGGGAAACCCAGCCAGATGGGAGGGGTATAAATAATAAATTTATTATTATTATTATTATTATTATACCTGAGGAAGGCTAGTGTAAAGTTACCATGACTGCACTCCTTATCACCAACGTGATTATTTTTTTAATAAGATATTTATTAGGATTTTTTTAAAGATATTACAGTAAAAAATGAGAAAGAAAGAAAAATACAAAATAAAAATGATTAAAAACACTCAGATTTTCCATTGCTTATTTTTCTTTAGCTTGTTTCCCGGACCTCCTCATACCTCCCTTTTTTGTATTCCAGTTCAGTTTGTTGGTTCAGCAAATCCTTACCCTCTTTGTTTATCCTAATCTTTGGTCTTAAAATAGTAACATTAGATTTTTACCTCTTAACAACCCCTTTTTCATATTCCCTTAAAGCATTACAGCTAGAAACCACTTAATTTCTATCCAACATCGTTCTAACATTCATTAATTTTACAATATTTCTGTAGATAATCTTTGAACTTCTTCCAATCTTCTTCCACCAACTCTTCTCCCTGGTCTAGGATTCTGCCAGTCATTTCTGCCAGTTCCATATAGTCCATCAGCTTCATCTGCCATTCTTCCAGAGTGGGTAGATCTTGTGTCTTCCAATACTTTGCAATGAGTATTCTTGCTGCTGTTGTAGCATACATAAAAAAGGTTCTATCCTTCTTTGGCACCAATTGACCGACTATGCCCAGGAGAAAGGCCTCTGGTTTCTTCTGGAAGGTATATTTAAGTACCTTTTTCAGTTCATTATATATCATTTCCCAGAAAGCCTTAATCCTGGGGCATGTCCACCAAAGGTGAAAGAATGTACCTTCAGTTTCTTTACATTTCCAACATTTGTTATCGGGCAAATGATAAATTTTTGCAAGCTTGACTGGGGTCATGTACCACCTGTAAATCATTTTCATAATATTCTCTCTTAGGGCATTACATGCCGTAAACTTCATACCTGTGGTCCATAACTGTTCCCAGTCAGCCATCATTATGTTATGACCAACATCTTGTGCCCATTTAATCATAACAGATATCGATGGCGCCAACCCGGAAGTCTCATCACCAATGTGATTAAAGACAATTTTAAATTGTCTTTAATCATCACCAACGTGATTAAAGACAATTTTAATTTTCACTGGAATGAGAATTTTATCTTTGTACAATAGGCTAGTTTCTCATACCCTCCAACCGTCTTCAGATGAAAATAGGGGCATTTCTCACTCCACCCTAACTGACCCTCCTTGACTCCCCATTTTTGTCATCCCACTCCCTGCAGACCTTTTCCTATCAGAAGAAGGGCATCCACCATCCTGAGAAAACCCTTTAATCCTGATTTTATTTTATTCTTTGGTAGATTTTGATGTAAAAATTGGGGTTTGGCTTCTGTTGCCCAACTCCCCATGGGACAATTGAGTCCCCTAAGTCCATTATCAATCAGAGAAGAATGGGTGGAGACTGGATCCAGTGGAAAGCAAGGCAGATATTTATTTTTCTGTTGCAACAGAGTTCCTTCCGCTCCTTCTAAGGAGGAAGAGACCCTGAACAAAAGTGTGCAGGAACCTTTAAAGAATTTTGACAATGCCCAACCCCCTTAGCCAAAGACTACCCTAAAAACATCATACATACATACATCATAGGACGCGGTCTACAGCAAAAATCCTGCCTGCCAGGATATCTGATAACGGTCACTGTTTGCATTCCTTGGGCAGCCTGGCCATTCTTTTGTGATGGTTAATACTTTAGTTCCTGAATCCAGGTCACAGGCTCACCATATTCATGCACAAATACGCCCTTAAGACAAGATTTGTAAGCGAAAAGACAATGGGAAGGCTTTCCCTATTTGCCTCCCTTACTGCAGAGAAATATTTGAGGTCATTGGGAGAGTCAACATGGCTTCAGGATTGCTCTCTTGTATTATTTCAGACACATGGTTTGTATATTTAGATATGTGCGCATTTATGAATATTTATCATATATTTGAGACCTTAGAATTCTTATAACAATTTACAAAAAAAGAAAAGCAATAAATACATTTTAGAAAAGGACACTTGGAGGGTATGTTTACTACACCCCCCCCTTCTCTATTCTCCATCTAAGCAAGCAGGAGGAATTATCCGAGATCAGGGACAAATTCTAGCCAAGCAAAAACACTTGGAAGGGGAGGGATAGTGAAGCAGGGTGGGTCTGTGAGGGGTGTGGCCTGGGGAAAGTTATGAGGGCCAGATCGAGAGCTCTGGAGGGCCGCATTTTGCTCCTGGGTCTGAGGTCCTCAATCACTGCCTGTTATGTACTGAAGTTCTCACCCTGGGCCAGCAGGCGGATACTGTAGATAGTTCAGGTCCACATATGCAAATAAGGGATCGAAAGTGACGTTCAGTGATTGGATAGTTACAGAAAGTTGTTACAGTTACGTTGTGCTGGAGCTCTATATAAGCAGGCTGGCTGAACCCTTCAGTTCAGTTCTGTTCTGACCTGTGAATAAACAAGAGCTGTTTGGAGAATCGCTGCGTCATCTGATATGTTCACCCACAACTTAACACTGCCCTCTGGACTGAATTGGACATGATACTCCTTAAGAACGGCTACGATATTTCATGAGGGAATCCTGCTGCGTAAGCCACAAAAAGTGGCACCAATGAGTGCACACTCCCTTTTCGTTAGGCACGCATTCTGTGTCCTTGCTTGCAAGTCGTTTATCAAGCGGGTCTCCTGCTCTTCCATTTTGTGAGCTCAGCATATGGTGTTTTAAATCTCTCTCTCTCTGCCCCCACCCACCATTTCCCCTTAAGGGGAGAAAAGTTTATTAAAAGCATCTTATCTGCGACTTGCTGCAAATACAAATTTACATTTCATCAATGTTTTTGGCTTTGTTAAGAAACCATATCCTCAATTTCATTTAGTTTTAGAGGGTTATCTTTCCACTAATAATCTGGGGACGCAAACAAATAATTATGGACTTGGTTTTTTCTTTCTTTCTTTCAGCCCTGAGGTGTTGTGCATGTTGACAGGATTTTCATAACACTTGTGGTTTCCCTGTATCTCTTTTGACAGCAGTGGAAGGGAGGGTGGGAAATTTGTTTGGTTTACAGGAAATAATTATTGGGAAGATGTAGTAAAATTTTAGACACATCCATTTATAAGGGGGCGCGCGCATTCCTTTCAATTCTAGACTGCAAATTATTTCCTTGCAAAACTAGTACATTTCCATTCTTTTAATTCAGTTTCCTAAGAAAGTGTCATGTTCACTGTTTATATGGTGCAATAAAATCCCAGTCATGAGGGACCTGACAAACTAGGCCAAGGACCGCCAATTATCTTGAGCCAGTAAGCACATAAGACATTTTAAGGCAAGTGCTGTGGATGCTAGTCACAAGATGGCTGCCATAAGGGTGTGGCATAGCACAAAATGGCTGCCCTTGTGGTGTGTAGGAGAGGCAGAGCCAGTGCAAGCGAGGACGAGCATGGAGGAAAGGTTTTCTCCCTGCCTCATAACACAAGAACTCATGGGCACCTAATAAAGCTGAATATTGGAAGATTTAAGGATGGATAGAAGAAAGTACCTCAACACAGCGTTGGCAGTTTCAGTTGTATGGGCTGTTAGTTATAATTACTGTTTGATTTACAGAGAGGCATGGGACTAGCCTCATGGAAAGCTGTAACCATGTGGTGGCAGCATCTGCCGTTTTGGTCCACACCGAAAGTGCTTGTGGAGATGCCAGCACAAGATCTGGTGATGGTCACAAGCTTAGATGGCTTAAAAGTGGGATCTACTAGTTATGAAGACTACGTGCTCCACCTCCATCCAGTATCAGAGGTAGAGATTGCACTCATGCACTGCTTGTTAAGGATAATGGTTAAATTTCCTAAAATGGGAATGTTTGCTTATGTTGAACTGCTGTGTGTTTCCCGCACGCAGTTTTGCTTTAACAAATAGCTCTCATGTGATTGGCTGGCTGAGTCACATGGGAGAGGCATTCTATTCTGTTGTGACTGTTACTCAAGTCACAGTTGTTTTTAACTGCTTTTCTGCTCTATCTCTCTCTGTGTGGGGAGAACGGCTGATGAGAGAGACTGCCCAGGACTGTTTGTGTTAGTGTGATCTGTCTGAAGTGAAACAGACAGAGGAGATCCCTAAACGTTAATAGGGAGAAACCTGAGCATGAGATTGTCAATACATTCTTCTAAGTTATAGAGTGTGTCACATGCCTGTTTACACTCCAGCATAGCTTGCTGGGAACTTCCATTTGTGTACAGTGGTACCTCGGGTTACAGACACTTCAGGATACAGACTCCGCTAACCCAGAAATAGTACCTCGGGTTAAGAACTTTGCTTCAGGATGAGAACAGAAATTGCGTGGCAGTGGCAGCGGGAGGCCCCATTAGCTAAAGTGGTACCTCAGGTTAAGAACAGTTTCAGGTTAAGAACGGACCTCCAGAACGAATTAAGTTCTTAACCTGAGGTATCACTGTATATGAAAGTAAAGTTGGGGTTTTTTGGAAAATATAAAGACTCTGGACATTACATATCATCACAATTTATTTATCTATGTATACACAACATTGCTTGCAGGCTTCCCACAGGGACCTGCTTGGCCAGGGTGAGAACATGTTGATGGGCTTTTGGTCTAATTCAGTAGGATTATATATATATATATTCTCATAAACAATGGTGATATGATTATTGTGAAGCCAGAAACCATCGCCAATGGCCACTCCAATTCTTAGAATCATAGGGTGGTAGTACTCATGCTATGGCCCACAGGCAACAATATATTTTAGTAGCGGATTTCTCTGCCGACGGCTACTAGCCTCCACTGAATGCCACTTTGCTGGGAATCACAAGTAAGGAGAGGTCGTGTCATAGTCCCATTGCCGAGCAACAGTATTGAGGACAAAGAGAAGAGTCTCTGAAATATACCCTTGGCAGCACCAGCATATGAAGTCAAGTCTGTTCTGAGGGTTGGACAAACAGCAGTCCACATAGCCAGACAATCCAGCGGTCGAGGAGTCTGATGTTCACGAAGCCGTGGGTCCAGATGGACAGCAGGAAGCAACAAGGTTGGACCAGGAACCACAGGCAGGGGCGGAGCAAGGTGGGTGCGGTGGTGGGTGCAGACTGCCCTGGATGTCACCTCATGGGGGGTGACAAAATGTTGTGTGGCACAGCCGTAGGGGGGCTTTTTTGTTGAAAAAAAGCTCAACAGCTCTGGCTCCCCCCAAAAATCTGAAAGCAAACCATTTTTGCAGGCAAAAAAATCAATAAAAAAAATCAATGTGTGGTGGGGTGAAAAGGACTTTTTTGCACCGGGTACCACTTGACCTTGCTACGCCACTGACCACAGGCATTGTTTCCATCCCCTGTCTGCTGCTGAAATCTTTGTTTCAGAAGGCTGAAGCCAGCTGGTTCTCATCCATGCCTTCTTCTCCATGTCTTTGAAGGCTGATCAGCTGCAGGTGGAGTCACCCCGCCTGCTCCCATTCCCAGGTTGCTGTTCAGCTGGTGAAGCTGACTCCTTGCCCATGACAGGTTGTTGCATTCAGGTCATGCTTACAGGCTTATCATGGAATCATAGAGTTGGGAGGGACCACAGAGGTCCTTTAGTCCAACCCCTTGCAAGGCTGGAATCTTTTGTCCAATGTGGGGCTCGAACCCACAACCTTGAGATTCAGAGCCTCATGCTCTGCCGACTGAGCTGTCTTCTCACAGGCATCTCGCTGGCCAATGAGAGAAGAGGATGCTAGAATAGATGAGCCCCTGGCTTGATCCAGCAGGGCTTTTCCGACGTTCTTATATTACCCACCGATCGCCCAGCAAACACAAAGCACTTCCATCAATTTGCAGGAGATATTTGCTGATCTCCCTGACTCTGTGTGGTTCTCAGGTGGTCGTGCAAGTTTGCATACATGTTTATCCAGCCTGGGCTGAATCAGCACTTTGCATGCTTACTAGGTCATGAGCCTTCAGGCAGGACCCTGTTTATTTTTATTCCGTGTATATAATGAGCACCAAGCGCAGTGCAGGTACTTTTATAAATATTAAATGGCGATACTTTATTTTAATTTCCTAGGATTGCAGGAGGAATGAGATTTTAATGAAAGGAGACCCAGTAGGAATGTGAGCAACGAGCTCATAAGCACTTGCTGGATTGTGTAGCTACAAGCTACATGGTGGAATGACTACAAAAAGTAGAGTGGGAGGGGGGGGATCCGTTTTGACATGAGGCAGACAATTCCACAGAGCAAGCACATGCCGTATGACAAGTTATCCATTTCTCTTAATATGGGGCTCTGGGGGCATGGGGTGGTGCAGAGAGCCCGAGAGCCTATATATATATATATATTCTTTCCTTGATTTAATGAACAGTTTCCTTGCGTAATGAGCTCCCTCAGTACTTGGGGTAGGGGTGGGGGGAGACAAGAAGTAGTGAGAACAGAATAGCTAGTGCTGAAAGTTTTTAAAATGTAGAAGTCATGATGGATGGAGAGAGAGAGAGAACATCTATCTCCTTACTTCTTGTTGTTTAGTCGTTTAGTCGTGCCCGACTCTTCGTGACCCCATGGACCAGACCACACCAGGAACTCCTGTTTTCCACTGCCTCCTGCAATTTGGTCAAACTCATGCTGGTAGCTTCGAGAACACTATCCAACCATCTCGTCCTCTGTCGTCCCCTTCTCCTTGTGCCCTCCATCTTTCCCAACATCAGGGTCTTTTCCAGGGAGTCTTCTCTTCTCATGAGGTGGCTAAAGTACTGGAGCCTCCACTTCAGGATCTGTCCTTCCAGTGAGCACTCAGGGCTGATTTCCTTAAGAATGCATAGGTTTGATCTTCTTGCAGTCCATGGGACTCTCAAGAGTCTCCTCCAGCACCATAATTCAAAAGCATCAATTCTTTGGCGATCAGCCTTCTTGATGGTCCAGCTCTCACTTCCATACATCACTACTGGGAAAACCATAGCTTTTACTATACGGACCTTTGTTGGCAAGGTGATGTCTCTGCTTTTTCAGATGCTGTCTAGGTTTGTCATTGCTTTTCTCCCAAGAAGCAGGCATCTTTTAATTTCGTGGCTGCTGTCACCATCTGCAGTGATCATGGAGCCCAAGAAAGTAAAATCTCTCACTGCCTCCATTTCTTCCCCTTTTATTTGCCAGGAGGTGATGGGCCCAGTGGCCATGATCTTAGTTTTTTTGATGTTGAGCTTCAAACCATATTTTGAGCTCTCCTCTTTCACCTCCATTGAAAGGTTAATTCCTCCTCACTTTCTGCCATCAAGGTTGTGTTATCTCCTTACTTAACACCTTACATCTCCCACTTCACTGTGCAACAAAAGACAGCCAGGTTTCCTTCCACAGAAGAAAGTACGGCCACATTCGCACACTACATTTCAGCAGCCAGAAACACCATAATCAGACACTGGAGAGACCTGTCAGGAGTAAGCATGGACCAATGGTACCAAATAGTATGGGAAACAGCCTTACTAGAAAAAGGAACCAATAAACTGAAACTGACACGGGGACAAATAGAAGAAGACGCCTTCACCCCAGTATGGCTCCCCTTTATCACATACACAGCCCAACAAGACAATGACAATAATCCACCAACAGCATACAAATCAATTTGGCTAACCTGATCCAAAAAACCCACCCACCCCACTCACACATGAAAACAAAGACCACCACAGCCAATCACAAACAAACAACCACACCCTAGGCCAACCCCAACCTCTCTCACCACCAAAGGAACACAAGTGAATAGCAGAGAACCTGCACAAGCAACGCTAACACAAAACCCCACATATATTAAATAAAATAGTAACATCGCCACCCACCCCCACCCCCACCTATCTCCCCCCCACCTTTTCACTTCTTCTTCCTAATGTCTCGACAAATGAAACTGATCTGTAAAAAATGTTACCTGGAGAAAAAAAAGAGAGAGACATTACACATACTTTTATAAACTAAGGAAAGATTTAATAAAAATACATTTAAGAACTACATTTAAAGGACAATCATAGAATCATAGAGTTGGAAGGGATCCTGAGGATCATCTAGTCCAACCCCCTGCAATGGAGGAAAACACAGCTGTCCCATATGGGGATCAAACCTGCAACCTTGACATTACTGGTGCCACGCTCTAACCAGCTGAGCTATCCAGTGACATCAATTGTAGCACATTTACAAAAGCTACAGTTTCCCCCAAAGAATTCTGGGAGGTGCAGTTTGCTAAGGGTGCTGAGAGTTATCATTCCCCTCCCATATTCAAAGGCCACTTTAGTGATCATGGGGAATCCTGGGAATTGTAGTTTGGTAAGGGCATTAAGCAGGGCTTTTTTCCCAGCCGGAACTCGCTAGAACTTGGTTCCGGCACCTTTCAAATGGGTGCCATTGCCGTTATAAGAGAACAAGGGAGGCAGGCGTTCGTGGTGAGTTCCAGCACCTCTTTTTCTAGAAAAGTAACACTGGCACTTAGAGCTGCTAGGCAACTCCTGTTCCCCTTTCAGAGCTCTCAGGGTGGTTTAAGAGTCAATACTTTTTCAAAGGGAACTGGGAACTGTAGCTCTGGAACGGGAATAGGGGGGGTCTCCTGAAAAACTCTCAGCACCCTTAAGAAACTACAGCTCCCAGAATTCTTTGGGGGAAGCTGCAATTGCTTAAAGCGGTGTGATAGTGCTTTAAATGTATGGCATGCATGTGCCCCATGCGGTCAAAGTTCCTTTTCATTTTCTGGAAGGAAGATGTACAGGCCAAGTACAGGTGGCTGCATCAGTTCTGTGCTGGCAAGAACCCCAGCTGGGACAAACCTGCCTGGCCCAAACTGGATGTAAGGACTCGTTAACAACTCACCTTTTTAATTAAAACTCCCTCTTTCTCTCTTTCCCCTCCCTTCACCCTCTTCCTGCCCCTTGTGTGTCCTGGGCTTTTGCCTTACAAGTCTGAGGGCAGGGCCTGGCTCTCGTTTTTGTTGTTTCCCAGCTCCTGCTGGTAGGATTGTGTCTTGAATTTTAATTGATGTGAGCTGCTTTGGGAGATGTTTTTTCTCTTTTTGAAAAAGTGAGCTGCTGACAAGTGAGCTCTATCGCAGACCCCATCAAGTATCCCTATTTTCCGGGGACAGTCCTGGATTTACAGAAGCTGTCTTGGGGTTTCTGATTTGATCCTGAAATGCCCCACTTTCCCTCTATTTTCATTGGAGGGTAAGTTCGGACATCCCTATTTTCATCTGAGAAACGTTGGTGGGTATGGAGTTATCTGACCCCCAAGCCATCTGAAAGCAGCCCTGTATGGGGAAGGTTTTTTGTTTTTAATGTTTAATGTTTTATTATGTTTTTTAAAATGTTGGAATCCTCCCCTGAATGGCTGGGGCAACCCAGTCAGATGGGTGAAGTATAAATAGGAAAACAACAATAACAACAATTATTATATAGGATGTCCCTATTTTCATGGGAGAAATGTTGAAGGGTATGCTATCGCCAAGCACTGCTACCCTTCAAACTACCAAACAGGGCTGCTAGAAAAACATGGTTGCCCCCTGGATCATGTGAGTCTGTTTAGAAACCTAGTTTGCTAGAAGTTATTCCTATCCCTATTTTCCTCTCTCTCTCTCTCTCTCTCTCTCTCTCTCTCTCTCTCTCTCTCTGTATGTGTGTGTGTTTAAAAACCTTGCCAGTGAGGACAGCAATCCTATTCCCCCAAGAATTACATAGTATTGTTCCCAGGAGCAGCCATTCACGGAGGATAAGTGATTATACATTCTTTATCGACCTTCTGAGAAAAATACAAAACATTAAACAAAGCCACAGAGCCTTGCGAACTACCCAACCTAAGATGAACTTGTAATGTCTAGTTTCAATAGGTTTTTCAAATGCTTAACTCACGTCTTTTAGATAAGTTCATGAAGATACCAACAAAAGGTAAGTTCGGTGTTATTCACAATACCAAGAGATGCTAGTGGAGTTGTAGATAGATGTTAATGAAGTTGTAGATGACAAGGTGCTGGCGTTTTGCACCTGTTTCGCCCTGGCAGTCCAAGTAATCAAGAGGCCGCTGTTCGCCCCCGATGGGGCCCTTTTTACTGGGGCTTGCAGGTAGCCCACTCCCAAGATAGTTTTCCGGGCTTCTTCAGTGGTCTAATCTCAAAGTCTTGATACGTATATTGATAGTCAGTCTTATAGAGAATACTCTTTTTTGGCTTAGGCTTAAGAGACTGATTTGCTAGAACTTGTTCCTATCCCTATTTTCCTCTATATGTGTGTGTGTGTGTGTGTGTTTTTACAAAACCTTGCCAGTGAGGACAGCAATCCTATTTCCCCAAGAATCCCCCCAGGAATTACATAGTCTTGTTCCCAGGAGCAGCCATTCCTTGAGGATGAGGCTATCAATGACTACTAGCTATGATGGTTATGCTCTGCCTTAACGGTTGAAGGCAGTGATGCTTCTGAATAACAGTTGCTGGAAACTGCAGGAGGGGAAATGTCTCTTCCACTCATGTCCTGCTTGAAGGTTTCCCACAGGCAACTTGGTTGGCCATGGTAAGAACAGGATGCTGGACTAAATGGGTCACTGGCCTGATCTAGCAATCTCTTCTTCGATTCTTAACCTGCCCCAGGATTACAGCTGGAGTCACTATATTACTAGTGGAAAATGACAGCAAGGCGTATTGGGTTGCTTCAGAAAGGAAGATAAAACTCCAGGCCACTTCATTGTTAAGACCAAAAATAAAAATTAAAAAATGCATTAATTTCCTCCCCAAATTGATGATTAGCTCCCCTCCCCACTTTAGCAAGGGATGAATCATGCTGCAAAAAGACAGCAGAGAGGGGAATGTATTCAGCCCAGCACTAAAACACAGGACTAATGTTTTTATCAGTAGCATTTTTATTCCTAACAGTTGTCCTTTTGTTTTAAATCTTATCCTCCTACAATATAATAAAGGGGTTTTTTTTGTTTTGTTTAAAAAGCACCACCATTTAATATTCATAAAAGCACCTGTTCCGCACTTGGCATTCATTACCCACTGCAGAAAAATAAAAAGGATTCTTGCCTTTAGGCTCATAAACTAATTTCCTTTATCCAATTTTAAGCGCTGGGCTTCTATGGAAAAGCAGTGGATTTGGCTGGTCCTCGTTCAAATATCAACTGCTTCAGGTTATGTAACAGTTTGCTTGCTATTATTTGGTTCTTTGCTTTCTGAAGTGCATTTGTAAAAAACAGATAATCACCCCAAAATACAAGCATTTTGACTTTGTCTTGATATCCTACCGCAAAAGGAATTACGGAAACTCACTGAGGAGCAACAATAAGAATGTAGTAAGAAGAGCTCTGCTGGATCAGGAGAGAGAAAGAAGGGAAGCAAGAGCATTCCATCAGCCCTCCCTAAATACATGTTGTATCAGGCTCTGCCCTCCATCACCTGTTGCATGGCAGCAGCTATTCCATCTGGCTGCAGCAGATAGATAGATAGATAGATAGATAGGAACCAGGACCATGCTTTTCAGCACTACTGAGAGTCCAGCTCCATTTGACTTCTCTTTTCCCTGAATTATCTCCATTCCAGCTGGTTATCCACCCACATTGGGCAGCCCAGACACAGAAGTCCCCCTCCGAGGGTCTTCTGCTAGTCCCCCCACTGTGAGAAGTGAAGTTACAGGGAACCAGGCAGAGGGCCTTCTCTGTAGTGGCACCCACCCTGTGGAACACCCTCCCTTTAGATGTCAAGTAAATAGCTATCTGACTTTTAGAAGACATCTGAAGGCAGACCTGTATCAAGAAGTTTTTAATGTTTGGTGTTTTATTATGTTTTTATATATCTATATGCTGTAAGCGGCCCAGAGTGACTGGGGAAACCCAGCCAGATGAGTGGGGTATAAACAAAATAATTACAACAACAACAACAACAACAACAACAACAACAACAACAACAACGGAACCCTGCTATTTATGTTTAAGAACTGGCACCTGTTTGCTTGCTTTCGTCTTCCGTCCTCATGCCTTTTTTCCTTTTATGCCATTTCTTTTTGATAATAAGCCTACAGGCAGGGACTGTTTTTCTACTGACTGTCTTTCTTAAAGGGAACCTTTCTGACTGAACAGGGTGAGTAAAAATGCTTTAGTTAAATAAATGCGGGTGGGAATTGCTTCCACAACCGCTGAGCAAAATGACCCCAAGGAAGAATGATGGATGTTCTACTGCTAAACCTGAATATATGAGAACACTGAAAGAAAGGGAAGAGATTCAAGGAGGAGGAAGCAGAAAACAAAATGGGCAACATTTGCTCTAAATTGATAAATAAAATAATGAAGGTTACTGACTCCCAAAAGCCATCTCTTGCGGTGTCAGTGTTTAAGAATAACTCCTCGTACCTCTTTTGCAACTCAGTGCCACGAAAAAGGGAAAAGAAAATGTATTGTTTCATCGCTTGGGTGCATTGATTTACTGACGTGATTTATCACCATTGGACACCCGGCCCAACAAATCATGTTTTGCTGACACCGTCAGCTGACATAACTACGTTGTCAGTTCCCAATACTAAAAGGTAATGGATGGTGATTATTTTACTGTAATGGCTTTAATCAGCACTTTGAATGACTTAGCCGTGGTGTCATAATGGCGCAGCTCGTCGTTCATCACGGCAGCATTTTGTTTACCAACATCATCTATAATTCATTCGATTGTTGACAGTCATTGGCAAACGCCGCTCAGGCAAGCGTTTGTCGGAATGGAAGATCTGCACAGGGCCAGCATACTAACTAGTCCCCGGATGATCTAATAGCGTCACCATTTGTCCATTCAATGTAGAATGCAGCCTATTTTTGTTTCTACGCTAATGCATACACTAGCGGAAGTCAACGTAGCTCCCTCCAGATGTTGTTGGACTTCATGGAGAGCCAATAAACTGAAGCATAATCAGATAAGACAGATAATCTGTGAGTGGCATGGATGGAGGTTCCCTGCTCCTGAGGGGGTTATTCTCTCTCTTAAGGAGCAGGTATGTCGCTTGGGGGTGCTCCTGGATCTGTTGCTGTTGCTTAAGGTCCAGGTCGCCTTGGTGGCACGGAGTGGTGGCCCACCTACATTCCTATCTGGACAGGGATAGTCTAATTTCTGTGGCTTAAGCTCTGGCCACCTCTAGGTTGGATTACTGCAATGCATTCTGTGTGGGGCTGCCTCTGAAGACGGTTCGGAAACTTCAGCAGGTGCAAAATTTGACGGTGAGGTTGCTCACCAGAACAATGGTTTGAGCATATAACATCAGTGCTGACCTGACTGTGTTGTTGTTGTTTAGCCGTTTAGTCGTGTCCGACTCTTCATGACCCCATGGACCAGAGCACGCCAGGCACTCCTGTCTTCCACTGCCTCCCCCAGTTTGGTCAAACATGCTGGTAGCTTCGAGAACACTATCCAACCATCTCGTCCTCTGTCGTCCCCTTCTCCTTGTGCCCTCCATCTTTCCCAACATCAGAGTTTTTTCCAGGGAGTCTTCTCTTCTCATGAGTACTGGAGCCTCAGCTTCAGGATCTGTCCTTCCAGTGAGCTCTCAGGGCTGATTTCCTTAAGAAAGGATAGGTTTGATCTTCTTGCAGTCCATGGGACTCTCAAGAGTCTCCTCCAGCACCCTAATTCAAAAGCATCAATTCTTCGGCGATCAGCCTTCTTTATGGTCCAGCTTTCGCTTCCATACATCACTACTGGGAAAACCATAGCTTTAACTCTATGGACCTTTGTGTACTGGCTGCCAATTAGTTAGCTGCTGGTTAGGGAGTGTGCCATGCTGCAACCCTTTGTTGCAGGGCCCCATTTGTTTGAGACCCCTTTCAATTGTATATCACTTTTGGACATCCGAACTACTACACTTCACAGGTTCTTTCGTGTCTTGGCACTGTGGTTAAGAGTTTCTGAATGATCGCTGCGCATTACTGCCATGAATCACATGCGCAGCTGCACTTAGCTGGGCACCGTTTCCCCGTCAAAAGCACAGATCTGGCTTTGAAGTGCATCCTCTTTTCAAAAGATGAAATATGGCTTCATTCTGCATCGTTGCCTTTGGTTCTCCCCCTTGTTTTGCTGATCACTACGCTGTTTCATTGGTTGACACGTGGAGCTGTTTGATATGTTCTTCTTTATATTGAATGTTGGAAGCTGTCCTGTTTTCATGGGGAAAGGTGAGGGTATCAATAGTAAGACAATATAACAAAATAATGAAAAAGTGACTGACGCCGCTCCCTCCAAATTTAGACACTTGGCTATGAATGTTTTCTCCTGTATCATGGAATAATATATTCCAGGTCTCGTTTGGGCTCAGTAGTGAAATCATTACTATGATTGCAAGTTGAATGCTTAAAATCAGATCCATGCCTCATGTCTTCTTCAGTGGAATGGCCATTTTCCGTCTTCAGAATCCTGATCATGTGCAAAGTGCTTTTCCCTCCGAGATATACTTGGAGTCAAGTGTGAATTTCATGCTCTTGATTCAGCTCGAAGTAGCAATGAATGAAACTTCCCCCAAAACGTCTAGCTATATATACATTATTTACACAATGAGCCCCATGTGATTGGCTAATTCTGGGCTGCTCCGGGCCAATCGGGTTGCGGATTCACTTCCTCCAGAAGCCTGATTGGCTGATCCTGCAGGCCAATCAGTTTGCTGATTCACTTCCACCTGGAGCTGGATTGGGTGGCTCCTGTGGACCAATCAGACTGCTGCATTCTGGATCCTATTGTTCTAGGATTCAGCTCAGTACATAACACCATAGCTTGTCCTATTAAATTAGAACTGAAGAGCTCCTTGGGCACATGTAAAAATTTCCTGAAGGCATATTCCTTTCCTCAACTATTTTAAGATCAACAAGAACACAATAGCTGCTGTGGATTTAGCCGTGATCCCTGCATTGCAGGGGGTTGGACAAAATGATCCTATGGGTCTCTTCCAACTCCACAATTCTATGAGTCTGTCATTTCATCCTCAATAATGAGATGCTGAAGTTTTATTATAAATCATTTATTTAAAAAATAGTCCATCCATCTCCTCCTCCTCCTCAAAAGAAAGCTTTTATAAAATTCTGTGCTATGCACTTTCTGGGATTATTCATGTGTCAGCTTCCTGGACTCTCTTTTCCCTAATACCTGTTAGCTTGTCAGTATTTCCTTGTATCAAGCAGCCCATCTGTATCTATTTACACAAATCCAATATTTATAGACTCGGAGCCTGATGTTCCCATACACTGTTTTGACATGCATGTAACTCACACAGGGTGGAATCCTGTCTCGGCCGAGCTTACCTATTGACTTCAGTGGACTGAGATTGGAACTGCACTCACACAGAGAAAGCATGCAGCTCACACTCAGTTATTTAAGAAGACTTTTAAAATTCTACCCTGTGCCACACTGGAACCTCTGTTCCAGCTGGAAGCAGAAGCAACCTCACAGAGAAGATCTGGGGCATGTTTGCAAACGGTTCTGTTCTCCACAATCCATTTTAGATCTGCTACTCGAATAAATTCTTTATAGCCAAAGCTCCGGTTCACACTATAGAGTTCTCTAGGAGGTGAGAAGCCCCTGAGAGAATGCAGTAGTTAGTGATTCTGGCTGCTACTGCTACATCATCTAAGGCAGGGGTCAGTCCACTGTCCCTCAGACCTTTTCGGGGGCCGGACTATACAGTCATACCTTGGGTTGAAGTAGCTTTGGGTTAAGCATTTTCAGGTTGCACTCTGTGGAGACCTGGAAGTAATGGAGCATGTTACTTCCGGGTTTCGCCGCTTGCGCATGCTCAGATGCTCAAAATGATGTCACGCACATGTGCAGAAGTGGCGAATCGTGACCCGCGGGTTGTGTTCGCTTCAGGATGCGAACGGGGCTCTGGAACGGATCCCGTTCGCATCCAGAGGTACCATTGTATTTTGGAAACGAATTCCTATGCCCCACAAATATCCCAGAGATGCCTTTTAAATAAAAGGACACTTTCTACTCATGTAAAAACACGCTGATTCCTGGACCGTCCGCGGGCCGGATTTAGAAGGCGATTGGGCCAGATCCGGCCCCCGGGCCTTAGTTTGCCTACCCATGATCTAAGGTGGCATATCCTTGCCACCGTCTTGTAGAGGAGCTACTCCCTGGTACATCTCTGCTGCTATAAGAAGCCAGCAGGGGTGAACTTTTTATGAAATCAGCAGCGTAGCATTGGTTGTCAGTGCCTGGGATGGGTGCGCGGGCATTGGGTGGGGTTTGTGTGTGCCAGGATGGGGTGGGGGCCCGGCCGGCCAATGTGGCCCTTGACACTGAGTTGGGCCACACTGGTGATGCCTGGTTTGCGCCCCCACAAAAATTGTGTGCCCAGGGCCATGGCTCCCCCCCCAGCACCCCCCACGCTTTGGCCCTGTATAAAACTAATGAAGCTTAAGCTTCAGGGCTCCTAAGAGTCACATAAGCGACGCTAGTCCACATTGCTTAAAACTTTGGGGTCTACCACGACTCAAATTGATTAATTTTGTTGTTGTATATATTTCTGCAAAACCAGTGAGGTCCCAACGAAAGAAGAACGGCAACTTAAGCTGATGGAATACATGCAGCTGGCGGACTGAACATATAGAAGAAGATAACAAGAAGAACATACGTTTAGAGAAGTGTTATGCATTGGGTTTAACACATGTTACAAGGCGCATTGTAACCAATCGTATAAACGTTGGTAGACGAATGTTCTAATGGCAAGTAAGCGCATGCACTTTCAACTGTCAACGGTCAGTTCACGCTCAAATTTATTATTGTGTTGTCCAGTCAGTTTGGTTCTTGTGTTCCTATGAGTGAGCTGTTGTCACTGACAAATGTTGAATAAACTTAGTTGAGGAACTTATACTGCCTTGGGCTTCTGACTTTTCCGAACATTTAACAAGAAGATTGGAAAATGTTTATTTGAATATATGGGGGGGGGGGAATTGTGTACACTTGAAAACGTTGGCAGCGTTAAGATAAATTCAACAGTGTAAATCAGTTTTGATGGATAAAGGAATACTGAATTGTTTAGTAGTTTATGCAAAAAATGCAGGGATTTATGATATGCAAAATGAACCATGGAAAGAGAAGAAGAGAAGTCATTGATATTTTAAGGATGTTTAAATGAGTATTCTAAAATGAAAAACAGAAAAAGTAATAAAAATTATATATAATGTTGTTGTTGTTGTTGTTGTTGTTGTTGTTGTTGTTGCTGTTGTAGTATATACTGTATTTTTCGCTCTATAGGACACACCTTTTCCCCTCCAAAAATGAATGGGAAATGTGTGTGCGTCCTATGGAGCGAATGCAGGCTTTCGCTGAAGCCTGGAGAGCGAGAGGGGTTGGTGCGCACCGACCCCTCTCGGTCTCCAGGCTTCAGGAAACTTTCTGCAAGGCTTGCGGATATCTGCATCCTGAAGACCGGGGAGCACTGCACAGCGCACCCCGGGCTTTGGGCAGATATCCGTAAGCCTGGGGAGCCCGGCGGGAATTCCCGCTGGGCTCAGAAGGCTTGTGGATAGCAGCAAGCTTCCATCCCGCTGGCTGTCTCGGCTTCTTTGCTCTTTGGGAATGGGGGGGGGGAATATTCCCCCCCCCAAAAAAAACCCCTAGGTGAGCCCTATGGTCCGGTGCGCCCTATAGAGCGAAAAATACGGTATTTCAACAATCCCAAAGTTTGAGAGTCAGTAGCACAGATGTAAAGGAGAAGTGTTGTGGTAAGTTGGCTGCTCTACTGTGGCTAATGCATTCCTCACCCCATTTTTATCAGAGGTTAAGACCCTAGAGGAATAACTTTGAGTCTCCCAGGTCTCAGTTCAACACCGAACCACGACACCACAAGGGCTCTCATGGTGCAAGCTGCGTCTGCTCATTGTGTGAAAGCGTTTTCACACTTGTTGATTTGCACGGCTCAGATACTGCATTCACAGGTACACAATCTACACACCTGTTGCAAGTTGCAAGTGAATACCTGTATGACTGCACAGAGCAACTGTTCATATATACAGGTATGCAGATTGTACACTCACTGAATGTAATGTGTGAATGCCTCTGCACTCAGCTATGATTATGAATGGCATTCCTGGACTGGATACAAATCGGCCTTTCACCACATGGCTAGTTTCTTTGCTGCTTCTCGGTAATGTCCAGAGCTGCTCCGAGGTGAAAGGGGTTGTTGATGCCGCAAATCTGGGGCACGGAATTAATGGCCCACCTGAAATATCCTCATCACCTTCCTTCAACTTAGCAGATTTTCTTTCCTTCTCTTGTGTTGATTTTGTTCATCTCAGAGATGGAATTCATAAGCAGATTAGGATCGTGTTGGAGCCTTTGTTGCCATGGCAACACCATGCGGCAGTTATATGTCTTTCCTTCAAATCTTGATTCTGAGGTGACTGGTTATATTTATTCTTGTCCTTTGCAGAATCTCACAGCGTGATGGAAAAACTCATGAAGGTACAGGAAAATGTTAGGTTAGAGGAAAGTTGTGGCAGCCCAAAGTTGTTTCCGTGAGGCGCAGGTTAAGTGTTAAATTCATTACTTTTGACTCAGAAAACCAGAGTTCAGATTCATTTTAAATTACAGGGGTTTTGCTTTTGTTTTAAAAAGAAATTATTTCAACTGGTTTCCCATGGGTGTTGGGCACTGCCCTGCCTACCCTCCCCCTGCCCCCAGGCATAGTATAAGAAGCCAGAACAGTTCATTCAAGAAAAATGCCTTTCTCAGAGTTTGTCAAAATGAGTTTCCCTAGTAATATATAATGGGTTGAACCAGGTCATTTTCACCATGGTTGTAAACTCAAATCTGGACTGTATCCCTTCAGATTGCAGGTGGGAAGACTCATTTGACTGCAAGTGGCTTGAAGTCACCTACAAACGTTCTTGGCAGAGTAGAGATTTGAGCCTGGATCTCCCTTGATCCAGCATTTGACCACTAGACACCACTGTGTTCTCCTAATGGTCATGTAGGTGGGCTCAGTCCTCAATCATTCCCATTAAAAGTCTGTGACCTTTGTCTTTCTAGGTGGTAGATAATCAGTGATTTTTGGAGGGAGCTTGCATGTTTGGTATTGAGCTCTTCTCTTCCATATCCTCCATCCACATCCTTAGAAGGACAGAAAAGGGTGTTTTGAGAACCTGGCAGGATATGAGTTCAGCCTTCTGCTTCCATTTCTCTGTCACGCAACAGTGGCTGAAGTAAAACAGCAACGAAAGTCCACTCTTTCTCCTTACAGTGATGTCAAGAATGTCCAATGAAATTTCAAGAACCATGCCATCAACACTACCACCATGCCATCATCCAACTCTAGTATTCCTCTAAGCAGAAAATTATAATTATGAGCATGGCCCTCCTTGTGTTGTTGTTGTTTAGTCGTTTAATCGTGTCCGACTCTTCGTGACCTCATGGACCAGAGCATGCCAGGCACTCCTGTCTTCCACTGCCTCCCGCAGTTTGGTCAGACTCATGCTGGTAGCTTTGAGAACACTGTCCAACCATCTTGTCCTCTGTCGTCCCCTTCTCCTTGTGCCCTCCATCTTTCCTAACATCAGGGTCTTTTTCAGGGAGTCTTCTCTTCTCATGAGGTGGCCAAAGTATTGGAGCCTCAGCTTTGGGATCTGTCCTTCCAGTGAGCACTCAGGGCTGATTTCCTTAAGAATTGAGAGGTTTGATCTTCTTATGGTCCTCCTTATCCTCCCATAATTCCTGGCCACTAGGCTGATGGGAGCAACTTCTAGAGGGCCAAAGTTCCCTTGCACCTTCTTTAGAGTCAACGGGGCCACTTTCAAAGCCACAGCACAGATATTTGCTAAGTTCTCCTCCCGTTGCTGGCTAAAGTCGGCTAGATCTTCTACCACTGACAACCCACTTTTAAAGTTGCGCCTTTCAAGCTGTTGAACTGCCCTTCACCATCTCGGCGTCCTTAGCCTCCCTCAAGAATTCTGAGCTGTCAAGCTGATTAGCCGCCAACGGCATTAATTCTAAAAGTTTCGGGCTTCACTTATATTGTCTGCGCAGCATTACCTTGCCGAAGTATTAACCCAAGCCAAATTATTCACTCGTGAAACTGCTGTCAAGCCACGCCACCATCTTGCTTGCTGTCAAAGCCACACACCCCAAGGAGTCTCTGATTCTAGCTTTTCCCCCCTTGCCTAACTTTTGTGGGGTTTTGTTTTTTTGTTTTTGGAAGAGGCAGCGATTCCTCTAAGCAGCAGAACAGGCACTCACCAAAAGATCTGCGTAGACAACAGGGGAGCCAGCTAATTACATTTTAATTATGAAAAATGATTTGCGTTAAACTATAATTTCTGGTAGCAACCACACGGTGGCAATCATGTTCTTTGCTATCAGATTAATGACGGGGATGGATCACAAGGTCACTTTGCGAGCAGATAAATATTTGCACCGATCCTACAATCCTTTCTTCCTTTTCCGTTATTATTCTGATTTCTCTTATTAGCGGCGATGAATCAGGGAACTTATCATAACATCCCACCTGCGCCTGATTTCTGCAACTGTTAATCTGGTCCCTTCGCTTACTTCCATTAGCGAGCCTTGTTGCAGCCTTTTTTCATTTCCCTCTGTGTAGGGAAAAAAGGAAAGTTATTCTGTGATGTCATCTTTGCATTCATTTCAGCCGAGCGCTTCGCATCTAAGATTTGCTATTTCACAGAATAGTACAGGTATCTGACTGAATGGCAACTGATAAACACAAGAACCACAAGTAGCAAAACCCACCCCTGCGGATTGGCAGCAGCATTCCTGGGCCTCGTCCTTGAGGCAGCGGAGGCAGTTATTTAATATTTAACCATCCCTTTGATCGTTTCCTTAAAATTTATTTACCCAGGAAAGATGCACCATCTGGCTGGAGGGGAGTGAAGCAGCCTTTTCTCCTCCTTTCTCCTAAGCGAGATGGATAGAAGGTCAGGAGATGGATCTTACTTTTAAACCTCTTCCAGCCGGAGCTCAGAACTACGATTGAAGCTTCCAGGGCACCATCACGCCGGTCAAAGCTTTAGCAGAAGCGCTGATCGCTAGATCTACAACTGCTGTTGCTTCATCTGTTAATTTGCAGTTGTTTTGCTGCAATGGTTTTTTTTTTTAAAAAAAAAACTATACTAAAATGGGCACAGTTTGTGCTTTAACGTAACATTCAAATAAAGTAGCACCCCATTTTGTAAGCAATGTTTTAATGTTAAATACAAGAAATAGAGCTGTAACAGTGCATGGGGTGCATCACACACACACACACACACACACATGATATATATGTGAATGTAAGAAATATATGGAATGGAACATTAACCTAGCCCCAGTGCTTTTTTTCTGAGGGGTCACAGGGGGATGCATACCCCTAAACATTTTGTGAATCTTTGTACTTTGGTCCATTTACTGTATTTGTTTTCCCCAATTTGAATGATATGGTGATTTTCTTGAGTCCAAATGAGAATATCCCTAAACATATTTTAGAAAGAAAGCACTGCCTAGACCAGGGGTCAGCAAACTTTTCAGAAGGGGGCTGGTCCACTGTCCCTCAGACCTTGTGGGGGGATCGAAATATGTATATATTGTATATATATATAAGATATATTTTATATATATTGGGGGAATGAACGAATTCCTATGCTCCACAAATAACCCAGAGATGCATTTTTTTTAAAAAGGACACATTCAACTCAGGGTTGCCATGGGGTGGCGGTGGGGGGGGGGAGTGGTTGAGCGTTTTTTAGTTTTGCCCAAACTTGTTGAGCTTGCTTTTTTAAAATAATAATAATTCCAGAGTGTTTTAACAGCCAATCTCTCTTCCCAGGGATCTCTGAGAATTATAACTCTGTGAGGGGCAGTGGCGGAGGGGTGCGGAGGGATAGCCACTCAAGTGCATCTAGGGGCAGAGCTGTAGGCGCTTGTCTTCCAGGCAAAATGAAAAGCGCACCCGCCGATCCCGCTTCCTTCCTCTCCCCTTCCCACCCCCCTCTGCTCACCTGCCTCCTTCCCGTCCTCTCCCCTGTTTGCCCACCTGCCTCCTCCAGCCAGCAGCACGAGGCAATGGTGCCATGCCCACCCGCGACTCCCAAGCCTACCGTGAGCCGTCGGGGGAAGAGGGGAGCTGCTGCGCCACTTTGCCGCTTTGCCGGAGTCGCGGTCGGGTGGTGCACCGAATGTCACCCCCCCAGGGATGACACCCAGGGTTCCTCTGCCACTGGTGAGGGGCCCTCCTAACAACTTGTCAGCACCTAATACCACCACCTCTCTCCCTCTCCCTCCCTCCACCCCCCTCTCTCTTTCTCTGTGTCTGAATTGATTTTAGAATACATTTCAATTACAGTGGTACCTCGGGTTAAGTACTTAATTCTTTCAGGAGGTCCGTTCTTAACCTGAAACTGTTCTTAACCTGAGATACCACTTTAGCTAATAGGGCCTCCCGCTGCCGCCACGCAATTTCTGTCCTCATCCTGAAGCAAAGTTCTTAACCCAAGGTATTATTTCTGGGGTAGCGGAGTCTGTAACCTGAAGCGTATGTAACCCGAGGTACCACTGTAATTGATTTTGATTTTATGTAAACTGCGTTACTTTTACTGTTGTCAGCCGCTCTGTGCCTGGCTTCGGCTGGGGAGGGTGGGATATAAATAAAAAAATATTTATTATTATTATTATTATTATTATTATTATTATTATTATTGGCAGGGAGAGGCAAACGGGAAAAGATGAAAGAACAGAAACCAGCAGTTATAGAGAGCCTAAAGAGATTATCAGCAGCTTGTTGTCCGACAGTCAGTCTGACGTAGAGGGGGAGGAGGATGAGCCTGGGACAAGTCATGCTGTACACAGAGGAAGTAAGGGGAGGAGTTTTCGCAGACTTGCATGCTGGGTGCGGAAAAGGAGGAAGTAACATTAGAGGGAGCAACTGCGCACAAGGGGAAGGAGGTTAATGGAAATGCTGGAGATGTACGTTTGAACTTTGTCAAATAAATCAATTGTTTGGGACTGGCTGGGAGCCCAGAGTCTTATCTATGGCCAGCTGGACAGCACTAAGCCTCTGACAATTATTATTATTATTATGTGTGGAGCAGGCTCCCTGTTAATAAATGTCTGCCGCCTGGTGTGTGTGTGTGTGTGTGTGTGTGTGTGTGTGTGTGACAGTAATGATGAGGTGACAGGGCCACCAATGGCATGACTACATCCTTCCCTTCACCGGGGCGAAACTAAGCTTTATTTCACCCAGGTCAAAGACCCAGTTTGGCACCCACCCACGTGCATTTTCGTACACACACATACACAAGCTGGGAGCCTCAATTGCGCTCCTCTGGAGGTTTCACCCAGGGCAACCCCCCCCCCATAGCTACAGCTCTGCCTCCACACAATTCCCACTGCACGAGGTTCAGACATCCTGATCAGTCACAGCCTCGGCAGATCTTCTTCGTTCCTAGATGATCCTCCCTCAAGTCTGAGGAGCGAAGTGATGAAGATAGCCTCGTGTTCTCTTTGTTTCTGACAGCGCTGCAAAGCTTGTCTTGTGGTGAAGTACGTAGCCACAGGCAAAGAAGGTCTTGGTGCTCTTCGCGCAGCTTAGATGTGCCACAAGAGTGATAATAAGATTAGCTCGCAGAAACCAAAGCGTTTGACCTTGGTCTCTGCTATAAGACTTTATGCACCAGGGAAGTGTTAATGGTATGTCTAAATCCACTAGTCTTTAAAAAAGATTAAGTGCCAGAGGAAGTTGTATTTCCTTCACTAAGGCTGGTGTTTGTCCCAGGATAGCAGTGGGAAGCAACACCCCCCTTTTTTTGGACGCACCGCTTTGCAGACATGGATTGGCTGTTTTAAAGGGTCTCCCTTCAGCACCCACAGGTGGGAACATCACCCATATCTACAGAAGGGAAGGCCTGGGGAAAAATCGGAAAAATTGGGGGGGGGGGACCAGGGTTTCCCCTGTTTTTTCTGTCCTCCCCCTTTTTTTCAATTTTTTTCCAGTCTTTTTTTCCAGAAAAAATGGGGGTAAAAAAATCAAACCAAAAACCAAAACAGTTTGATATAGTTTGGATATCCCACCCCCCCTAATTTTTCTGGGGGGAAAATGGAAAAAAACCTGTCACCCTCCCCCCAATTTTTCCGGGACCTTCCCATCTCTACCTGTATCCATGAATAGCAACTAAGGTGGATGCAGGAACAGGTTCACAGAGTCATCTGGGTAAAGTAACTATCCCAATGTAATAATAATTCCCAAGGAATATCTGTCAGAGACAGGCAGAGGAGTCACTCCTCAGGTTTCCCCACAAGTGCCTGCTGTTGCCATGTCTCTCAAACTTTCCCTCAGGAAAGGATACAGTGGTACCTCGTGTTATATACGCTTCAGGTTACATACGCTTCAGGTTACAGACTCCGCTGACCCAGAAATAGTGCTTCAGGTTAAGAACTTTGCTTCAGGATGAGAACAGAAATCGTGCTCCGGCGGCGCAGCAGCAGCAAGAGGCCCCATTAGCCAAAGTGGTGCTTCAGGTTAAGAACAGTTTCAGGTTAAGTATGGACCTCCGGAACGAATTAAGTACTTAACCCGAGGTACCATTGTACACTTCTTTGATTTAAAGGTAATGACCGCTCCCCGCTTAAAACGGGGGGTGTCCTTTGCGTGGACGCTCGCAGCCCCTAGATCTGGAGCGGCTCCAACAGCATAGGCTTGGTTTGCCTTCCCTCAGGTGGGATACCTGGAGGTCTCCGCCTACCTCAGTCAGTTGTCCAATCCCACCTGGGCGTAGCGTTGCCTAGGAGACCAGGCCAGGTAGGGCAGGGATTACCTGCCCACACAGCAGAGTGAACGCGATCTTACCTGATCGGAAGTCCTCACTTGGCTCCAGAGCTTCACCCACCCTACCCACCGCTCCATGTTACTGTCTATATTTGTCAGAGTCAACTTGTTCTGATCACAGGTTTTGCAGGTTAACTTTTCTTCGCAGGTATGCGGGCGCTGCTACGTTAAGGTTGCTGTTAAAGGGCCGGAAAGGAATTTCCCTGCATTGGCAGGTTTCGCCTTTCCCGTAGCAAAACGTCACAACTTTGGCGGTATCAGGCCTTGGGCGGAATCCTTTAGTCCATTTTCCTCTTTGCGGCGGCGATACCAGGGTTCTCCGTTAAAGGGGTTTCTGAAGGGAGGCTTTGACCGTACGCCAAGAGGTCGTAATTGCTCTCCCCTGCGGCGGCGGCGTAACGGAGGCGGCTATCTCTGGTTGAACATATGTTCTCCAGAGCCGGCCCATCCCCCCCACATACACACTGGATAACCCTGATGCTCCCTAGATTCCCAGCTGGGGACTGGGGAGGGATAACGCCCAATGCCTGAGCCAAGGTCTACCCACATTTGAAATTTAATAAAGTTGTAGCCAATTTAATCCCATAGCACGTTGTCATGAGTCGTTATTCCACATGACGGGGGGACCGCACGGGATCTGGGGACTCCGCCTGTCCACGCAATAGTGAAAGTAAGAAATGTATATTAAGTGAATAGATTGGAAAATTTTCAGTCATGATTGATGGAAGTCCAAAAAAATTGTATAAGATGTAAAAGTATGTTTAATTACTTGAAAATGATATGTTAAAAACTAATAAAAGTATATATCTATATGAAAGACAGGACTTTTTACCTCATACTCCGAGATCTTGTTCTCCGGATGCCTTAGGTATCACAACACCCAACAGAACCTGTGCCAAATATCTAAAGGATCTACTACTCCCCTCCCACCGAAGAGCTTTTATGCTCACGAGATTAACTGCTTTCCCTTCTGCAGTGACCAATGGCAGATTCACACATACTCCATATCAAGCCTGTCTGTGTGCCTGCAACCAAAGAGAATCTGATTCAATGGACCACATTCTCTTAGACTGCTCTTTACACAGCAGACCTCGCCAACTGATGCTGAGCAAAATGTTGGACCTCTGGCATATAACTCCAAGAAGAAACCGAACAAGGTTTCTCCTGGCAGATCAGGACAAAGATATCACTGCTCCTGTAGCTTCCTTTTTATTTTACTTTTTTCAAAAAAAAATAAAATTATTCATTTTATAACACAAATAAACAACACAAACAAAAAAACAAACAACACAAACAAATTCTTCTCTTATCCTTATTTTTTCTAAACATTGTTAGGTGGGCTTCCCCAAGTCCCCCCTATCTGATTTTCATTTTACTTCATCTTTAGCAGTTTACATATGTCATAATTTCTAACATTTTTTTTATCACGCTTACTTTTTCCATAAAAATCTACACATTTTATCACTTACAAATAATACTATTTTAGAATACACTATCTTCTAACCCTACAGGCTATATCCACTTCCAAAGCTATTCTAAGATTTAAATATTAACATCTTTTTTCAAATATTCCTTAAACTTCTTCCAATCTTCTTCCACCGTCTCTTCTCTCTGGTCTCAGAGTCTCCCAGTCAGTTCGGCATGTTCCATATAGTCCATCATCTTCATCTGACATGTAGCTTCCTTTTAGCCACAATTTTACCCGAAAGGGTTCCTAACGAACCATCCCTTTGGAGAACAGACATATATAAGCAGAATATATAAGTGCACACAATCCCAGTGTGACCTATAACCTTTGACAGCTTCGCCTTTGTCCTTTTAATTATCCCAGTGATTTTCAATGTTTTATACTGTGATGCCAATAAAGGTATTTGGTATTTGATATTGGATTCTATACTAACTCTGCAGGGCTTCTGACATGGGACACTCCCAGCCCTACCTGTTATGCGGTTCTGTTTTATGGGCCCATATTCTGCCCACATTTCCGGTCTGAAGAGCTCACAAGTGGCTGCATTGGACTGTGTAGCGTCTGTGTGGATTTGCTCCAAGAATCCCTTGCGCATTTTCCTGGAGAGGACAAAACAGATTTCACAAACTGCTGCTAGAACCCGATCAGAAAGATTTCCCCCTGCCCCCTTTCCTTTTCCACCAGAGAAGCCCGGTCTTCTTTTATTCTTTCAAAAGTCCTTTCCGTATTTAGCGGGAGCGGCAGCCAAGGCGCTGGGAACATTCCCACAAAGGCAGCCATTTCTCTGGGCCTACCTTCTCATGTGGAGTGCTCTCCCCTTTGGTTCAAAGTGGTCCCTCTTATCTTTTACTATTCCTGCCGCCGCGGAAAGAAAACAGCGTGGGGCCCCCCAGAACGCTAATGTGCACCAACCAGCGAAGAAAGGCTTCAAATGGGTATTTGTTCGCAGGGTCCACCGCTTCCAGAAATGCAGGCCTCCATTTATCTCCTTTCGCTTCTTTGTACCGGCACCCTTCCTACCCCTCCTCAAGCCTCCTTTTCAAAGATATTAATAATGAACATATTTTCTCCATGGATGCTTTCAGTCAGCCTGAATAGCTCCAGAGCATCCTCAGATTTCTCCCTGATTCTGCTTCCTTCACAGGCTTACAGCAGCTACTATTATGCTATAAGATCCACTGTCCTGTGATATCATATATGGGATGTACGGTTGTTGACGATTGTAAATTTTTTTTTGCTGTAAAAATATGTGAGATTACGATATTGTATTTCTCTGCATTATCTAGAGTTTGTACTACTGATGAAGCCCAGGACGGTGAAACAAGGCTAATATTCCAGAAATCCTTGTCTTAGACTCTGTGAAAGGATTCTGTGGAACTGTAACAACCTTTCGTATGGATTGTTGGACTCTATGAACAGACAGGTGGAATAGAAACTTACACATATATGGACCTTATGCACGAACTGATTAGAGAATGAACTGATCCACTGGGTCTTCTACCTTTTTTGTTGAACTTTATGAGCTACTTCTGTTGAAATCTACAATTTAATAAAATGAATAGTATACTTTATTTATTCAAACGTACAACCAGTTACGTCTTGTGTGTTTATTAAATCCTTACACAGGCAGGCAGCAAAGACCTACAATTACAAAAAAATAAAAAATAAAAAATCCCCTGACCCCAGACCCACTTTTAACCCAAACTTGTATTTGGGGACCCATCTCTCTTTTTCTTTTTGACCCTATATTTGTATGGTAGTCAGTGCTTCTGTTGCAACCCATCACTTGGAGACCAGTGAATCATACTGATATAGGAAAAAATAGGGGTGGTTGGCTTTTGCTGCCCAGCTCCTCAAGGGACTGAGTCCCCTAAGTCCATGATCGGTCAGAGGTGGATGGATGGAGGCAGGATACAGTGAAAGCAAGGAAGATCTTTATTTTTCTGTTGCGACAGAGTCCCCTCCTCTCCTTGCAAGGAGGCAAGAGAGACCCAGAACCAGGGGAGGAGAAAGGGGGCGGTTGGGGTGGTCTGACCCAGGTGTCACCACTGAGGGGGTGACAAAATGCTGGGCGGCACTCACCGGGCCATGTCTTTCTCCTGGGAGTGACGTGGTGGCTTGGGCGCCCGCAGGCTCTGCGCTGCCCCAAATGGTCCGCCCGCCGCCTCCCCCTCAGCTGTAGGGCGGCTGAGTGGGAGGGGGCAGGCAGACTCCACGGAGGCCCCGCGGAGCGTCCTGCCCAGGTTGGCCCTGTTGGCATGCAGCCACGGAAACGGGGGCAATTGGCAGGCCTCCAGCTGGCTCCAGCCCACCGGCCGGTGTGCCAGACGAACTCTGGTCCTTCGTACAGCATGAATCTGTGACCCGAGCTTCAGAAGCTAGGGCACGCTACTCAGCAGAGCAAGCGCTGTGCAGTGGCAGGAGAGGCTGTGTGAGCATATTTACAAGCAGTTTATTCAGCGTACATTAGGACAAAAGGAAACATGTCCAATCTCCTTCGTGTCCAAAGCAAGACAGCTAAAGCAAAAGCTATACAGTGGTACCTCGTGTTAAGTACTTAATTCGTTTTGGAGGTCCGTTCTTAACCTAAAACTGTTCTTAACCTGAGGTACCACTTTAGCTAATGGGGCCTCCTGCTGCCGCTGCACCGTCGGAGCACGATTTCTGTTCTCATCCTGAAGCAAAGTTCTTAACCCGAGGTAATATTTCTGGGTTAGCGGAGTCTGTAACCTGAAGCATATGTAATCTGAAGCGTCTGTAACCCGAGGTACCACTGTACACAAATGGAAGTTCCCAGCAAGCTGCGCTGGAGTGTAAACAGGCATGTGACACACAACAATCATGCCTGTTCCTTAAGGTGGAACGGAATATCCCAACAGGCCCCACCCCTGCAGCAGCTGGCCCTGCCCCTGGGTGCAGGGAGCACGCGCCACCCCCAGCCCCCCAATCAGCTTGCTCTGCCGCTGCCCAGAACCAAGGGTTTACATTTGGGCAAGAAGAAGCGCATCCCCTCTACAAACCGTCAGAAATTACATCACGCACAAGGTGGGGTTACTGTGGCCAAGGGGTGATATTCCTGAGGATTTAGCAAGTTTTACATAGTTCCAGACACAGTTCACGCAAAACATTAGCATTTGATAAGACAATCAGGATGCCCGTCAGACATTCCACAATGCAGAGCATCTGGGCAAACAGTGACAATTAATACAAAGGAGCTTCATAGATCCCCTTTCAGGAACTTCTACCTGTTCTCGGGCAAGGGGGATTAAGGAGGCAGAGGAAATATTTAGATGATACTACTACTACTACTACTACTACTACTACTACTACTATATTATTTATACCCCGCCCACCTGGCTGGCTTCCAATAGAACACTAAAATACAATAACCTATTAAACATTAAAAGCTTCCCTAAACAGGGCTGCCTTCAGATGTCTTCTAAAAGTTTGGTAGTTATTTTTCTCTTTGATATCTGGTGGAAGGGCATTCCACAGGGCGGGTGCCACTACCGAGAAGGCCCTCTGCCTTAGAGTCCTTAGGAAAGTCAAGATGGCTTGTGAATTGCTCTCCTGTACTATTTTAGACATGTGGTTTATATACTTATGTATGTCTGTTTACCTTGTGCAATTATCATAATTTATTCTATATTTGAGACCTTAGAATTCCGACTCCCCTGCAATGCAGGATTCTCAGCTAAAGCATCCAAGACAGTACCTGCACAGTATATTATTTTCCTACTGTATTTTATTACGTTGCAGCATTTTAAACATATGCAATCAAAACTCAATTTCGTCTTTTCCCTTATCGACTTCCAACCCCATTTTCCATGGTGTTGTTGTTTACCCCTTTCTGCTGCTCCCTGTCCTCTATCTATTAAATCACAACCACAGGATTATAATCTAATTACTTCTGTTGCTCATAGCTCAAATCCTGCTCACGAGTTCATCATACTATAATATTTCCTTAAATAGTCTGAAAAGGGCACCCATTCTTCCACTGCAGAGCAGATTATTATAAGGCGAGGGCATACATTCTCAGGAAGTACAGGGTCAGGCATATGTTTGTGCAAATGCAACTGGTCGTTGGCAATACTTCTTGTACCTGGGGCGATTTTCTTTGGGACAATAGCACAGGAAGAAAGGGTTCATCCCAGGCCTGATCCTACCCCTCTCCCGGCAGCTTCTATTAACATTTTGCATGGACTCCCAGCTTTTGTGCACTTGGGAGAAATCCCCATTCAGTAGGACTTACTTCTGAGTAGACATAGGATACATTCAGATATGCAGAATATTGCAATACTTTTCTGGATTATGATGCTAGCACCTCTGACCCAGTTCCTAACTCTCCTTTCACATTGGAGTTTGTGGGCCTCCGTCTATCTTGGGAGACAACAAAGGAGTGTGCCATCAGGTCAAACTGTTGGAAGGTTGCAGCACCTGTAAAGGTAAAGGACCCCTGGATGGTTAAGTCCAGTCAAAGGCGACTATGGAGTTGCGGTGCTCATCTCGCTTTCAGGCTGAGGGAGCTGGCCTTTGTGCACAGACAGCTTTCCGGGTCATGTGGCCAGCATGACTAAACCGCTTCTGGCACAAGGGAACACCGCGACAGAAGCCAGAGCACACAGAAATGCCATTTACCTTCCCGCCGCAGTGGTACCTATTTATCTACTTGCACTGGTGTGCTTTCGAACTGCTATGTTGGCAGGAGCTGGGACAGAGCAACGGGAGCTCACCCCGTCGTGGGGATTCGAACCACTGACCTTCCAATCGGCAAGCCCAAGAGGCTCGGTTGTTTAGAGCACAGCGCCCACTGGTGTGGGAGAGGCATGTTTTGTTGCAGCTGGGGCAGATGGAGGCGTTCAGTTGGGAGGCCCACCTGTCACAAGATGATTGCGTCTTTTCACAAGGACACGTGCAGCACCATCCAATATGGCAGTTCATCCTTGGACACCTTCCTTATAAAGAGCTGTGTGAAACAAGGCTGTGTTCTCTTTCGTATGGCATATTCTTCTCCCTGTTGCTCTCATATGCCTTCAGCTTGACTGAAGATGGTGCATGCATCCATACAAGGAGCAACAGGGCTCTCTCTGTGTTGGAGTACCTGGTGCATTTTGGAACTGCAGATATTTGATGGGTATACCGCTCGGTTTCATTCACACCAGTGGGTGTGGTGTGGCACAAGCATCCTTTGTCAACATCACTACTCCCTCACCCTTCTGTTCTCCCGTGATTCCATCATGAAAATGGCAGCAAAGAACTTAAATGCTGGTATGTTGCCCAAAATTTGGTCCATTTTAGCCTCTGATTCTCTGGGTTAATACGGTTGCAAGTTGATTATTTCTGGAACCAATTGACATGGAAAATGTACACTAACTTTCCATTATATTCTGCCAGGTTTCCAGATGTGACTTTTGCATCATGTGGAATCTCAAATATAATGCAGAAATTAAGAGTTAGGGGAACATCAGGGAAATGGCATAAATTGTCACGGGAATGCAGCCATAGTTAGGATTGCAGCCTTATTCTCCCTTTCAGGATGGAAGCGTATCAGTATCGATTAGGAGAGATGTGCGCTTTAATTTTGATCTCCCACCTGCTGCTTTTTAAGCAAAAATGAAAAGCACTATCTCTGAGAGAACAAAAAAAGTAAGGAAAGAGGCTCCATCTAGTCTAGCATCCTCCCTCACTCCTTTGATGGGATGCTTCATGATAAATATTACTTTTCAAGCAGGGATTAAGTGAATCTGCATATTTCAATTTCTCTCCCTTCCCCATTTTTCCAGTCTGAAGCTCATTTCTCCACATTTCCACATTAGTGTGTAATTTTTTTCCAGTAGTTATTGTCAAAATTCACTGGCATTTTACTACTAATATCTTCCAAATATATACATTTTGGTTTGCATTTTGTCTCATACGCACATTTTTGCAGCACAGTTTCCCCTGGTGTGGTACACTTTTAATGCTATTTTCATGAATAGATGCGCACATTTCACTCCAGCACATGTGTTTCTGTTGCCCTTATTTTGCTGGGGAGATGCCCTGCAACATTCAGAGATGTGCGCATTTCAAAGGATGGCTATGTTTTGATTTGTGTATTATTTCAGGAAATGCAGATAAGGGAAGTTCACCTCTCAATGCAAATGGAATTGAGATTCTCCCCCAACCCAGCTTTCATGCAACTTTGGGACAGACCCTTTTGTTGAAATGACAGATACATCCCCTGCAGACCTGTCAGGATGATTGGACAAGAAGTGCCAAAATGCTATATTGCGGTGTCTTTGCAATGATGTCACACATTCCTGACCTGGTTTCTGGAAGCTCAAAATACCACATTTTCCAAGAGAAGCAGTTGCTTCATGCTCCAGATATTGTGCTCCTCTATTCCGCCCTCCAAAAAGTCACAGCATAACAAGAACTGTGCTGGATCAGGCCAAAGACAATCTAATCCTGCACTCTGTTCTTACAGTCGCCAAACAGAACTTAGCTAGTTTGGCTAGCAGCCATTGATAGCTCTATCTTTTATCCAATTCTCTT